CTCTCCTCCGAGCTCGTGTGGTTTGCTCGTGCTCGATCGTGAAGTCGCTCAGTCGCTCGGTTCGTCGGGAAAAATCGCTCACGACGCTGCCTGCCTGCCTACTTGCATACATCCCTCATGCATTACATACTCTACACAGGCACGACCACACGATAACTACATACATACACTTTAACCAACCTACATGCGGCCCCGGTCCTGACATATGGACCTGGTGGAACTGGTGGAACTGTCAACGTCACCATGCTGCTGCCACTGGCGATGCTCATTGCGTTGCTGGGAGTTTGATTCGATCCCACGCTCGGCTTAGCTGCGTTACATAGCAGGTAGTACTGCCGCCAGTCAAGTGCCTCCACAGATGCATGTCATCCTACCTATGTATGAGGGATCTTGCAAAGGGGGAGGAAAGGGGGAAGTGGTAAAGGGGGCGGATCTGTAGAGTATGCAGAGTAGAGTAGGATTGGATACCGGTTGACGGTAGAGTAGGTAGCTCTGGCTGTGTGTGGGTTGTGTAGGATTCCTCACGGGAGCCCCATCATCCGTAGTCTATATACAGACATGTTGTTGTGTTCTTATTGTTAAGGAAGGAAGTTGATGTCGTTTAATTAAGCGTTGGAGGGGGGTGAGAATCGAGAATCGAGGTGGGATCCAAACCGGCAATCGTGCTACCAACTACGGGTATCTAAAGAAACATTTCGCATGAATCATTCCCCCCTTCCCCTTTGCCGAGTATGATTTTTTTTTAGAGTGCTCTAAGATACGTTATGTAGGCATCTGTCATCGCGGAAGTGGATTCAACTCTACGTACTAGGTATACAAGCTAACCTACCGCTACACCGGAAATCCTCCTTTCCTCCTTTCCTCCTTTCCTCCTGAATCTTTGTATGTACATGCTACCAGTGGTACATAGCTTCCTCCTACGGACAGACGTGGTCAGGTGTTGCCCGGTGCACGATGGCCAATAATCCTTCAGAGACTCGTAGGTACTACTACTCTATACATACCGTAGTTGATGGTTGTCGGACGGGCTCCCGAAGTCGATTCGCATCTTGACGGGCACTCCGCAGCACCTTTGGGATGCGACTGTCTGCCTTGCAACTAATTTTCGCCACCCCCGACTCCCCAATTCCATACATACATCGTAGGCACTCCACTCGATGATACGCACACAGTGGAGCTTAGTTAGCCGCGCAGTTTTTCGAACCGTTTACTGTCCGCCGAGAGCGTGACAAGGTACCGTAGTCGAGTAACTACGAAAGTACGGCGATATAAGTAGACCGGAGTATATACGTGGGAAACGCACTGGCGCAGGCCACGTTTGGTTATGTACCAGAAAGCGGCCAATATATAGTTCCTAGTAGAGTAGTATTCCATTGATATTCGACAGCCGCTTCCAACCATATGGTGGGCGGGCATGAAGCCGTTGGCATGGCGTGGCATGGCGTGCGTATGCTCTAGGAGAAGCCCGAGAAAAGAAAATAAAAAGCCGTGACTCGCTCCATGTGGGGTGAAGATTCTACAGCCACAAGCCACAAGCTTGGGGATGATGAATCTAATGAGTTGTCTGTTCGGCTTATCTAAGGCCAGCGAACAAGATAGGTATGCAACTACATTGTAACAAGCTCGTCTAATTGGATCGTGGCGGTGGTACCGATGTGGTCCACGCCATACCTGGTATAAGGACTTAGGGGAGCAGAAGGATCGAACATCAGCTTGGGGGAGATCGTTGATCCGCTCCTCTGGTTGGAGAACCGTCCGCCACGAGAAGGAGCCTAACCAAGGCAGGCCACACTGCGCCGAACTGTCGCCGTCGTCGTTGACGGCTGGATCGGGTTGCATGGCGACATTTCCCGTGGTGTGTATTTTGAGGAGATATTACCATAAGTGCTATCTATCCAATCGAATGGCGTGGACTATATACCACCGCCACCATCCAAGTGGGCGAACTTGTTACGTTGGTTTGCATGGCGACATCCCGTGGTATTTCGAGGAGATACATACCAAAGTGATATCCGAATAGTACCTAGGTGGTAGTAGAGTACAACAACATTCGCTGGACTCCTGCTCGTTCGGGGCCAATCCGTGATCGCCGCTGTGAGACTGACGGCACGGCCCCGAGGTTCGTCTCCGCTCCTCTCCTTGCCTCCTCAGCCCGAAACTTTTTTCTGGAGTCGCACTCATGATTGCGAGGTGGTACGTATGATACCTCGTACTTTCTTTCTTTCTTCCTTTCTTTCTTCCTTTCTTTCTCTCCTTTTTCTTGGATATCGGCAAGTCTCGAAGACGGCTAGTGTTCGGACGCTTTCCTCCTCCTATGCACATAATCATTCAGTCACTGGACTCGATACATCATCATACTCAAGATATCTAGTGCTCATCATAGGTAATATGAAGTCGGTGAGCCGTGGTACGTACTCAATTACTTCATACTACCTACACGCAGACCGGGAATGACAAGCAATACGGGGGGTCATCTTCCGCCTCAATACTTATTATTACCCCCCCGGTCGACGATTGATGGATGAACGGCACATGCCGAGCTGAAGTGTTCTGAAATAAGCATAGAGTACATAGAGTTGCACTCCGGATTGATGTTAGTTAGAGTAGAGCAGTCGACTGGCGACTGGCAGAGAGGATTGCGCTGTGTGGAACCTGACATGGTGATCGCCCACTAGAGTACTGTAGAGTAGAGTACATACAGTACATAGCCACATCCGCGCATCTGTGTTGGGCTTCGGATGGATGTCGAGACTCGCGGTGAGGAATGTACCATTATCTTTGAATATGTGCGTACTGCGAGGTGGGTACGTACACCTAGAGCTTATGCATGCCTTTGAGAAGTATCGGCGAGGCGACAGGAGCTGTTTGGTAACTGGAGTCTAGTTGGAAGACCATCGCCCCGTGCCGGCTGACAGCTGTCAGACGGCCAGCACTCGAATACCGGTACGTATGGCACGGCGAACATCACCATCCAAGCCCACTCACTGCCCGCCAAATCCTTCCAGTATGATCATACGTTCATACATAGACACCAACTCGATCGCACGGCGATTCCCTAGCGAAACAGCGGGAGCCCGTGCGTGATGCGTGAAAGTCGAACCACTGATCAGCGACCGACCCGAACTGGAATCTACGCATGTTCACATACCTACTCTAGGTATATAGCAAATGTCCGGGCTACTTACCTACCTCCTACCTATAGCATCAGCTATCACCGGGACCGGGACCGGGACCGCGGATCTTAAAGAGAGAGGGCCTCTCGCTCGCCGGAATTCGATAATCTGCCGTGTTCCCGGACTCGCAATTATCCTTCATCGATCTAGGCCTTCAGTCTTTTGCTTTCGTCGTCGTCGCTGATGTGCTCGAGAGTCGACATTCCCCAGCGGCCCAGCCCACGGCCCGGCCCGTCCCCCACCCCGGCTCGGGTTCGGCCCGCGAGGGGGCGGACAGTGGGACACCTCGGGAGTCGGGAGTCGGGAAGCGTTTTCGCCGCCGCGGCACCTCGAGGTTTTGGCCTTGATGGATGTTTACTTGGCCAGCCAGCCAGCATACACCCCCCCTCAACTCATCACTTGCAAACCACGCTGCAAACCCTTGCGAGACGCCTCATGAATACACCCCCGACAGCCCCTGCAGAGTTCATGGTCCATGTCATGGTTCATGTCATGGTTCATGGTTCACGGTTCACGGTTCAGGGGGGAAGACGATATGATTGAGAGCTGGGAAATTTACGAGTCGACTTGTGTATCTACATGCAAAAATAAATTTGCTTGGGCGAGCAGGCAGGCAGGCAGCTTTCGTATAGGTACTGTTAGGTGCCTGGATTTTGTTGGCCCCTTTTTTTGCGTGAAGGGTCCCCAGTTGTTTCGATCTCATCACATCGCATCACGTTATGTAGGTATGTCATGAGAGGTCAACCGACGTCGTCGTGCGGAAGGGGGGGGAAGTTTATGCTACGAAAGGAAGGCAGAAGGCCACGCCCTGACAGTTTTGCGATTCGGTAGCGGAACCGTGACGTGTAGAGTGCGGATCAGTCACGATCGGTCCGTCCGTGTCGAGTCGAATGCGGCTTCCCCCACGGTTCCGGTTCCGGTTATGCGGGCTGGGCCGGGTTCCGTCTCGCCCGCATGGGTATCGTCACTCTTTCTCTCTCTCTTCCGCCTGCCCGCCCACCCGCTTGTCACCGCCGCCGCAACGGTCTCCCCGCGTTCAGCGAGTCCACACCTTGCTCCCGCTCCATCCGCTGCTCTCACTGGTTGCGGTCTACTGTGGGATTCGGGGGCCAGACCCGATGCGGTCGCCTCAACGTTGAAATGTTCTCTGTTGCTACTTTTGTGTTCTTGTTCAACACATCAGACATCCGACGTCATCCACCACCGCAGAAATTATTCACCGCAGCGGTACCTACTTTGAGGTTATTCAGTCTGGATACCACAGGCTGCTTTTCTTTCTTATTGCTTTCATTCAATTGAATCCGTCTCGTCAATTGCCCGTACTTATCCGTCGAGGGTCTCAGTACTTTACCTACCCTGCACCACCACCGGCGGGCACGACCAAGCCCAAGCCACAACGGGGAAACATGCGCGCGCGGGCATGCTGCCATGCCCATCATGCCCATCATGCCATGCAGAGCCGGAGATCTTCCCAAGCCCACGGTCTCACTCACTGCTGAGCGGCAAGGCGGCAACTACATCATACCATACATACCATCATACATGGAAACATAAACCGGGTGATCTATGCTATCTATCTACTCTATCCAGCTTCGCCGCGGTCCACCCACTGGATCGGGTTCGGCTCGGTTCCGTTGCAGAGCGATCGTGGAGGCGGCGGGGGCGGGGGGGAGGGGGTGGTTGCGCCGCGCGCGAGCGTCGCTGGGCTCGAGCTCGTCATCATCCGAACCAGTGACCGGTCGGGCATTCATTTTCCTTACGCACTCTACATACATACGGTTGTTTGCTGCGGAGTCAGCGCGCGCGTGCGGCTCGATACAATAACAACAACAAACAAACAGACGAACAAGCAAACGGATGGACGGAGATGCGCGACACCGCCATCTCGTCGGAAGGCTTCCGTGATGTGATGTGATGCATGCGATCGCAACTCCGCAACTCATCTCGAAACGACCTTCCCGAACGACAGGAACGCGAGGATGACACACCACGAGAGTGCTCGATTCTTCGCACGACCGCAGCAGCAGCAGCTGCCGAAGCACCGCCGCTTTGGCGCAGGGCACCTACATATTTACATACGAAGAGAGCATATGGAGTATGCAGAGTATGCAGTGCGTGCTTCGAATTCCTACCCTTTTGCTTCGCCCACTGGGTCGCTGATCGCTCGCAAGGGTTAACAAAGTATCTACTGCAGAGTACATATAGGTAGGCTCCGTACTCGTCAACCGCACTGGATGGCCATGCAGACGGTACTTTGAGGCTGACTGCCTATATCTCCTACGATGGACTGGCTCGACCTATGACTTCGTGGAATGAAGTCGAGCGGAGATGGAGTGGGGGGAATGAAGCTGTCGATGTCCTCCTGGCCGCACGTAAACTGTGAAATCTACTTTGGTGTCTGTGTAGATCACTCAGGGTTTGTTGGATAGGTAGAGTAGAGTTCCTAGAGCGCACCCACTGCCCACCACCCACCACTGCCCACCGCCCACTGCCCACCACCAACCACCCCCCTTCCCTAAGCGTGATAGCGATGTCTTTGAGGATGCCGCTTCATCGTCGAGCCTTCTTGCTTTGGGATCACCCATTCGCAAGAAGGACGAAAACAACGCGTAAAAAGAAAGGAAAAAAAAACTAGTTCTGGGCATCTGGCTGTGTACTGCTCGCTATGGCGTTGGGAAACCCTGGGCCCGACTCCCAGCGTCAGATATCTAGTTGAAGACATCCTTCTCCACCGCCGCCGCCCCCCTCCCCCCTCTCCCCCTCCCTTCCCATTGATGCCTTGATACTTCTTGCCTGCAGCATCAACTCTGGGATCGCTCGGCAGAGTAGTTACTCCCACCAGAAATTCGAAGTGCAACAACAGAGAAGCCCATCCCGAAGCAGCACAAGAGACGTGAAACCTCCGAATAACGAGGCTACATACCCACCGTACATACGAACGGCCATCTTCACGACCGAAGAAAAGACTTCAATAATACACGGATAGCATCCGTACTTGCCGCGCACACCTCACCCAGCGCCGCCGTCACCAACATCGGACATCCCGTACATACCGACAGAAAGAAGGAAGAAAGAAAAAAAAAGGAGAAAGGGATACCGTACCGGACCTAGGTACTACTATACTATACCCACAGCGTCCTTTCCCTTACATACCTGGTCCCCCAACTGTGCTCCACAGCACGAGATCGAAAGGGACGCCACGCCGCTTCTTATTCTTCTTCTTCTCCTTGTTCTTCTTCGTTGGTCTCACGCCCACGCCCACGCCTGCGCTCAAGATACCTTCGCTGGTCAACTGCAACAGCTGGCAGTGTGTATAGCCCCCCCCCCCCGCCATCGCATCACATCGTCCAACAAGCCATCGGTCGACCGCCTACCTCCACCACCACCACCTCCACATTCACCTCCACCACCCACGTACACACGAGACATCATCGAATCGATACGATCTCGAGCCTGCAGCACGCCGCATTTCCGTCTAGCACCCTCATCCTAGAACTACTTTCACTTTCCCTCCCGCAGAGTACATACTCGCACAGTGCGTGTGTCCTAGAGCCGCCTGCCCGAATAAGCCCGGACGAAATTGGTTGTTTTGCTCGCTCAACTCGCTCTTCCTCATATCTATACCCCATTGCACCCCGCAGAGCAGTGCGACAAGAACAAGACGACAAGCAACCCCGACATTCTCTTGCCAGCGAATCGGCGGGTTTTACAGTTCCTAATTGTGAACAACTTAGCTGTTCACTTAGCCTGGCATACACATTCGCCTCGACGGACCCCCCCATATTCATCCCTCCCTCCCCCCCGGTGCGTCACACTGATCTACGCGCAGGAACTGGCGCTGCAGATAGATCACGGGCACCGACGTTGTCCGAGGTGGGGGGGAGAGAAGTCCGCGAGTTTGAGCACTGCACACTGCAACGTGAGTTTCATCCATGGCGACGAGCGAGAACGGCGGCCATATATTCCCATACCTCGAGTCGGAACGCGGAGAGCATTTCTGACCACCACCTGTGTTCCAGTCCCAGTCCCAGTCCCAGGCCCCGTCCCTAATCCCGGTCCGGTTTCTCTCATTCGGATTGCCACTTTTTGCGACGAGAGAATAATTATCACTGTCCACAGCTGAGGAGGTGTCTTGGGCCTCTTCTTTCTTCCGCAAGGATCCCCCAGTTGAGAAGCAGTTGGTTCCCGTCGTTATTTGTTGTCGTTGCCTCTGTCGATCGTCGCCCAAAAGACTATCTCTGTCTCCCGCCCTTCTCGCCTTGTCACGATCGCCCTCCTCAGAGAGTACCGCAACTGACGCCCTCCCCCACCCCCCGTCCATATCAGCGACGAACAAAACCAATCCTCTGTGTCAATAACCCCCCGCCCCAACAACAACAACAAACGCCCGTTCGGCCCGCTCCGCAGCTCTAGTTTCTTTATACCTCCACTCTCCGGTCTAGGAAACTATCCCCTCAGGAGAAGGGCCAGACTGCAGGGTCGCGTCTCGTCGTCGTCGCAGTCGACCGTGTAAGAAGCGGAGCTCCAAAATACACCCCCCCCTCCCGACCGTGCTTTTCGCTTCGGAATCTATGTTGTCTCAAGTCGATTCTGTTCCACGACGTCTTTTACCTCAAAGTATTATGCAGCAGAGTATGAGTTTGTCCCCGACGGATATGGGAGGCGGTCCCAGAGAAATCCACAAAAGTATGTCGCTCTCTAGCACAGTTGCGCGCGCGCGAGAGAAGTCCCCATTGCTGACCGGGTACGATAGATTATGTCTTCGTTGATGAGCACAACCGACATAAGCGACTCAAGGGTGAGAATACAGCCCGTGCCCCGCCGTCGGCGTAATCTTCCACATATGGCTAACCCCCGGTGATGTGTAGTAATGCGAGCCTGCGAAGGATGCCGTCGACGAAAAATCAAGTGTGACGCCGCGACTACGAACACCTGGCCGTGTTCGGCGTGCACGCGGCTTAAATTACATTGTGTGCCACCGATGCTACAATACGATCGCGAATATGCTTCCTCACAGGTCGTGATGGGACACGATCAGAATGTGGACTTTGGAGATTCGGGCGGCAGCGGAGAGGAAGAGATGATGCACCACATGGGCAAACCTAACCGGCCACACATGCCTGGCTACCACCGTGACAACAACCACTATCGGCATCTGTCACCGCAAGACCATCATGGCCCGGGGCACCCGCAATCCGGCGCAATCCCGTATTCGGGCTTGACCTCCGGGGAGTCGATGGAGCCGGCTCTGTCCCCGGTGCACGGCCATTTCCATCAACCACCTGTTTATCACTCCCAAGAGGTCATGAGGCAGGAGCAGTGGCACGCAGACAACGACTACGCTTCAGCATTGGTGGGCTCCCTCAAGATTGACGACGATGGTGTTGGTAAGTTGTGTGCCCGCTCCATAAGGCCCGCTCCGAGCCGTACTGACGATCGCCTACAGCGGGGTACATCTCGGCCCAAGGCAGGAGGCTGGCCGAAACACCAGCGTACGAGCCATGGGGTGACGAAGTAGAACCAAACAACCCTTCGTTCATGCCCGGTCAGCATGAGTTTGCCGTGAAAATCCGGCCGGAGGACATGCCCTCCAACGACGAAGCCGACGAGCTGTTTGGCATATTCTTCAATCACATACACCCGTACATTCCCATCGTCAACAAGGCGGCATTCTTCCGCCTATGGGACAATTCAAGGGAGCAGATTTCTCCCTTATTGCTCGAGACCATATTCGCATGTGCTGGAAGGCTCATGACTCAACCCGCGAAGGGCCTGAAATGGATCGCCGTGGCAACCAGTTAGTAGATCCGTGCTGTAATACGTTTTTGAAAGATTGTTGACTTTTGCTTTGTTAGGGCACGTGGATTGCTTCTTGGACGTACCACGCCTGAGTACCGTTCAAGCGCTGCTGTTATTACTAAAGGCACGAGAGTCAGCGCCGCAACGAGGATACTTCTTCCGGTCATGGATGAGCATGGTGAACATCATCGCGATGGCTCGCGATCTCCGCCTCGACAGTCATTATGAGCTCCACAAGCAGGGGATTGGTTGTGGAGAAATTTCGCTCGAGTGCACCACTCGTACCCGGGTTTGGCAGGCTTGTTTTGCCTATGAATTGATGATTTGCGCCCCACAAGGTAATTCACATCGCTCTCAATCTTTGCGAGGAAGGGAGAGGGTTTGGGAGGCTCACAACATCTAGGACGCAACAACATGCAGTGTGAGCCAGCTAGCGTAGATCTATCTACACCTTTGAGAGGCGCCCCCGAATTGGATGACCAAGAAGTTATGATTCACCGCAACTTTGTACACTTCGTTCGCCTGATCCACAACATCCGACGAATGAGTGATGTTCACGCAAAACTCAAAGCGAACCCTAACTGGCGCAATGATCCGCAATTCTTGCAATCGGGCCCCAGCTTAGAGCAATGGTTCTACGACCTACCAGCGGATCTTCACATCCAAGTCAACACCTCGCTCGCGCAACCCGGACCTCAGCCGGAGTCACATCTATCGGGAAATCTCCAGGTGTACTACCACCTGGCTAGAATCATGCTTCACAGGCCTGCTCTGGCTTTTGGAAAGACGTTCGCTTCCGGAGGCGAGTGGAGACGACACATGTCGGTGTGTGCGAACGCAGCGAAGTCGATTTGCAGGCTGGAGGAGGTCATCTTTGAACAGTACGGCATGCTTGGTCTGCAGTGCATGTCTCGAGGAGTCAACTTTTCGATCTACTCCCTTCTCAGTGGAGCGATGATTCACCTAGTATGTCCCGAAACGAGGAGGATGGAGACCTGGATGTGGAGGAGGGGGGTGCTGACAGGATTTCCAGATCGCCGCAACGTGTCCGGACCCCGAATTCAACCACGATGCCAAGGACTATTTCACCAGAACAATGCGCTTGTTGGAAAACTGTATCGACAATTCCGCTTCGTCGGAAATGAAGGGGCAGATCGAGACATTACGTGAGGCGTTCTCGGTTGACGTTAATCGACCATTCGTCCTGAACCCGAGCTTTCCGTTCTATCATGGTGTTCCTGCACCCATTGACCCTCATGTTGCTAGAGCGTATTCTCAAGCCGATGCCGTTGCGACCACCATGGCTGTGGCCAACGGGCAAGTGGCGTATTCGACGCATCCGCTGTCCCCTCCTCACTCTATAGGGGATACAGAAACGAAGGGCGATTCACCAGGTGCGGTGCAATCTCTCGTTATGCTGGCTGCGGGCCAAGGCGCACAGGTGCCACAATCGCAACCGACTCTAGTCGATCACGTGGCCGCATGGAATCCTTCGAGATTATTCGAGTGCGTATCCCCATCCGCTTGCTTCTCCACTTGACGTGGTCCTAACATATGTCCCCAAACAGCAATTGGAACACTGCCTTCGGTGTCAATGGATCCGTGACGGCAGTGATGCCTCCCGCATTGCAGCATCAGCATCATGAAGAATTGGTGGACTCGCTTGGCGGTGCGCACACTTCATCACATTCTTATGTTCCGACTACTGTTGGGATATCCAACTCATTCGTGTCACCGGGCATGTGGCAAGACTCCGTAGCCGCTGCCACGGTCTTTAGCGAATCGGGCAAACGAACGTTTCCATTTGGTAATGACGGTGGTTGGGGCGATCCTCCAGCAACGCGCGCGATGGTTTCGCCAACAACGACGGCTTCGGCTGGAATTGCTCTTCGTGCAAACGGCAATGGCTCGAGAGGACGTTAACGATGCGCTGTCAGTGGAAAGGCTTTTTGCGCCGACTATTAGTGAGGAGTGGAGATTTACTATTCTTGACCGCTCTGATTTTATTTATTTTCTTTGTTTTTTTCTTTCGTTCGTTTCGTTTTCGATGAAGATCTTCACCAGGGATGTGTGGGCACGTGTGGGGGCCGATGCGATTGTCGATGGTTGCACGACCGCCCCATATTCATCGGCGACCCCGCGAACTGCTGTCCGCCCTATACTCGGCGGAGAAGAGGGGATGGTGTCTGCGTCCCACTACACAGGGCTTCACGTCGGTCGATGACTTCTTCTGCATATGTTACTGACGTGAAGGCTAGCCAGCCATCATAGCTGGAGCTCTTACTACATTCGGCGGCGTCGTCGTCGTCCCTGCAGCCATCCATCCCTCCCTCCATCGATCCATTCATCCATCCACATTGTTTCGTTTTGCTCTTGGTTCATATCCTTTTGCTTTTGTTCGCTCGGGCACCCATCTTGGTTATTTGATTGCTGTGTATTTTCCCATTTGTTCTGGCGTGTTGTGTTGGTTGCTGTGTATGGGATTTTGGCGCGCGCACTGGCGGGGGGTTGAACTTGGGATTTGATTCTTGTTTTTCTTTTCTCCTTTCTGGATCTTTTTTGGATACTTTTCTCGGATTTAATACCTAGCTCGATGATTTTTCTTTTTTCTCTCTTTTTTCTTTTTTGCTCTCCTCGACAACGACGGTTAGATGGGACGGGATGGATGGGATGGGATGGGAAGAGGCGCGGTGGCAATGGGGCGGTTGGGGCTACGGGCGATGGGGTAGGGCTACGGGGCAGCGGGACAGGGACAGGGCGGGGGATCTGTTTGTAATGCGTGTTTGACGGGTTTCGGTCGGTTGGTAGCGGGGATATCCTGGGGCGAGCGGGGTGGGGTGGGGGCGGGGCATGGCGGGGCGGAGCGCGGAGGCACGAGGGTCCTTTTCATTTCGCAATTATAAGTATCAATACCTTATTCTCAATGTGTGCTCTGTGCAGTTCGTTTCCCGTTTGTGGAGGTGGGGATAGACCGGGAAGAGGAAGGTGCACGCAACTATCTGCCGGTTGATCTTCGTTATCGAAGAGCGGGGTTGTAACTTGCGCGATCGTGGATCCGCCAGATCCAGAAGGAAGGAACGAATGAACGGATATGGGGCTGACGACGAACGAGCGAGTGATAACCTGTGGACTCGCCCTGCATCACTCACTCGCTCGCACTCAGGCAGCCAGGCTTGCCACGGCCACCTGTCAGGCTGTCAGGCTGTCAGGCTGTCAAGCTATCAACCAGACACACCAATAGTTATCCGGTTGATGAAATGGAAACGCTGGTTCAAACAGTTCAGGGGGGGGGGACGGGGGGGTCATCAATTTTATTTCGCATCTATGAGCCTTTATAAGACCATGGTGAACACCAACTACACAACCAACCCTACTCCGTCCGCGAGTCTACATAGCTATGCAGCTCTCCCTATTGCCCTACTAGCCCAATCGACCCCTCCCACCTCCTCCTCCCGGTTTTTTCAGATTCATCTTCCTCCTCAGAAGCAGACTCATCTCCTCCTCCTTCCCCTTTTTTACCCGTAGCCTGCCCTTCTTCCCACGTCGGTGGCCTTTAGAAATGGAGATTCCAGAATTGCCGTTGCGTCGTGCACCTCTCGTCCGACGTCCGCAAACAAATCCGCGATTCGAAACCGATCTCGTCCACACTATGCCCAGTCTTCAACTGGTAATACCTGGATGCGGTAATCTTCTTTGACTTTGCTGCGGCTGCAGTGGGTCAGGCCGGTTTTATGCCACTTAATGCGACACTTGACATTGTAAATTGGGTTGGATTGGCTATCCGTGAATACGCCCAGTCATTTGCTTCCTTCCACTGCTTTGGACAGCATAGCATGCGCCATTGGGCGCAGGTTGGGGAAACGTTTTCCTTGTTGCTGGCTGGCTGACCCCCGGGGGTTCAAGCCACCGTTCGATCCCCAGCCGACATGGCTGGGATGGCAAGCGCCATTCGGCTAAGTTGAAGCTTGGAGAGACGTTGCTATTGTTGGCTGGCTGACCCCGGGGGGTTCAAGCCAGCATTCGAGCCCCAGCCGACATGGCTGGGATGGACATAATGATGTCAAGCGCCATTCGGCCCAAATTGAAGCTTAGAGAAACGTTGCTGTTACTGGCTGGCCCCGGGGGGTTCAAGCCACCACTCGATCGGCCGGAACCCAACCAGACTGTTTCGAACATTCCTCTCCACAGAGGGGTGGTGAATCCCCGGCCCCACTCTGCGCCGCCCAGCACTCCTCGGCTGGGTATTTCTCCGCTTCGTTTCCTGGTTCTCGTCGGGAGATGCGCTGTCCGTATCCATTGTGGTCCATGAACTGCTGCTGGAGGTTGAGTCGGGGATGTTTCTGGTGGTGGTTTGTGGTGGGGAGTTCGGGCTATCGGTGTCGATGGGCTGAAGAGATGGAGGTGCAGTGGTGATGTTGCGATTGGGGATGACGTGGAAACCGGTGGAAGCTCTCGGGTGGTGGGCTGCGTTGCGTAAAGACTCTAGTGAGCAGTGGTGTAGTGATGTGGGTGTGGTGGTGCTCTAGCGAGCTGAAGGTTTCCGTGGTAGGTAGCTTTGGTAGCTGTGTTGTGTTGTGTTGTGTAGGGTAGATGGGGAGAAGAGAAGAGCAGGAGGTGGAGTGGTGGAAGGGAGGGAGCTGTTATGTGGAAGTGCGGGCTTAGAATTGTCGTGAGTGTTGGCACTAGTAAGCGGCGAATGTTTGGTCCTGGATGACCATGACGATCACTCAAACTTCTAGACACCTCCTCGGCGGCTAGTCCACCAAAACATACTAGACGGTTGCTCGAACGGCATCGACTGGTTCCCGACAAATGGGGGGTCATCAATCTCATTTCGCGTCTATAAGCCTGTCAAGACTACGGCGAAGCGCCAACAACACCAACCCAAATACGTCCGCGAGTCTATCTATACGGCTCTCCCTGTTCCCCTACTGGCCCAATCAATGATGATTCTAGAACACCATCGCCACCATCTTCCACCACTACCAACTCCCTTTCCACCTCTACCGATTCATCTTCCTCCTCAGAAGCAGACCCATCACGTCCTTCCTCCCATTCCTTTTCCCCGGCCTTCCGTCCCACACTGGTAGCCTCCAGAAACGCAAGTACTGCCACAGCACACCCATCGTCTTCCACACTTTGTTTGTGCTCTGACTTCCTTCCACAGCGTCTTTGTTGCTCCCGCCATGCAGTGCATACCTTGAACAAGTGTTCCCGTGTTTGAGTAGCCCAGGATTTGTGGCACCACCAGCACGAATCATCTTCTCGGCTGCCGATCCGTTTCCAATACTGCCCGGTGAGGGCATGTCTAGTCTTCGGCTGGTAGTATCGGGACGTAGCAGTTTTCTTTGCCTTTGCTACGGCTGCTGCTGGGTCTGGCGGACTTTCCAGCCGATGCCGAAGCTCATGCCGATGCCGATGCCGATGCCGATGCCGGTGCTGATGCCGCAGCAATTGCCGAAAAGGAAAGGAAACGGGCAAAGAAAAAGATCTCCCCCAGTATGTAGGTGCACCGAAACTGAAACTGAACCGGTGCCCGATGTCGACGCCGATGTCGATACCAGATGCCGATGCCACTTACGACGCTTGACATTTTAAATCGGGTTGGTCATCCGTGAATAAGCCCAATTATTTGCTTCCTGCATCCTCTTGCTTGCAGCCTGTGCAGCCTGTGTATCCGTAAAAATTGTGATTTTCGACACTCGATGCTGTTTCCGGCCAACACGGCCAACAGGGAGCAAGAACCGTGTTGCTGCTCTTTCTTTCTTTCTCCGTGTGTGTGAGGTAGTGCTCCGACGATTGCAGCACATTCTGCATTGTAGGCCTCCTGGTTGTATCCTAAATGAACTTTGTGTCCCTTCCACACTCCGGTGTTATTTTTCCATGCGACGGCATAGCCACATGTCCCCTCTTCGGTACGTGAACCATCTATTTATAGGATTACCCCATCTATCCGAGTTTCTGCTTCCATCTTTGCCATTCCGCGTTCCTCAACTGTTATCTCGGCTTGTAGGCGTTCTTCCCCACACACTACAGTGCGCTCACGGTGGCCACCTCCATCTGGTCCCAACCAGGTGGTGAGACGTTTGCCGAGCTCACTTCTCCCACCAATAATCTCCCCGGCTCCATCACCCTGGGGGTAAATATGCAAGCCGTAGTGCAAATCGCCGTGCGCGGTTGTTGAGTAGTGATGTCGCACATCTCAGACCGGCCCCCAACATCAGTTCGCCTTGGTTGGTAAACCGGAAACACCCCGTTATTTCGCGAGCCTGTTGGTTCATCAGCTTCTGTAGATCGGCTACTTTTCCGACGGTGCCATGGACTGCCGGGTGGTGAGCTGCGTCACTGCGTTGCATAAAAGCTCCGGTGAGCTGTGGTGTGGTGTGGTGATGCTCAAGTGAGCTGAAGGTTTCGGTGGTAGCTTTGGTAGCTGTGTTGTGTTGTGCAAAGAAGACGGTGGAAGATAAGAAAAGAGCAGGAGGTGGAGTGGTGGATGGGAGGGTCGTTTTATGTGGAAGTGCAAGTGCCTTCGCGAGTGACTTCACGAGACGCGCGTGTAATTGGTTGACTAGTGGCTTGGCAAAGTTTCGCCGACGCGAAAACCACTATTTAGTCGTGACCTCTCACACTTCTTCTCCTCTTCTTCTCGGTAGGCGCTCCTGTCAAGGCTGTGTTTCTGTGCCACAAACCGACACTTCTTCTTCACGGAAGTTCGTGTCACCCTTTTTGCACATGAGAAATTCGGAGGAATCTTCAAGCACCGCACCGGCAGTGCTCTTTCGAGGGAGCTGCTGGCCGCCCGCGAGGGCCTGGCGTGACTCACGTCTGCAACGGGCATCAGAAAATCAAGGGCCCTCGTTCCGCCGCCTCTTCGGAGGTGGTGGCTTTGAGGTCACCCTGTGGAAGCTCTTGCGAAGATTGTGGATGAAGCCATCTTAGTGCAATACACAGCGTGCCCGTTCCCGGGATGTCTCTTCGGAGGCTGATCGGGGATGGGCATAATTCGATTCCGATTATTCTGACGGGAGCGCCTCCCCCCTTTTTTTTCCTTCAGGTCAGTCGCCAACACTCCAGCTGAAAGGGATTTTACTGACTGCGAGCGGGACGGGTGGAAAGCAGGAACGCGGGTGGTTGGGGCGGGCTGTCTACGGAGATGGCTGGTGGTGGTGGGATGCTTGTGTTGGTTTTGCTTTTTCGATTCTCACCAAATTTATGCTTCACCTCTCAATCCTCATGCCATGTTGTTTGCATACCGAAATTGACTTTCGTAATGGATCCCTCATACCTCGCCTTGAGGTTCTCATATTGTCTATTCCTCCCTCGGCTAGATGAGGGAAGCTGACGACATGAGCATGCCGTCGGATAATTGCGGGGTCTGGTGTCTGCGACTCTGCGGCTGTAAACCCAATTCCAACTGTGGGGTCGCCGGCCATGGTGGTGTTGAGTGAAAAAAAAAAAGCTTTAAAATATAAACGAATAATGGCGAGCTCATTGAGACATCCTTCCATGACTCAACAACCTCCCCCTCCACGAGTTCGTGACCCCCTTATAAACGCCTCGTCCGCGAAAGAATCGTCCGGAAGCTCGGTCAACCCCATCGAACATGGCGATTCAAGACAGCACCCTCGAAGCCCGCCTTGAGCGCTGGGAGCAGCGTCTACGCTCCATCACCACCCAGTCCCTGACCACCGACTACGTCAGACCTACAGAGGGAACCCGAATCGTCGAAGCTGTACACTCGGTGACTCTGCCAGAGGATGCCCGAACTGCCCTCTTGAAGTTGTCGATCCTCGACGGCAAGAACAGCGTCTCTCCCTTCACCGTGCTGCTTGCGGCCTTCGCGGTTTTGGCTGCTCGCTTGACTGGCGACGAAGATATCTCGATTGGAACCTCCGGCGAGAGCAAGGAACCTTTCGTTCTCCGGTTGCCAATTGATCCCAAGACTACCTTCGACTCTTTGCTGTCGACCATCAGAGATGTCCTTGCGCCCACCCCCACCACCCCGCACCAAGCCTGTTTGCGGGTATGCTGCTGACATCTGCCCCACGTAGTTGGAATCCGAAGGTACCGCTGATTCGGTCCCTCTTCTGGACCTGATCCGCCACCTCCAGACCAAGTCCAAGGCGCCCAAGCCTCCCCGCCTCTTCAACATTTCCCTCTACCATGCGCCGGATGCGCCCTCCAAGCAGTTCCTCTCGTCGAACGAGTTGAACACGGACCTCAGTATCTACGTCGAAATCAGCGCCCCACCACAGTCGGCAAGTCTGCGATACGTGCCGCAAATTCCCGAAATCACACTGAGCGCGCATTACAATCAGCGGATATTCTCGACCAAGCGTATTGCTACCATGGTGGACCAGCTTCTGCAGATCGTGCAAGTGGGCGCTGCGGACGCGCACATCGAGTGCGGATCCATTCCGTTGATGACTCCCGAGCAGAAGAAGATCCTTCCTGACCCAACTCGGGATCTTCACTGGGGCGAGTTCCGCGGTGCCATCCACGACATCTTCTCCGCGAATGCCAAGAAGCACCCTGGCCGGGAGTGCGTGGTCGAGACTGCCGATATCCACGATTCGAACAGCAAGACGCGCGTGTTTACCTACCAGCAGATTGACGAGGCTTCTAATATTCTTGCGCATCACTTTGTGGCCAAGGGCATCAAGAGGGGAGATGTCATCATGGTCTATGCCTACAGGGGTGTTGATCTCGTGGTGGCGGTCATGGGTGTTTTGAAGGCGGGCGCGACGTTCTCAGTGATCGATCCCGCATACCCTCCTGCTCGGCAGAACATCTACCTTCAGGTTGCTCAGCCAAGGGCCCTGGTGGTCATTGAGAAGGCTGGCAAGCTTGCAAGCACTGTGCGCGACTACCTGGACGAGCTGCACATCCTGACGGAAGTCCCCGCCCTGGCTATCCAGGACGATGGCAGCCTTGTTGGAGGTCAGGTCGAGGGCGTGGAAGTGCTTGCCGAGCAGGTTGCTCTCAAGTCCCAAGGCACTGGTGTCATTGTGGGACCCGACTCCAACCCCACTCTCAGTTTTACTTCTGGCAGTGAGGGTATCCCTAAGGGTGTTCGAGGTCGTCACTTCAGTTTGACCTACTACTTCCCCTGGATGGCGGAGACGTTCGGGCTGTCGGAGAACGACCGGTTCACAATGTTGAGCGGTATCGCTCACGATCCGATTCAGCGCGACATCTTCACACCGCTGTTCTTGGGTGCCAGGCTGCTGGTCCCGACCGCTGATGATATTGGAACCCCCGGTAGACTTGCCGAATGGATGGACGAGAACGGAGCTACCATCACTCACTTGACACCTGCCATGGGTCAATTACTCTCCGCCCAGGCGGAACGCTCCATCCCGTCGCTGCACCATGCGTTCTTTGTCGGCGATATCCTGACCAAGCGTGACTGCCTGCGACTGCAGAAACTCGCACGGAATGTTGCCGTAGTGAACATGTACGGAACCACCGAAACACAACGTGCTGTCTCCTACTTCGAGGTTCCTTCTCTGAACGCCGACCCCACCTTCTCCCAGTCGCAGAAGGACGTCATTGCGGCCGGAAAGGGTATGCTTGACGTTCAGCTGCTGGTGGTAAACCGACACAACCGCGAGCAGGTATGTGGTGTCGGCGAGATCGGTGAAATCTACGTTAGAGCGGGTGGTTTGGCCGAGGGCTACCTACGGCTTCCGGAGATGACCGCTACGAAGTTTATCAGCAACTGGTTTGTGTCAGAGGATGAGTGGAAGGCGAAGGACGTCAACAACGGAGAGCAATGGAGGGAGCTTTACTTTGGTCCTCGTGACCGGATGTACCGGACTGGAGATCTTGGCCGTTACACGCCCGACGGTAACGTCGAATGTAGCGGACGTGCCGACGATCAAGTCAAAATCCGTGGCTTCCGCATCGAGTTGGGTGAGATCGATACACATCTGTCTCAGCACCCGTTGGTGCGTGAGAATGTCACTCTAGTCCGAAGGGACAAGGACGAGGAGCCTACACTGATTTCGTATGTCGTGCCTCTGCAATCGGAGGACCTCGATGGACTCGTCAGCGCCGACGAGACGTCTACGGAAGGTGCCGAGGGAGACGAGATCGTCCAAGGTCTCCGAAGGTACCGTCGATTGATTACCGAGATCAAGGGATACTTGAAGAAGCGTCTGCCCTCGTACGCGGTTCCTACCGTGGTTGTGCCTCTCACCAGACTGCCATTGAACCCCAACGGCAAGGTCGACAAGCCAGCACTTCCCTTCCCCGATACCGCACAGATTGCTGCCGCCGCCCGCCGCAGGAAGGTTCACCATGGCGATACTGGTGTACCGCAATTGACTCCGGTTCAGAAACAGCTCAAGGACATCTGGCAGAGCCTCTTACCCCACGCTACGGAGGAACTGGCATTGACCGATAACTTCTTCGATCTCGGTGGTCACTCGATTCTTGCTACCCGCATGATTTTCGAGATTCGGAAGAGATTCGTGACAGATATTGCTCTGGGCGCCATCTTCAAGCACCCAACTCTCGGTGGTCTGGCAACGGAGATCGACAGGATCAGGACCGGTGGTGATAACGACATCGGCATCCAGAACATCGGCACCGGCGTACCAACGGCCGAGGAGGAGTCTAAGGTTGAAGACTATGCGGGCGATGCCCGCGCACTGGCCAAGGAACTCTCAGAGAAGTACCTGCCGTCGCGCGATGTGGTAATCTCTGGTGGTGTCACCGTGTTCCTCACTGGTGCAACCGGATTCTTGGGTGCATACTTGTTGCGCGAGCTTCTCAAGCGCACCAATCCTCAGGTCAAGAAGGTTATTACCCATGTCCGAGCTTCCGATGCCGCACAGGCTTTGAGCCGTGTCAAGAAGAGTTGCGAGGCCTACGGTGTTTGGGATGAGGCTTGGAGTAGCAGGGTCGAGGCCGTGACTGGTTCATTGGGAGAGGACAAGCTCGGAATGAGTGACGAGGACTTCGAGAGGGTCGCCGAGGAGGTGGATGTCATTATTCACAACGGAGCTCAGGTAAAGTCATCAAAATCACGATAAACAGACGTGTTAATTTTTTCAGGTTCACTGGGTCTACCCCTACTCGAAGCTTCGACCAGCCAACGTCAAAGGAACTATCGATGCGCTGGCGCTGTGCGCCAAGGGCAAGCCCAAGTCATTCGCTTTTGTGTCGTCAACCTCCGTCTTGGATACCGACCACTTCGTCCGCCTTTCCGACACCATCCTCGAAGCCGGCGGTGCTGGTATTCCCGAGTCGGATGATCTGGAAGGATCTGCTACCGGTCTCGGAACCGGTTACGGACAGAGTAAGTGGGTTGGTGAGTACCTCGTTCGCGAGGCAGGCCGCCGCGGTCTCGACGGATGCGTCATCAGACCCGGATACATCACTGGTGATTCGCAGACTGGTGTTATCAACACCGATGACTTCCTGATGCGCATGCTCAAGGGTTGCGCCCAGCTCGGCCAGATGCCTGATATCTACAACACCGTCAATATGGTTCCTGTGGACCACGTTGCCCGCGTTGTCGTGGCATGTGCGGTTTCTCCCCCGGTTGCGCCACTGGCTGTCGCTCAGGTTACGGGCCACCCGCGGTTGAGGATGAACGAGTTCCTGGGGACTTTGGCTACGTACGGATACGATGTCAAGACGGTCGACTACATTCCATGGCGCATGGCCCTTGAGAACTATGTCATGGGCGAGTCCAAGGACAATGCTCTGTGAGTTTCCACCGGTATTTCCGTTGATTTCAGTTGTGTTTGGTTCTAACGGAGAATTCGTAGGTTCCCGCTCTTGCACTTCGTTCTTGACGATCTCCCATCTGGCTCCAAGGCGCCGGAGCTCGACGACTCAAACGCGGTCATCTCGCTCAAGAAGGATGCGCAGTGGACTAAGGAGGATTGGTCGCAAGGTGCGGGTATTAGTGTCGAGACCATGGGTGTTTACATTGCGTACCTGACAGCGATTGGGTTCCTGCCGAAGCCGCAGGGCAAGGGTGAGCGCGAACTGCCCAACTTCACTCTGTCGGCCGAGGCTCTGCAGAGCTTGAACTCGGTCGGCGGACGTGGAGGTGCTGGAGCTGCGTAAGATTTTTGTCACGTAGCGGATATCTTTCTTTCTTTTCGTCACGTACCGGATATAGCATCTTTTTTACTTTAGTCATGTGTACTCTAGAAATTGATATCGGAAAGCTGGTCGATCACGTGGAATTATCCCGTCTTTTTGACTAGCTTGAAAACACTTTGAACAAGATTTCAAGAGACATCCCGAAAAGAGTAACTTTGTGACCGTAAATATGTGGATATGAATGGAGGAACTGCTCGCGTGCATTGTCAGTTTGCCCTGCTCGATGATGGGATTGTAAGCTACATGAGCAGAAATTACCAGAAGATGACATAAGACAGATGTATGCGATAGTTACCCCCGCCATGCTAGCCCGTCGGCTTTTTGTCGGTGTTTCGCCATGGTTCCATAGGCTCCTCTGCAGCAAAAAAATAGCCGTACCTTTAATTGAATTACCAATTGGCCACTAATGGCGTACATAATCCGACGCGCTAGCGATAACTCCGCTAGGGTGGCGGGTGGTGCACCTCTCCCCTCTTACCAAGAATACTAATCCCCGATCTTCTTCCTAAAGAGATCCCTCGCAAACCCCACCCCACACACAAACTCGACCCAGCTGCTGCTGACAGCACATTCGAACCGAGGATGCCGCCCGCGACCGAGAACCCCAATCCGTCCCCAGACGACCTTCTCCTCCCTCCTCCTCTTCCTTCTGATACTCCTCCACTACCGCCTTCCTCACCTTTAGTACGGCGCCTCATTGCAACCTCACAACCTACTTCGCCAGACATTATGCCCTCCCTCATATCCCCGATGCCCCAGCTATTCGGATCCGGCTACATCAGTGCGCGTGACCTCTCTCCCTCCCCAGCTCCTCCCATGTCGCGCACCGAGTCATTGCGCTCTCTCGAAGGTGGATGGGGAGGAAGCAATTCTCCAGGTGGCAGTGGAGCTGTTCCTAGCATCATCAGCCCCGCATTCACTCCTGCTACGTCGATGCCCGGAACGCCAATGCTCGGCCCGCAGCCAGGAATTCCGGTCGACCACAATGCGCCTACTGAGGTCACCAAGAAACTGATGAAAGAGCTTCCGAATGTCCAGTGCATAGTGCGCGCCAGGATACCGACGTAAGTTCTTGAGTTCCTGACTTCCGGCCTATACCCGCGACACATTACCCTACACCCTCAATGCTCCTGCACAGGACTCTCAATGCTGACAGTGTCTCTTAAAAAAGCACGAACGGGTCAGAGATCTTTCTTCATCTATACCAGAATAATATCGATCAAAAAGAGCACCTTGCCATAGTATTCGGAGACAAGATCAGATCCAAGAGTCTCGATGAGCCTCGGCCGGGAGAGACGGAAATGGACCGCATGATCCGCGGCGCTTATACCGGTCGTCTACATCCCGGACGTATGACTAGCAAGGATACGACGGGCAGAGACACCACGGCTACCGCGCCTCCATCCCCCGCCGACGGACAGCAGCAAAAGAACATCCCATTGGTCCGCATTCATTCTGAATGTTACACGGGAGAGATCGCGTGGTCCGCGCGTTGCGACTGTGGTGAACAGCTCGACGAGGCTGCACGTCTGATGTCGCTTGATCCGGCCGGCGGAGCCATCGTCTACCTGCGCCAGGAGGGACGTGGCATCGGTCTCGGCGAGAAGCTCAAGGCTTACAATCTTCAAGATCTGGGCAACGACACTGTTCAAGCAAACCTCTTGTTGCGCCATCCCGCCGATGCTCGCAGCTATGGTCTCGCGACTGCCATCATTAGGGATCTGGAGCTCTCGGAGATCAGGCTGCTCACCAACAATCCCGACAAGATCGCTGCTGTCGAAGGCATGAACAAGGAGGTCACCGTTGTCGAGAGGGTACCCATGATCCCCCTCGCGTGGAAGAACATGAAGGGTGGTGTTACCGGCAAGGAAGTCAGTGAATACCTCAAGACCAAGGTTTGTCCTCCACCCCCCCCCCCCCCCCATCATCCACATTCCCCGTGCTAACGAGTGAGAAGATCACCCAGATGGGCCACCTATTGTCAATGCCCGAAGGACACTAGCTCGGTTTCATATCCTCAATACTAAAACGGAGTCCACCTTGCTTTTTTGCTTTTTGTTGCTTTTTTTTGAGTGCGATTGGGGTTGTTTATCGTGTATACCGGGCGTTATCTGGCGTAGTTTCTGTAGTTTCTGATTTCTGATTTTTCATTACCTACGTACATTGCTTGTCGGATAGAAAAAATGAATTCTGTCTCCGTATCTGAAATTCTGAACGAGTGATAGTTTGTGTTGAGGTGTGTTTGAGTTCCGGGGTGGGCGGCGGGTAGACATCCGTAATACGGAACGGGTGGTAGGTGGACATCCGTAATATGAACAAACATCCGTAAAATAAGACTGCCCTGCCGAGCCGAGTTGTCACCCACCCGACGCACAGCACAGCACTCAACACGCCCCTCCACCGGGTTATCACTATCAGTACCCACTATCCGCTATCCGTCACCGAAACCGAGCCGACACCAACATCGACGGAAACCGTACCGCGGCCCGTCGCCCTTCAGACCGGATGACGGCGGGTGCCGAGGCGAATGACCAACGATGATCCCGGTGCTTCGCCGCTTCGGATCGTTACCACCGATAATTCCACAATGTTGCCTGTTGCCTGTAGGCATCCGTATGTATGTATGCCGGCGTTTCTCTGTCTCCTGCTGAGCTGTCTCATACCGGTACTGAGCTGTCGAGGGTGTTCCTCATACTCCCCCGGGAGTTGTTTGCGAGCTCGCCCTGAATGGGTTGTATGGATTGAATGGGGTGTTCCATCTCCTGGCCTCTACTATAGATTCCGTTACATGCAGACCCTCCAACAGTTCGAACTGGTAACAAACCGGGGGTATTTCCGGACCAACCAACTGTTGGGGGGTAGTGAACTGAACCAACTGGCAAACAGAACCAACTGCGAAGTTTTGAACTGGGAAAACTGCTTGTCCCACCAGTTCAGTGAGGCTTAAAAGTCTGGACAAAACCCCGTCGCCACCACCAACCCTCCGGCCAACCGCCTACAACCCACCAGCCAGTCGCTACTGTCAACCCAGCGCCCAAAGGACGTCGCCGGTTGATGAACTCCAGGACTGCATATTATTCATTGTTTGTCGAATGGAATGTTCGAAACAGTCCTGCTGCGATCGAATGGTGGCTTGAACCGCGCCAGAAACGACGTTTTCCTAACCTCAGCCGGATGGCGATCAACATTCTGTCTATTCTAGTCATGTCGGCTGAGGTTGAACAACTATTCTCCGAGTGCAACATGATTCTTACTGATAATCCACATTCCCTAAGTACCGAGAGTGTTGAAGCTCTGGAGAGTATCAAGAGGTTCAATCGCCGTGCTCCCATGGGTAGTAGGTAGCATCAGAGTAGGTAGTAATTCAGAACTTTTACTGTACTCATCTTCTATCGCTTTGTCCGTGATCATGGGAACCTATCTCGCCCACTTTGGCTGCCCTGGCAGAACTGACAGTTCTGCCAGTTTTCCCGGGAACAACTGCTAGACTTACCTAAACCAACTGGGAACTGACAGCCTCTGTTCCCAACTGAACCAGGAACAAAATCAACCAGAACTGAACTGTTTAAACCAGTTTTCCCATTTGAACCGACTAACCGTTGGAGGGTCTGGCGACATGGTGTTTACCTTGGAACCGGGGACTGCAACCATACTACTATACACAGATCTTTACTGACCTTCTCATACATATCTTCTCCTACCTCATACCTCAGCACTTACAGCACACTTCGCCCTTACCCATCGCACTCTGGAGTCTGCTCGTTCCACTTCCGCTTCCGCTTCGTCCAATATACCGGTAGTTACATACAGCACAGCAGGTGCCGCTGTCTAGCGGTCTAGCGCGGTCCCACAGATCTCGGAGAACTTTAGTATCACGCGGTGCGATCACCGGTCACTGATAACTGATGTATGTACAATTCGCCACCAGGCGAGGCCAGCTAGGGCTTCGAAGTTCGAAGGCCGTAACGAGGGACGCGAATTGAACGTCTACATAGCCGTTGGAAGCGCCATTGTGCTAGCCGCCCCTCCCCCTCCTCTGCAACCCAACCCACCCACTCCGCTCTCACGATATTGCCATGATCTACTTAGCTAGGCCATGTGCAATCAATGACTAAACCAAAAATAACACTCCGCTCCCACCAGGGGAATTACCATAATCTGCGCAGGTCGTGTGCAATCAACGCCGAAACAGACCGACACCCAGTTGAATCCGTGTTTCGTGTATCTACTCTCAAGCTCGAGTAATAGAACATCGTTATCTCCGAGAGCCCACCGTGATGTCGCCGAATCTTACGGTACCTGTGGATATCGACGAGGGGGTTGGGTTGGATTCGCCCCACCTCAGCACTCCCACCGTCCCACGAATATGGCCGCGTTTAGGTGGCCTGCCTACCTAAGTTAAGGATAGAAATATGTGCCAAATGACTTTTAATACCTACACACGAGCTACAAAAGCCCTCCGATGCGTGCGTATACTATGTGTGCCCCCGTAGAGGTCATAGATGAAGGAGAATGCCCTACACATGTACGATGATCTTGTTTGCTTGTGAATCACAGCTTTCCTTCCTCCCATTGTTTCCAACACGACACGACACAAGAGCAAAAATCGACCGTCTTCCTCCTCGTATACTGGTTCAATTTTCGTCACAATTGGCATTCACCTGGCTTTGATTTCTTGCTTCAAACTTTGAAGAGTCATTGTTTTTGTCAAAAAGAGTTTGAAGCACACAATCGCACCCGGTACTCGCATTCCAATCCAACAATCATGTCACAGATCAAAGTCACCTACAAGCAATTCCCACTCCCCGCTTCCGCTCCCCATCACTAACCTCCCATCCAGCGCAACCCCCTCATCCTTCTTCACATCAACCTCCACCCAGCTCGTCCAAACCTGGCAGAACTCCGAGCCACTCGCCCTCCTCCGGCAGTACCTCACAGGCCAGCCTCCCGTTCTCCAGGAGTTCCTTCTTTACACCACCTCCCTAGACGGAAAGCTCCACCTCTTCCTCATCAAGACCTCCACGAGTCTCGATGTAGGGGTCTACTCCAACGTCCCGATTGACCACATCGACGTACTACAGCACTGCGAGTCGCTCGTCGACGCGCTGGGGCATCGCCACGAACCGCTGCCGACATCGTTCGTGGGCGATGCTTGGCTGGCTGGTCCGCTCGCGCAGGCGATCGCCCACCGCAAGAGCGTGGAAGAGACCTCCTCCTGTTTCTTCAAGCGGACCGAGTATTCCACCTCCCCTCGAACGGCGTACACGGCCACCGTGCTGTTCCCAGGGGCCAACCTCGCCGGCGTCCCGAAACCGGTCCCAGAGGTCTGCCAGGTCACTGCGGATGATAATCAATACTACTGCGAGACGTTGCTGGACATGTTCGGCGACGACGACCCCGCGGTTCCCGTAGACTTTGTGGGCCGCTGTGCGGGCGCGGATGATATCTAGGCGTACTTCCACGCGGGCCGGGTTGTTTCCGTGGCGTGGCTGGCAAGCACTGCGATCGGCGGCAGCGGCGGGAAGCGCCTCCTCGGCCTTTACACCGTGCCGGATATGCGCCGGTGGGGCTTCGCAGCGCACGTGCTGGGAACAATAATCCATACGCTGCTGGAGACGGGGGAGATTGGTTACCTGTCGATGATGTGCGAGCGGGATACCGCTACGGAGGATCTGTGCGATAAGTTCGAACTCGGTTCCGATGAGAACCGGAGCTATGTTCTTGAAAACTACGAGGTCGTCAAGACATCAAGGTTTGGCAGGCCGGAAGTCGCCTTTGGAGCGGGAATCGCGGCTGTTGTGGGTTGGTGGGTTTACCTCGTCTAGGATGGGTGCTTTGTTTCGTTTTGGTCTGTAGAGGGAATGGGGCGTTAAGGCCGGCGTTTTTGTCTTTTTGACTAGAAGTTTGGTAGAGTATTTCGCGGAATGGCAAAATGGATACTACAAGCCACTATTACGATTGAGTGGAATCGAATTGAAAGTAATACCTTTCACGCCATCGTACACTCTCTAATACCGTAGTCTAACTAAGCAGCCTTTCCAACCGACCTAGCCTCAGACTGCCATCAATTGATATCATACACCTCTCGCAGTACACGTCCATTCGGACTCATGAATTCTTATCGATGTCCTTCCACATCTGCACAGTCTCCTGGCGCTTCTCATTCGCCTTCTCGCGGTTCTTCCTCGTGCGTTCGATACGCTCGGCGCGCAGACACTTCGTGACGTCGCGCTTCGCCTGGTTGCACATGCCTGACGCCTTGTAGAGGAAGCCGCGGGCATGGCACTCGTCGAGGGCGATCATTACGTCCTCGCATCCTGGTAGTCCCGTGAGTTGCTGGCGAAGGAAGTGGTGGTAGGAGAGCGAGAGGGTAACGAACCTCGATTGTCCTTGGTGTGGAGATGTGGGTGCATCGTGGCCGTCGTCGTACCTGAGCAGGAGGAGGGAAGGGGGGGTGTTGTTCGCGGTGGTGGGGAAGTGGTGGGGTGAGAGGTGAGGTGAGGTGAGGTGTGGTGAGACCGGATGTTTGGACCTTGTGCCACCAACGAAGCAAAGCTAACTAGCCTAGGATGCCTGGGGGGGCCAGCGGAGGAGCCGCACAGGGGTAAGCTCCGGCTCTAGATCTTCTGCCCCGCGTTGTTCATTCCCGCCACACACCACACACCACCACCATCAGCATCATCAGCAGCAGCATCATCATCAGCATCATCATCACACCTTTACACCTCACACCGCCAGCCAGCCAACACCAACACCCACGACCGACCGACCCCGACCCCCGACAGGTGCGCCCCAGACTCTGCCCCGCCCCGAAGACAACATCGACCACATCAAGCAAGAAAGCATGGCCACACAGGCGGCAGCAGCGCGGCGCCAGCAAGGTATGCACTCACTCACTCACCACCACCGTCACTCCTGGATCCGTAAAACACAGCGACGGAGGGCTAACTTTTTTTCCTCGGAGGATGTGGAAAAATTTAGAGCTGCAGAATCAGTACAGCAATTACAAGAGCACACTGCAACAGCTCGCATCAAAGATTGGCGACGTGGAGCAAGAAGCAGAGGAGCACAAGTTCGTCGTCCTCCTCGTCCGCAGAATTCTATCATCAATGCATCCCCCCTCTCCCCCCCCTCCCCCATGTGTCACACACACATACACATACACACACATACGCACACACGCAATCGGCCATCCCATTTTTTCCTTCTGGAATGTTCTTTTCATCTGGAGGGGTGGTGGGGTATATGCGAGGAACTATGCTTGGTTCGCGCTGGCAGCGCAGCTGCAGCGTTTCACTGGCCATCGACGCCGACACCACCGGCCGCCGCGAATGCCGCGCCACACCCACCCACCATTACACACACACATACATACATACACTTTCATCCGAACAGGAGGGGTGCTAATAGTTACAATGGTTGGGTGTGGGTGTGGTGGGTGTGGGTGGGGAGATGCGGAAGTGCCTTTTTTTTACTTTTACTTTTCCTTTCTTCACCATCACTCTGTTTGGTCGGATAGCCTTCATCGATCACTGGCTAACGTAACCACGTTGTATTTTCCCAGGCTCGTACTCGAAACCCTCGGACCGGTGCCAAAGGACCGCAAGTGTTTCCGTCTGATCAACGGAGTTCTTGTCGAGCGAACGGTCGAGGACGTCATACCTGCCTTGCAAACGAATGCCGACGGACTCAAAAATGTGCTGGAGGGCTTCGTAAAGGAATACAAGAAAAAACAGGAGGAGATGGAGAACTGGAAGGTACGAGCGCCTTGTTTCTTACCCCCCACTTCCCGTACTCGTTTGCTTCGTGGTCTAGAGGGGGATTCCCGGCGACATTCTGTAGTGGTGTGCGATGCCTACACATGACTGTGTCGTGTATGCAAGGCACACGCACCACAAACAGAAGTCTTCTCTCTTCGGAGAATTTCCTGGCGATCATTTCATCCACATCCGCAGCTACTAGTTCCCCCCCCCCCCCGCGGGCCCCCAGTCGAAACATGGTTACTGACTTTTGACGTTTGTCTACTCTATCTAGACCAAGAACAACATCCAGGTCGTGCAGCAATAATGATCCGATGATAATATTGTTCTACTACGGGATGCGGTCTGGAAAATGATGAATACCACTACGTTTTTTTGCTCCGTACGAGAGAGAGAGTACAGTTGTACATGCATACAGGCACAGGCAGGGCTGGCTGGCTAGGCAGAGCAGGCAGATCAGGCACTGCTGCTGGGAATCCAGATTCCGTACCTACCTAACCAACATCTGAGCTGGTTGGCCCGCTGCGATCTACAGTGATACCAGTCCGATCCCCAATCCGGACGTCACTTGTAAAGTAGTCACATACATAGAGTACACACACACACTACAAGAAACCCGAAGAAATGGCACACCACCAGCAGCAGCAGGAGTAGCAGCAGTCTTGCTTGCTGCGCAGGGGCGCAAAGATCCTTGCTGCTGCTGCTTCGACCGACCAGCCAGCCAGCCAGCCAGCCAGCCAGCAGGCCCAGCAAGCACCATCTATCCTGAAACCACCACATCTCGCTGTGCTGGTGGATGGAGAAGGGAAAATAGAGTATGACCTACCTAAGTAGCTCTTGCAGGCTGCTGCTGCTGCAGAGTGAGGTATCACCCACCATTGGCCGCGGAAATCTCTGTACATACATACATTCATACATGGCTCTGTATGTAGTTCAGAGTTCTACGAGTCTTCTAGAACAATGGTCCGTACTAGTAGTTATATTGCGGGGTGCCGGGGACCATGGACCATGGGCATCATTGGCCGCCGGGAGTGTCGAACTCGGGCACTCTGGAGTGGGGCCCTGTATCCTATGTGTATCCTATGTGGGTTAGACTTCACTACTCTAGAGTGGTGAATAACCAAACCGAATCCGGCCGCCTGTCACCCTGTACGAGTAGAGCTGAGCAGAAGCAGAGCTGATATACCGGTATGTAGAGTGTGTGCCTGTCGCGAACCACGATCCAACACATACAGCGTGGTGAGGCAGGAGGAGGGAGGCAGGAGGAGGTGGGGAGGAGGAGGAGGGGGGGAGGAGGAGGGGCGGGCGGGAAGAAATGGAAGGAGGGGGGGGGGGAGGAGGGGGGATGCTCTCACTACTCTAGAGTAGACGTCGATGCCACCCTATGGGAAATCGTAGAGTATGTGGGGAGGGAGTGGGGGAGGCTGTCCAGTGTCGAGGGCGTGAGTTGTCTGTCTGTATGCCTGTCTGTCTGTCTGTATGCCTGTCTGTCTGTCTGTATGCCTGTCTGTCTGTCTGTATGCCTGTCTGTCTGTCTGTCTGAGCAGCGGAATAGAGTGTGCCCACTGCGCATCCCATACCATAGCATGCCATGGGGAAATCGGTGTCGACGTCGACCCCATGCCTCTCAGCCCCGGACGGGGGTGGGGGGATGACGTTGTTCCGGTCGGCGGTCGCAGCCTCGTGGGATGCACTCTAGATAACGTTTTCTTTTTCTTTTTCTTTTCCTTTTTTTCTCCCTGTCCGGCTCCGTCCAGTATCCCGTTGGCCTAAGGAATGATATTTTTTCTCCGGCATGGTGAAAGTTTTTTTAGTTTTTGTCTTTCGGGTTGCGCATTGCGTATTGCTGGTTGCTGGATGCTGGAGCTGCTGCTGGTTGCTGGAGTTGCTGGTGGGTTGATGCGTTGTCAAACGAAAAGAGAAAAAATATTTTTATGCGTTTTGCGGGGGCAGGGCAGAGTAAGACCGGGCAGGGCAGAGCAGGACCGGGCAGAGCAGAGCAGAGTAGAGTTTCGCTTCACGGCTCCTGTCCGAAGGCCGAAGGCTTTGTTGTTTTTGTTGTTGTTGCGTCAGTAAGTTTTGTTTTGTTTTGTTTTCTCTCCGTCTGGTTGTTGTGGTGGTGGTGGTGCAGATGTACCGTGTTTACTCTATTTCGAGCGGGAGATGGTTGATACCTAATGATTGGATCGTTGGAGCATGGGAATCCAGATCCAGGGCTCCGTGGCGTTTGTTTTGCTGGTCCTGATGCGACTGCTGGCTGTCTGGCTGCAGGAAACGATCGACAGCCCCTTCCCGCTGCGATAAGACTGGTCGCCTTCCATGTTCCCCGGTCTCGGGGGGAGGGGAGGGAGGGGGGAGAGGGGGGATTTTTTCTTTCTTGCGGTGTGTGAACCCCACACATATCATACGCACGTCGACGGTCCCGACCAACCAGTCAACCCCCCACTGGCACCGGCAACCACGAACAGACAGAGCCACTCATGAAGGCTCACTCACTCACTCACAGGGCTGTGCACAGAGAGAGGGTAGTGTGCCTTAGCTTGCATGACGTTCACCGTGATGTGATGCCAGCTGTGAGACATGTTTCACGATTGTCAATCTGTCGGCCTGCCTGCTGGCTTGGTGTATAGTATAAACTAGTACATAATCATCTCGTGGCGGGAGATCGATTGGCCAGTAGAGCATGTATCTACCGTACATACAGCAGCGTGTGTGTGTCCATCCAGCCCAAGTCACACAACATATCCGTAAGGAACAGCTGAATGTGTGTATGAAGTATGTACATACTCGAGAAGTACGCAGCCGTGGCCGTGGGCGGAAGTTATTCTGGCTGGGGTGTTGGAAATGGAAAGGAGTAACCAAAGTGAGCCCGCCGGGGCTTGTCGGACCTCCGTGGTGCCCTCAGTTCATGTACCGATCGACAGTTCTGTGCGGTTCGACCCGAGTCGTCGGGGTAGATACTAGGTACGGTATGTATCATACATAGGCCTGGAGAATGGAGCTAGCCGCGGCCGTGCGTGTGTGTATGTAGAGTATGGTACATCATACCTACCTGGGTAAGATGTACTGGCCTGGGTACTCTTGGGGATGGCCGAGCAAGTCGAGTTCGAGATTGCGCGCATGAACGTGAGACCGGATATTGTGCTGCATAGATGAAGAGTGTGTTCTGGGTGTAGGGTACATCCGAGTTGCGATGTCGTGGGGTCACTCTCGGTAACTTCATCCCCAGTGCGGACAAGTCGGAGCAGATGACAGCTGTCTGGATGTGGCCCGGCCAAGGCACAGGGAGATGCCATCCACGAGCAATCCCTAACTAACAATGCAGTCTGCTCAGCGCATGTACGGCACTAGTTAGTACGTGAGTAAGTGCGGTACAAAGGTGGGGGAATCCTGCGCTCTCGGCGCATAGAGCTCCAGAGACGCCGCTGTCGGTCGGTCGGCTTGGACCGAGGGAAATTGGTTGCCTCTGGAGGAGATTGAGCCGTTGTTGTTGTGCTGGCCATCCATCGAGCGGCCTTGCATCCGCCTCCAATCCATCTCGCCGGTGAGATGAAAACGAAATGCGTATAAACATTCCATCCATCCAATTCCGGTGTATTTATTTTTTGGAAATTGAGGGGGTGGTGATTTCCCCGATGCCGAATCGATGGACGAGGTTGGCGCAGTGAGATGGGATTGGCCATGGGCAATGCAGCAATGCAGCAGCGCAGCAGTGCAGAGTGCAGCATTCTGAATGGCTAGCGCACCGACGTCACGCTCGCATCCCATAGTCATCGACGTACAGGTCAACGGGGTAGGTACGGTACACATACCCAGAGCAGAGTGCGTATGTAGAGCATGCATCCACCAGGGCCTGGCGATGCATGTACCTACCTAGAGTGCCTTCTCCAGCGTCAAGGTTCGCCATGGCTATCGATATCGCCGTGGTGGCAGACATCTGGGGCATGAGGCACGAGGCGTGGGCCATGGGGGTATGAGGGCATGGGGGAACATGAAGATGGATGCACGCGCCGCGAAATCGGATCGGGGACGAAGGTACCGGTACGTACGAGTGAAGCAGAGAACAGCCGTCTCAGTTGTCGGCTTTTTCATTTCCTCGTGGCAGCTGGGGTGGCCATCGGGCTGGATGAAATGCGACAGATGTGCTGCACGGGAACTCTGGGGGCGCAGGGCAGGATGTGCCTGTGCCTGTCCGTCCATCTATCCATCCATCGCGCGTAGTACGAACGAATCTGGGCGGCGTCAGCCAGCGCTCGAATGATGGTGACAGCAACACGAGCGAGTAGGTGGGTAGGAGCACCCGCTCCCATCGACCCTGGCCGCGGATCATCACAGTACAGCCGTGTTGCTGTTTCACAAGACGACTGGACCAGCAGGACCAGCCACCCAAGACATGGCATTCGTTCATTCATGTCCGGCTCCCAGCCTCTCCTTCTCTTCGGGCACCCCATCCGAAGGATCGGTCGGTCACATGTTCGGAGAGTATGTAGGGGAGTCGGATGCCGATGCTCAGCGGATCTGTTTCTTTCTTGCTGGTTTTGCCTTGCTGTGTTTTTACTTCCGGCCGCTCTCCCGAAGAACTCTCCCCCGTCCCTTCTCCCGCTCCCTCCGATTCGGCACGGTATAGAGTAGAGCACCTAGTAGTTGGTAGCTCGCCGAGACGGCCATCACTCACCGGCACGCTCGTTCGGGCCCGACTGTTTCGGGAGGCCCGTTCTCCTTGCTGGCTCTCTGGGACCAATCAATCAAACCGATCTGCCTGTTGTTGCTGCTGACTGCCGGTCGCCCCAAGCCACTGCAAGGGTGGGACCGAGTAGGAAGGCAGGACGGAGAGTGAAAAAACCCCACAGGGACGGGCCACCGAAGGATCCCCGACGCACGCAGCCGCGGCGGCCGAAAAGCTACATCTTCTACTCCTGCTTTGCTAGACAACCCTGGACAGCTAGAAAGACGTGTGCGAGAGCCGCAACGCCACAGACAGAGTTGGGTAGCTTGGAACTGGCGAACTCGCTCGCTCGCTCTCGCCTGTAGTAGTACTCCTGTGTTCTTCTGACCGGACACGGGCTTTTTTTTTTCAGTCGCGTTTCCCACAACTCCTCTCCAACCATCCATCAACGTCAACGTCAACAACAATAGCCACCAACCACCAACCACCGCCACCAGTCAATCGTGCCCGTCCGTCCATCACTCTGCCAGTCGGCCGGCCAGTAACCAAGTCCGTACTTACTCGGTCACTCAGCTCGCCCACCGCCGCACAGCACGTACAGCACGTACAGCAAGCACGCACATCGCACTGCACGGAGGAAGAGAAGGCTCCCGCATCCGCCCGCTCCGCCGCTCCCGCTCCCGCTCACCCACACCAACAACACACCAACACACTCCGGCCATCACCACTACCTCCACCACCACCACCACTATCCTCGTTCAGCGTCACCCCCCCCCCCTCCCCGACTGCCTTGTTACGCCCGACAGACTGGTGCCATCTATTCTTTTGCGGCAACAGCTCTATACACCTTACAAGTCGAATTAATTAACCAGCCAAATCCAAATCCAACCCCTACCCTCCCATCAGATTGATCTTCGGGCGAATCTGTCCCCACGCACCGAGACGCGTAGCTGCTGCATTGAACTGTGGTCATCGTGCATCGCCACTGAACGTCAGAGTATAACCCGCCAAAACAACAATAACAACAATAACAACAATAGCAATAACAACAACAATAACAACAACTCCACTGCCACTGCCACTACCATCATCACCACTACCACCAATATCGCCCCACCGCTCCCACCTTTCCACACACCTTCATCCCCCCACAACTCAGCCCCAGTGCATCGCTGCCTAGTCCTTCCGACCACTCCTCCCACCCACCCACCCACCCTTCTCTCACACGCATACGCATACACGCACACATCTGCTGTTGCCGCTCATCCCTTCTCCTACTGCCGCTACTGCTGCCGGTTTTGCTACTGCCGCTGCCGTTATTGCTGCTGTGTGCTAAGGCGGAAACGTTGGCATCCCCGAAAAAATAATACGGAGAAGAAAAAAACAAGGACCACCAGCAAATACCCATCCTCCCCCACACACTCTCTCTCGCACGCAAATACCTGCACACTTACACACCTCGCACACACACACACAGACTCACTCACTCACGCTCTCTCTGTCCTGCCCTGCCCTGCCGTTCGCTGCTGCTGCATCGTTGTCGCTGGCTGTTTGTCGGCGTGGTCTAGCTACCTAGCTCTTCTGTCTGCCGTGCGCTGCTGCAGCTGCAATCTGCACGCACTCACACGTTATTCCGCCCAGATCCTCCGCCCCATCACTGCCATTACGGGTAGTAATCTGTTTTTCGCAGTTGTATCGGTGGTTCCTGTATACACGCAACAGCCACCGCAACTTCCGGCCTGCTTCCTGCACACTCCCCCCCACCCCCCCTCCACCCTCCCCCCCTTCCACCCCATCCCAACCTTCGCTCCCAGCACACTGGTCCCGGGAGCCCAGACAGCCCGTCTTCTGCACGAATACCACCACCAATCGAGGTGACGTGTCGTGCCAGCGAATAGACTGGCCAGCAGATCCCAGTCAACCAAATCCATCCTTCCTGCAACAGCAAATCCTCTCCAGGAACTGCTAAAATCTGTGAACACTACATGATGTCGGCCTCTCCCCCAAAGGACCTGGACGCTGAAGTCGGAGAACACGACCAGTCACCTGACGAACAGGAACAACAGGAGCACATGGAAAGAAACCAGCAAGACGCATCCCAGCAACAGCCTGTGTTTGATTTCGAGGTCAAAGAGCAGGACAGATGGCTACCCATAGCAAATGGTGAGCTCCCCTACATCTACCCCATTGCGTCTGCAACTGCGATTCCCTCCCCCCCTCCAGCGTGTGCTGCAACTATCGACGATCCTTTTTCCGGGGAAGAAATACTCTCGACACAACCCTTTTTTTCTTCTTATATACCCGTGCCACAGCAGGCATTCTGTTATTGTTTGGACCAGCCCTGCCTATCGCTGTTTCTATTTTTGTTTTTCTACACCCCTTTCTACCAATCAGTCGTTCGGAGTGCCGGTTTTCTCCTGGGCCGCCTTTATAGCTGTGCTCCCTGCTGCCGCTGTTGCTGCCGCTGCTGCTGGCTGGCTGTCACTGCACGGGCAAACCGCATCTCGGCGTTTCCCCGCATACCATCATCCCTCCCACGCTCCCCCGCTCCCCCGCTTCTCTCTCCTCCCCCTCCCCCCGTCGCAAAAACGAGCGGTTCCGACAATGCCCGCACTCATCCCCGCCGAGACCGAGAAATCGACGGATCCGCAATTGCTATCCGATACTGATATTCGCAATTTCGCTCCAGTTGCTCGTATCATGAAAACGGCGTTGCCAGAAAATGCCAAAATCGCAAAGGAGGCGAAAGAGTGCATGCAAGAATGCGTGAGCGAGTTCATTTCGTTCATCACAAGCGAAGGTAAGCGATTGCCTTCCATCTCATCCGGCTCCGCGTTCTATGTAGCCATCGTACATCTCGAAGGGTGGATGGTGGTGTTGCGACGTTCCCTATCCATGTCGAGATCGATTGCAACTGTCTGTTCCAACTGGGTTCAGCCATGCAGCTAAGAGACGAGTAACTGACGAATCGGCTTCTTCCGCACGTGGCGAACCGTAGCATCGGAAAAATGCCAACAAGAGAAGAGAAAAACTGTGAATGGAGAGGATATTCTATTCGCCATGACTTCGCTCGGCTTCGAGAACTATGCGGAAGCTCTCAAAATATACCTCGCAAAGTATCGAGAAGTAAGTTGACCCGATTGGCTTCGACCTCCTCCCCCAACCCCAATCCAACCCCAACCCAACCCCCACCACCACCATCCTTCCCAAAAAAATAAAAAAATAAAAAAAAAGAACCCCCCTCTTCTCCCCCTGCCCCACGCACTGTGCGTTTATTTTATTTTTATTTCGTCACTTCACACACACTCCCACACACATCGCATCATTTCATTTTTGTCGTCAAAGCATTGCATAGTACAAAAGGTTGAACATGGACAATTGATTGGCATGGGAAGTCGCAATCTCAGAGGAACCAGTCAGAGGGGGGGCAGAGGGGGAGCAGCGCAACCACATCAGCACCAGGCGCACCCGCAGCCGCATACGGATCAGCAGCAGCACATGGTGTCTCCGCAGGCGCAGGCGCAAATGCAGCAACAGGCGCATCATCCGCTGCCGGGGCCGGCGGCCCATCATCTTCATCTGCAGCATCAGGTGCATCAACACTTCCAGCAGCAGCAGCAGCAGGGTACGGACCCGAGGGGGGCGCAAATCAGACGTTGACGCCTCCGCTCGAAGCCGAGGAACTTCAGCAGCAGCAGCAGGGACATGCGGGATACGCCAATGTTTATGGGCACGTCGCGGGGAACGGCGACAGCAACGGCGGCGGCTATTAGGCTGTACATACGATGACGGAGACGCTGTGTATCTGAGAGGCCCTCACTGTATGGGAGAGGATGAGGTCAGATGGGAACGGAGGAATACGAAAATGGACCTCAGAGGGTGGAAACGACGGAAATGGGATTTGAAATGGAAATGGAGGTGGAAACAGCAGGATAAGGGAAAGGGAGGGGCGGGGGGGACGGAAGTTTGGAGGACCGGTATGTGTACATTGTCGCCAACATTTCCTTTAACTTGTTTTGCAAACATTGGTTCTTTTGTTGCTATGCCTTGTCTTTTGTCGTTTCCTAAACACTTTGCATCACCTTTCTTTTGTCTTTCACTTTATTCAATCTTATCTACATCATATATGGTTCGGTCGCTGGGTGGTGGTGGGTGGGTTTTGGTTTCGGCAGGGGAAATGGGAGGTGGTGGTGGTGGTGGTGGTGGTGGTGGGGGGGGAGGTGGCGGGATAGAAGGAGCAAAGTGCCCTCACGGGCGGTGTGCAAGGTGTATCGGTGTCGGTCTGGGACGTTCGTTTGGTTTGTTTGGTTCTTTTTGGTGCCGCTGGTTGTTTCGTTGGTGCGTTTTATATCTCGTACGTAATATTGTATTCTTGCATTTCCATATCACTGAGCATTTATACCGTTACCGGCTAGAGGTTGGAGAGCTGAATGGTGATGGATTGATAGTGATGGATGGTGATGGATAGATGGTGACGGCGAGCGGGGGGAATCGGGATTGCTTCAGACTTCCGGTCTCGATATCCAAGCCTACTTGGAAAATCGTATTAGGGCCCCAAAAGTCCGTCCAGCAACCATAGGTCCGTCCAGCAATATCGGTCCGCCCAGCAACCATCAGTCCAGCAACCATCGATCCGGTCCGTCCTGGGGGGTCCCGGGCGTCCTCAACCACGGCTACGGCTCCGGCACCGCTTCCCAAGTCCAATCTCTCGGGCCCGCAACTATGTTGGCGCCCGTCAACGTCCGTCAACGTCATCACATAGCACCCGATGCTCGGAAGCAATAGGCTCGGAAGCAATAGTGTAGTCCGTTTCCAGAAGGTTGTGCCGGCCGTCTATGTAGCATGCCAACTACTACTCTAGGTACAGCACGCTCTACTAGGTATAAGCGCACTCACTGAGGATGAGACTACACCCCGAGAAACCCCGAGGAATCACGACGGATATGTAGCCTACCCACCTACCTAGTTGGCGGCGCTGAGTAGACGAGACTCGGAAGTGGGTTGGCAAGTATGTATGCATAGAATACAGATGGGTGAATCCACCACGGACCACTGGCCACGGGCACCGAAACGTCACGCCCTCGATGCTATGTTGCTATGTAGAGTATTGTGCAGCCTGCAGCCTGCGGGGGGGGGGGGAGAGGGCGAGAGCGAGTGATAACTTATGGGAGACGCGAGAATTTATGCATACCTTGAGCATTGATTGAGTGTTTAGGTCCCTCTTTATGCCGTTTCGGATGTCAGAGTGAGTGGGAAATGCGAGCGGCAAGGGTACCGGTAACGCCGACAGATCTACCTATGAAGAGCACCGCACCGTACATGCCATTGCCCCCCCATTGTGCCTGTGTATACCTACCTCTACAGTCCACCATCTTTCACGATCGACAGGAGTACTCTATGTATCACACGTAGACCTCGCAGATCAATGAACAAATTCCCCAGCAGTAACAATGCGCCTCTAAGTAGTTAAAAAACAACAAACCAAACAACAAACCGGTACCGTATGCTCAAGATCAGAAAGACATACGTATTCAGGTAGGAAACAACGCCAGTACATACCCCCCACCCCCACCCCCTCTATTGCGCGGACACAAAGAAAAAAAGTATAGTAGCAAAGTAAAGTATAAATGGTAAAATCGAGCTGAAGCAGACGGAGACGGGGAACAAATATATATGACGCTATAGGCGGTGGAGGCGGTGGAGGCGGTGGAGGCGGTGGAGGCGGTGGAGGCGGTGGAGAAGTTCATGGATGAGACGTATGATAGGAAGGGGAGGTTATCAGAGGGGTTGGTAGGATTTTGTCCGGAGTGATAACGAGTGATGCTCTCTCCATCAGTAGTCCATCTCTTCCCAGTCATCACCGACAACTTTGGACCGCGGCTTCTGAGTAGCGTTGATATCCCTCCACTGTTCGTCATCACCGAGGGCCTTGGGGTGTTCAGACACAGGATTGAGCTTCTCGCCGATATCTTGACTGTCCTCGAGAATCTTGTGTGCCGTTTTGCTACGCACGCTCATGTCGTCGGCGATGAGCAGCACGGCAAGTTCCAGAACGAGGACGTGTTGGATGAACGCACTCACACTGCTCTTGGCGATGAGGCGGTCACTTGCGGCGGCTTTTCCGACGATTTCTCCCAGCTGTTCGGTGATTGCCGTCATTCTGGCATCCTGTCAGCAAACCGTAACACCCGTGTTTGAAGATGGTTCCATCAACATACAGGATTGCACCACCCCTGGGCCCGTAGTAGCCTGGGAAGGGTAGCTTGTGCTCCAGGCGCAGTAGGTTCCTCGTTAGTCCCGCCGTGTCCTCCAGCTGTTTCGCAAACTCGGACCTGAAGTGCGATTCGGTCTTCTCGGAAATTACATCTTTCAGTTGCGGCAGGTGTTTGACGATGCGGGTTGGGAGCTCCTCCCACTGGATGTCGGGGTATCCTTTCTTCGTCCAGTCCTCCCGAAATTCCAACTCTTTATGGTCTTGACATATTTTTACCCACAGTTCAAACCTAACGGGCCGTGAGAGGGTCCATTTGTCCAGATATCCAGGCGGGAGTGGGGACGAACAAAGCTTGCACGAGTCATGTTCGTCTCCATCGATAGTGATGGACACCTCCAGTCCTCTCGTCAGGTCCTTGGCGGATTCACTATCCGACTCGAGGAAGCCGGAAATGTCCGCCAGCGATTCGTATGTCACACTACGATTGGAAGGGGAAGACGATGCTAATGGATCACTGCTGGGAAGAACGGCTATCCCTCTCGAACCGATATCTGTGTAAATATCAATAAACGTAACCTTGACACCCAACGATACCGCCGGAATGAGTACCGTAAGCAGCCCTGGGGTCTATGAACGTCGGAATGGAATCAGCCGTTTTTGTAGCTGTACCTACGTGCGAATCGGCGTAGATTATCAGTCTCCATCCGCAACTCCACTTTCTCGGTTACGAAGGTCACTCACCTTGCTTCTTTGGACGGGTGATGGATTTCTTTCCCGCCTTCTCGGCGGACGGTAGCTTTCGTACCTTCGGGACGGACGGTAACTTTCCCTTGGAAGGGGCGGAGGACGACGCCGCGGGAGGCTTAGCGGGCACCGGATCAATGACGACTACGGCCGGGGAAGTAGCTCTGCTCGGTTTGTCGTTGGTATTCGTATCGACCTTTCTTCTAGCCCCCAGATAGCCTAATTCAACATAAGTTTTGAAGCCTCGGGAGCCGGTGTCGTGGAATACAAACCTCTGGACCCGTAGGTTGTCCGCACAGGTTTGCGGCGGCTTGTACCATCGTTCCATCCAATGCCGGGCTCACGGGCCGTCCGCGAGGCATCCTCCGCCGCCTGGTTTTTATCCTTGCCGGCAACGCACGAACCGATAAAGTTGCTTGCGTTGAAGCTGAGCTTCTTAGACTCTGGCTCGGCGCTCGGTAGGCGACTCCGCGGTTTGACCGACACCGGCGGTTTCGAGATGTCGGGTGCATCCAGCTTCGCGAGGTCGTCGGTCGAATACGTGGCGTGAAGGGACAAGCCGGCCGCACCCAAGTTGGTCTTGGTCTTCTTGCTGGGCGAGCGAGTGGTGAAGTCCGTCGGCTTGAACACCTCCGCTTCCGACGCGGAGTCAGAGGATAGTTCGTCGAGGACGAATTCGTCCTTCTTGCTGTCGGGCTTGTTTTGCGCCGCACTTGCCCCCCCCTTGGACGAGTCGTAGGCATCCCGCGATACCCCATTGATACTCTTGAGAAGCTTCCCGCTGTAGCGGCCTGACAGCCCGGCTCGCCGCTGTAGTGGTTCTTGCATATTGTGTATCGGATTTCGTGGTGGGGCTCTGGAAGCAACGGTGGACGACGGGGAACGAGGGTGGGTAGAACGAGGGGGGGGCAATCTCTCGCCGCTATTGATTGTAGACAGAATGCGGGGGGGTGGAGGGTGACTAGAGTTTAAATGGTAGCGTGATGAAGAGAGTGTGTGGGGGAGGGGGAGAGTGGATGAAGACTTGAGTCGCGTCGGAGTGTCGAGCGTGAAGTGGCCAGGATGGTTGCTGGTTAGAGTAAGCTACTCTCGGACGCGGCAACCCTATATCAGCAACTATACTATTACAACCATGCCCGCTTCCGCCGCATATCGGGCCGAGCATCTTCTATGAGATGCCGTACGTGCATGGCTACGTTGAAATGCAATCACTCGGAATGTTCGGCATCGATACCCCGGTCCGTCAAAGCACAAACATCACATAAAAGCCGGTGCCCGCTCCACCATACGCTGAGGTTTTCGCATGTATTGCCGCTGGACGGTTAGCCGCGACGAACTTTCCGGTCGCCGCCCGGAGCCTCACAAAGTGCTTGTATTCGGAATCGACGTGACGGATTCGTATGTAAACCGATATGTAGAGTCGGTGTCAGCGGTGTAAGCCCACATGATGATGTGAGGCCAAACTGTGGGCCAAAGCTACTTTAGATATACTAGGTAGCAGTATAGGTAGCACCAAAAGCAAAGTTTGTATGATAAAAGAATGGCCATGCATCCCCGTCGAGTCGTTGACGTCATCGAGCATTCAAAAGGAGTGAACCCAGGTGCAAATCCTTCTTATCCGACTCGATATCAACAGGCTTTCTTTAGGGAGCACCTATCACCGGAGTTGCTGGGGGAGGGAGGGAGGGGGGGCCGGCTGGGCGACCAAACAACCACGCCGCTCGAGTGCAGCACCACCACCACCACCACCAAAAGATGGATGCTGGGCGGCAGCCGCACGTGGCCCAAACCCGTCTTCTGCTTTTTTAATGAAACGGATTGCAATTGGACGGGAGTGGAACCAAGAATATCTCGGGAATGCAGGGACGGGTCCAGACTGATGTTTGAACCAGTGCCGAGCCGCGCAAATCTGCACTGGCATGCTGCAGAAAAAATGTGGGTCCTGCCTGAAGGTATCGCTGCATTAAGTACTTTGTCTTCTTCTTACTTACATACCGGTAGGCATCGTCGTCGCAAGGCTTTTATCAATCAAACGAGCGGGTAAGGGGGCCGCTGTCGGATACAGATCGCACTTCTCCGCCAGTCGTCGATCGCAGCCATCTTCCGGTGGGACACATTTCCTATGATATATACTTCTCAAGGCAGCGAAGTCCCAGTCATCGCGAGTGATCCGCCATGAGTGACTCGCCCACCCCGCATGCCGGCTTCTTGCGGATCACCTACCAGGCCTGGCACCTCATGCGCGCTTTCCCGGGCGGCCGGTGCTTCCGTCAAGCATGCTGACCACTCTATGTGCGAGTCTATATATCTACTCTATCTACCCCACTGACCGTCTGGAATGCCGACCACTCTACCCCACTGACCGGCTCATCAATTTGTCCTGCCGAGCCGACGCGAATACAAATATGACCTCGAGAGTCGACGTTCCGCTCGCCCGCCAAGCTTCGATGGATGGGAACTGATTATGCAGGCCTAGGCATGATAGCTTCAATGCTCCATGCATGCATGCAGGTCGCAACAAGGCAAAACGGATACATACTTGTTATTCTACATAGGATCATAATTAAGTGCCTTTCCATAGTATATAGAGCTGGAATCACCGGCAAACAGAAACTCCGCTGCTGCTGACCGGTGCTGCTGCTGCTGTTGACGATCGTCTCGTTACCTTGGATGCATGCCTTGCAATGAATGGCCTCCTTCTTGCGAAGTGCCGGCACCGAGAATACTTGGAATACATGAACTGCTTCACTTCTCTTTGCCGTGGTGGGCTCACCGGCGGTCTCTGTCGGTTTGCGTCGGCATTGCCGAGGGCGGTGTGTGCATGTGGAGTCGAGCTACGAGCACCCTATGTAGAGTATATATGGGGCCTATGTACTCTATGTATGCTGGGGGACACGAAGAAGAAGATCCTCCCACCGGGATAGTAATGAAGCGTCCATAAGGCGCGCATATCCGCGGGGTATTGGTGTCGTCACGCCGGTCCCGTCACGCCGGTCCCGTCCTAGTCGGTCCCAGTCCGTCTCGATACGGGTGGCAGGTGGGTTGCCGCGTTGGGTCACGGGGGAAGGGGAGGAGCCACCATATGGAAGGAGGTGAAGCGGTGACAAATGCCGACCGGGTATCGACGAATTGAAGCCCTCTATGTTGCAGCATGCAATGTGAAGCCGAAGATGGTGGGTGGATGAGAATGAGGATGAGGAACTCGGGGAGAGCGCCTGTGCATGCGGATGGGCCTTGAGGAGCTTAGGGAGAGACGGTGTTCCGCATTGGCCCACCTTTTTTGACTCTAGCTCCATGCTCTACTCCAAGTCTCCGATGTCCAACGACGGACCCTTTGTCCAGCTCCCGCGCACCACGACAATCAAAAGCAAGGATCATTCCTCCCCTCCCCCGCCGATAAAGAGCAGCGCCGTTCCTAACATTTTTTTTTCCGCTGCCAACATCCTCCAGCCAGTTCCTCCAGTCCACACCCCTCCATTCTCCCCCGCCATATCCGGATACCACACTCCCAGAATGCCGCCACCACCACCAGCAACCGTCCAGAACTGTGAGGTCTACGGAATCTCCGACACTGCCGGCGTCACCATTCCCGCTCCCTTCTCCTGCGAAGATGTCCCTGGAAGACGAGCAAAGGCCGGAAAGCTTAACGGAGGAATAGCGGCGGCTACCAGTAGCGAGCTGTTCAAGTCTCCCGTGAGTCATCCCCAACTGTTCATGGGGTCGTACGCAAGACATTGAGACATTGCTGCTGCACAGGCACCATGGAAGCCCATGGCTAAGCGGCTCGACCGTATGGAATCCGTCCGATCCAGATGCTGTGAACCCCGCTGGTGTGTCTGACTCAACTCGGTGCTACAGATCGTCTGAGCGCGGAGAGCAAGGCCCGCAAGTCCACAGTGCTCAAGAGTCTAGCAACACACCTGGCCAACCCAGGTAGCTACACACAACCCGCGCGCGCGGTGGAGGAGGAGGCTGGCGAAGCATGAACGATACTGATATCGGGGGCAAACAAAAGGAATCATCTCATTGGGCGGAGGACTCCCGTCGAGTGATTACTTCCCGTTCGAGCACTTTGACATCAAGGTTCCCGCCGTCGGACACTTCTCGGAGGCTGAAACCAAGACGACCGGAAAAAACGATGCACATCGGCAAACATGATGTCAAGGAGGGCAAGTCGGCCTACGATCTGTCAATCGCGCTGAACTACGGCCAGTCGTCCGGCGCTGCGCAGATGATCCGATGGGTCACCGAGCACACTGAGGTGCGAAACCGAATGATGACTGGCTGGCCTCCTCCTCCACTGACTCGGACTACCTAGATCGTACACAACCCGCCATACCGGGATTGGGGATGCACGCTGTCCGCGGGTAGCACATCCTCCCTCGACATGGTCTACCGCATGTTCCTGGAGAAGGGCGACTACGTGATCTCGGAGAACTACACTTTCGCCACAGCGGTCGAGACTTCTCATCCGCTCGGCTGCAAGTTTATCGGCGTGGACATGGACAGCGAAGGCATGCTCCCCGACGCGCTCGACGAGCTTCTGACCACCTGGGACGTCGCCGCCCGCAGCGCACGCAAGCCATTCCTCGTCTACACCGTTCCCACCGGGCAGAACCCGACCGGCGCTACCCAGAGCACCGAGCGCCGCCGGAAAATCTACGCCGTTGCGCAGAAGCACGATCTGGTGATCATCGAAGACGAGCCCTACTACTTCCTCCAGATGCAGCCGTACACCGGCCCGGGCCAGCCGCCGGCACCCCTCCCGGCAAACCACAAGGAGTTCCTCAAATCCATCATCCCCTCGCTACTGAGCATGGACGTCGACGGCCGCGTCGTCCGTCTCGACTCCTTCTCGAAGGTTCTTGCGCCCGGTTCCCGCTGCGGATGGGTCGTCGCCCCCGACCAGATCTGCGAGCGCATGCAGCGGCACGCCGAGGTCTCGACCCAGCACCCCGCGGGCATCTCACAGGTGATCCTCCACCGCCTCGTGGACGAGGAGTGGGGCCACGGCGGCTACCTCGACTGGCTGATCAACCTCCGCGTCGAATACACGCAGCGTCGCGACGTGCTGATGAAGGCGTGCGACGACCACCTGCCGCGAGAGATCTGCTCGTGGACGCCACCCGCGGCAGGCATGTTCCACTGGATGCATCTGGACGTCTCGAAGCACCCCGATTTTGGGAAGAGGAGTGTCCAGAGTATCGAGGACGAAGTGTTTAAGACCGCCGTTGCAGGCGGCGTGCTGATCACGCCTGGTAGCTACTTCCTCGCCGATGGAGAGGCGGAGTTGCAACAGATTTTCTTCCGCGCTACGTTTGCGGCTGCTGCGGTAGGTTGACCATGGTCTTTTTGCTTGTTGCTTGAGGAAGAGAGATACTAATGGCTTGCACAGTCCGAGGCTATGGTCGAGGCGATCAGGCGGTTCGGTGTGGCCATTAGACAGGTCTTCCGGATCGAGAACTAATAAGCAGAAGATGAAGTGTCCACGCGGCGCAGATGGCTAGCTAGCTAGCTCTCTCTCTCTTTCGGCATATAGCAAGCTTCTCGAAGCATCATTCCTTGCTTGCTTGCTTTTGCCTTGTTCCCGGAGTTCGTAGGTATATGATATGATGTATGTAGGGGCTGGGACTGGGGCTGGGGCTGGGGCTGGGGCTGGGTTACTGTAATTTTTTAGAGTATGTAAAGCAGAGCAATAGTTTAGAATGTGTCAATGATTCTCTCAATGATTCTCTCTCTCAAACAGTCAGGCCTCGCTTTGGTAGTTAATAGTTGGTAGCCAGCCGCCCAATTCGATATGAACCAGAGAAGAAAAAAACGCCCATGGTTTTTGCCTCCCTCCACTCTTCCTTCTTGCTTTGCTTTCCTCTGTCTCTTCCCTCCCCCTTCCCCCTCCTCCCCCGCTTGTAGTGTAAACGAACAAGAAAAAAAAACATAAACCGCATCCATCCCAATCCGCCGCGCGTCCAGCTCAGGGCTCAATTGATGAAGTTGATACAGAAAAAGTGCAGCAGCACACTGCCAAAGACGAAGTCGGCGAAGGCCCTGTAATCCTTATCAGCACTGTCGTTTCTTCCGCTCCTCTTGCCGTTCCTGTCGTGGCCGTAGCAGTGGCGGTGGTAGGGGAGATCATACCGCTCCGGCGACACTTCGGCAAAGTCTGCCTTGTTGGCGGGGTTGGACTGGATTCGCAGTGAAGCTGTCCCACGGTACTGTCTTAGCTGGCCGGTCGATTTCCGCAGCTGTAGACGGGTAGGTGGGCACAGTAATGGGAGACTCACCTGTCAAAACAAACTGCCCCACAGTCGCCGAGAAGCCCGCGAGGAAGGCGTTGAACGGCTATTGTCCTTCAGTTTCAGCACACACACGGAGGGCGGAGAGGCGAACATAATTCCCAGCAACAACACAGTACGCGAACTGCAGCACCCCCGCGGCAACCAGGAACACGAGGAACGCATCGATTAGCTTCGTGCGCGATGGCGTGCTCTCGCTGTACCGCGACGTGAGCGTGCGCAGGATCGACAGTGGATTCTGGGACTGCGATGAGGGCTCGCTCGAGGCGGCGGTGGTGGAGGGGTCCGAGGGGGAGGCGGCGGCAGGCTTGCGGGCGGCGGGGGCGCGGGAAGTCATCGTTGCGGTTGGTGAGGTGCGGTGGTGAGGTGCGGTGAGGTTGTTTGTTTGGGAGGGCGCTGAAGCTGGTGGTGACGGCGACGACGGTGTTGCTGGGCGGGTGCGGGTGTTGCGTGAGGATACGTTGCGTACTCCGGCCTAGAGTAGCGTAGGTCGACAGCTTGTGTGCAGGGACAAGGGTGGGGGAGGTCGCACAAGCGGGATTCGGAGTTAAATACCGGCCGTCGCGCCGGCTGAGCTACAACGACAACGACGATAACGACGACATACGGAACATACGAAACAGCTCCAACTACAAAACTACAACTACAACCTTCACGGAAATACCTACAGCAAAACAATGGTACCCCCTCCCCCTCCTCCCTCTCCCCGCGCGCCTCACTGGCTGGCTATCCAGCGCACCCGCTGACCTCTGTATCTGTACCTACGCAGGCCGACCTCCCCGCGCTGATCCTCGGCCTGCTCTGCGCCTTCGGCGGCACGATGGGCTACGTGTAACCTGCCTCCAGTCCCCGTCTCCCGGCTCCCGCACCCCACTAACAGCCCACCCCACAGCCGCACCGGCTCCGTCCCCTCTCTTGTAGCGGGCATGGGCGTGGGCGCGCTATACACGTACGGCGGTCTGCGCATCCGCAACGGGCAGCCATACGGAGTCGAGACCGCTCTTCTAGCGTCGCTGGTGCTCGCCGGCAGCAGCTTCCCGCGCGCCGTCAAGACGGGGAAGCCATTGCCTATTGGGTTGAGTGTTTTGGTGAGTTGTGGTGGAATGGAGGTGTTAGAGAGAGGGAGAGAGGGAGGGGTGCTAATTATTGTGACGGGGACAGGCGACTTATGGACTGTTTTACTACGGGATGAAGTATAAGAATGCCGCGAGGTTGTAGGTGGTAGGCGGAGCAGGGCATGGTAAGGGGTGGGGGTGGGGTGGGGTTGATGTGCACAGATCTCAAACAAGCAAGCAGGCAATTGTGTTCGGTTTAGTTCAATTCGATTCGTTGATGTCGTAATCCCACAAACCGGCGCTGCACCTTCAAGCCCAGCCTTCGGCTTGAGTACCCACGATCTCATCGCCCATCGGGAACTTCGCCTCGTACTCCAGATCCAACGTGACATGACTTCCCTCGGGCAACTCGAGATCCCACTCGACCTCGCCGCCCATCTTCAGTCTCGCCAGAATGGCCACCACACCCTTCGGCACGACAACCTTGACCTCATCACCCACGACCCTGAGCCCCTTCGGTTTGAGAATCACCAGGCGCAGCCTTTCGTCCTCGGAAACGGGGACCTGGTCGAGCACGCGCAGCCTCGAAATCCCGGGCCTCAAACTATGCACGCGTATCTGTCTTGAATACGTAACGATCTGCTCCTTGACCAGCATGCCCTGGCTGGCGGCCTTCTTGACGGGCTTCGCGTACATGACCTGGATGCTCTGGTCGACGCCCAGGCCGACCTCGAAGGAGGTGCCCGGGAAGCAGCGCGGGATGTTGGTGCTCCCCATGAACGATCCGTCGAGCGTGAGCCCGGCGGGGCCCTTCAGCAACGCAAATGACGAGATGTTCGGGATTCGCGCACTCATGTACACCGCTGACCGGATCTTGGGTACCGCGTGGAAGTTGAACTCGACGGAGCCGAGCTTCATCTCCGCGATCACGTGCCGCCGGAGTTGCGGCGAGGACACGATCGTGCGTGTGCCCGGCAGCTCGTATATCGCCATTACGCCGTAGGTGATCGCTGTGCTGGAGGCTTCGCGCATTTGCTGTTGCTGCTGCTGTTGCCCCGGCTGTTGCTCAGGCTGCTTCTCCCCACCGAAGAAGGGGGTCTCTTCACTGTTGAGGAAGGAGTCGAAATCGAAGTTATCTAGAGAACGGGAAGAACCGCCAGTCAGAGATTGAACTGGACGAAGCGGGAAGGGCTTCTTCCATGCCCAACAATTCATCTGAGGCACCAAACATGTCGGACCCAACAGCATGCACAGGTGGAGGACCCCCAAAGCTGGGCAGTTGCGCGGTATTCGGATATGCAGCTTGGGACTTTTGCGCGCTGTAGTCCATTTCTTGTCGTGCCAGCATCATTCGTTTCTTGTTCGATTGCTCCAACAGCATGAGTTGCATCTGGTAATCTTGCGAAGCTCGAGGGCCAGGAGGTACTGTATCGGTGTCAATACATATACTCATGTACAAGGAGGACATAGATGCAGAGATTCCACGTACTGACAACGTTCGGAGCGCGATTGCGAGGGTTTGCTGTATCGGTGTCAATACATATACAAGAAGGGCATAAATGCAGAGATTCCACGCACCCGGGGGAAGGCTCGGAGCTGGCCGCTTCTCTTCCGGAGAAGAATTGGCTCCACCTGTTTTATAGCGATCTTCCTTCCGTTGGAGGCCGACAGCCCACGTGGACAGCAGCGGCGCTTTATCGCCGAGTCCGCCAAACGTGGATTGACTGTTTGAAAGCGTAACTTTGGCGTCGCGCCATGTTTCGCCTGTTGTTGCGTAGAATCCAGCCCTGCACACAAGATGTCCAGTTGCAGACGTGGTGTCCAGGCGCAGATCATAGCGCGGATCCCACGAGACCCCAGAACCGATGATGTACGAGATCCGCAGGTAGGATGTGGCTCCTTCTGGTGCCTCGTCGTCGTCCGGACGAGACCGCTTGCTAGTCGAGGCCTCGGCGGCAATCGAGGGTGTACTCTCTAGAAAGCTGTCCTTCTCGATGGTTATTTGGACATTATAACCGAAACTGGGATTCTCTCTCGCTTTGTATAGCTCTTCCCGCTTGCGTGTCCACTCCTTTCCTTCGGCACCCCGGAGGAATTTCTTTTCGAGTTTATCGCGGCGGTTCCTTGCCTCCTTAAGGACCGGCTTCATCTGGCATATCTCTTCCTCGAACCCTTCGATCAGCGCCGAAAGTTTCTCGGACTCGTTCATGATCATATTGACTATTTCGGAGAACTGAGTGGTTCCATTATGCTCCATGAGAATCGAACTCGTGTTGATCTCGAGATTTTTGAACAGGTTCTCTGCCGCAATCTTCTTCCGCACGACACCTTCGTGCCGTTTCTCCAGGACTCTAGCCTGCTCGACTGCCTCCTTGAGCTCGTCGCTCCAGAGACTAACTTGCATCACCGCGTCCTCCTCGTCTTCGGATTCACAGTCGAAGCCGATCTCTTCCGCCCTGACGAGGCTCACTATCGTGTCTGCTATGAGAGCGGCCCCGAGGCCGTGGCCCTCCACCTTCAGACTGTGCTGGTCGAGGTGCATCGACAGACCCGAGATGGTGATTTCATTGCAGCCGGTCCAGAAGCCACGTCAAAACCGGGAACCGGAAAGAGTGCTGGAAGGCGGGAGATAGATACCTTGATCTCGATGTTCTCGATGTCCCGGACCACGGCTGCACGGGAGGGATAGATGGTCACGGAGCGGGTAGGAAGGTCCTTGATGGGGATTAATTGCCGGTGGATGATATCATGCTCGGACGCCATGATTGAAGAAGAACTCGGTGTAAAGCTGAAGATGATGGTAGAAGGTAGGCAACTGATGTTTTCCGAGCTGCTGGCTGTCGAACTGGCTCTCATATGGGTGAGCAGAACGCTGCTTTTTATAGAGAACCGAGCATGAGACGTTCTCCAACGGCACGGAAGCAGGCCACATGGACCGAGCCTCCTAGGCAGACGTGTTTAAGCGTGCATCATGCGTTTGTATGAGGAATACCGGATTGGGGCTCTATTTGGCAGTGAAGTTGCTCGATGTGGTTTTTGGTATATAGCTTCAGCGTGGGGGATGGGGGGCAGCTCTCGAAACTGGGAAGCCTGAAGCTGGGGTGCCTAAAACTGGGGTGCATCAGTGCTTGCACCGTACGACCACCCCACTTTTTTTGGTTTAATCATCATGCATCGCATTCACCCATAGGTACATCCGTCACCGTACGATGCACGGGAAATACTCTATTCCAGTAATCCCCGGCTGAATACTCTTAGAGTGTTAGCTTATGATCGTGATGATCAGGGCGGCCATGAAATCCGCCCAACGAACTACTAATATCGCGGTGGGTTGCTCATGGTGGCCACGGAATTCATCCAATGAACTGCTCATTTAGTATGCACAGGAGTGAGAGGGGAAATACATGTCCCGCCAGCTGGAGCTTGTGAAATCGCGATTCGGAGCTCGTGATACCCGGTATCCCGCGTCGGAGCTCTCGTCCCTGGCACACTTTAAAGCTATGTAGACCGGCACCAGTGAGCGATCGGTAGAACTCTCGAACTCTCGAACAAGTTACTCCATACGAGTAAACCGGCGAGCCATCGCAGTTTCCGCCAAGATATGCCTGTGCAGCCGGGTGGTGGGGTTGTGGAGGCGCGGCATGGAAGAACGTTTTTCCGTTAGCCTATCGATTTTTCGCGATGCTTGGCGGCACCACAGAAGTTAGTTAGCGGTGTGCTTTTCGCGACGTCCAGCATTTCCCACCTTACACAACCACTACGGAAACGGACCACGCTCGCACGACCACGACCGTCCGAAACGTCCACCCTTCGCCGCACAACCTCCGTCGCCTCCGAAAACTACCCCGAACCGTCCCGTCCCGTCACAGCAATGGGGAAAGCCAAGAAGACCAGAAAGTTCGCACAGGTCAAGCGTATGATCTCGTCGCGCGATGGGCGCCTGAAGCAGAACCAAGAGAAGGAGGCGGATGCGGCTAAGAAGAAGGATGTCAGCGAGATAGTGCGCGAGATGTGAGTTTTTCTCTCCTACTTTGCCGTCTGCGTACGTGGGGTGCAGAGGGCGAATTGCTGATTCGGCGGGCGAAAAAAATCAGACCTCAAGTGGCATCCTCCCTCTTCTTCCAATACAACGAAGCGCTGCGGCCGCCGTACTCGGTGCTGGTCGATACCAACTTCATCAACTTCTCGATCCAGAAGAAGCTGGAGCTGATCCAGGCCATGATGGATTGCTTGTACGCCAAGGCGACGCCGGTGATCACCGACTGCGTGATGGCGGAGTTGGAGAAGCTGGGTCCTAGATACCGCATCGCGCTCAGGATCGCGAGAGATCCTAGGTTCGAGAGGTTGAAGTGCGACCACAAGGGCACCTATGCCGACGACTGCATCGTCAACCGTGTCATGCAGAACAAAATTTACATTGTGGCGACGAACGATGTGGATCTGGTGAGTTTCCTTTCACGGGAGCAAGGGGAAAGGGGAGGATAAAGCTAACGTGTCCAACAGAAACGGAGAATTCGGAAGATCCCCGGTGTGCCGATAATGAGCTGTGGTACTGGAAAGTGAGTATCCCAACGCCCAGCGTCACTTGACAGGATTGATGGATGATGACTGACCGTGTCCGTGCGCCTGCCTGCAGATACGCGATCGAACGACTACCGGATGCTCCCGAGAAATAATGAGCACTGTAACGGGAGGTGGCGGTGCGGTGTCGACTCACTACGACGGGGCACGTGGGCACCCGGGGAAAAGGTGGAATCATACAGCACGGCGTTTATTAGGGATTTGTCCTTTTCTGTTTTCGAAATCTAGGGATTTTTGCTCTCAGATCTTGCCTGGTCTGCCTCTGTACCAGTACATACTCAAGATGTAGCCAGGCATTGTCCACGTATCTTATAACCCGGAGAATCACGGCGCGTCAGATATGACCGAGTGATCAGTCATGATTCGGTCCTAATGTGCGTTTTAATTCTTAAAACGGCAGAGCGGGTTCAAAAATGGCAAATCTCGGAATTCCGATTGGCTTCGGATATCTGCCTGATATCATTTCGTTTCGGCTTTGGCATACCTAGAGTAAGAACGAGAGCATGTTAGCTGCGATGACAGTTGGTCGAAGTACATATGTTGGCTTAACCAGGAACTATAGTAGAAGCCCTACGGCTTCGGTATTTTCTTGTTCGATTCCCCAAACCGCTGCAGGGGGGCTTCACCCGCGATGTGTTGCATAGGACCGGCGACAATCGAAGCTCCCGGATGAGAGTCCCAGTGTTCGACATATCTAGTCCAGTCCGTCCGTCCTGAGCCTCGGACTGGACTGGACAGTATCTTGACAGTCCGTCCGGGAGAGGTGTTCGGACGGACTAGGTAGTTCAAAAAACATGGATGCTAGGACGGACTGCAGTCGACTACAGTCTGGACCCAGTCCACGAAATCAGTGGACTGGACGTCCGACGGACTACTTTCACGCAGTCCGTCCAAGCCGGACTACGGTCCGGACCGGATTATGTCGAACACTGGATGAGACCGGGGAGGGAGGGGAGACCGAGACGGACAGCCCGTCACATGGAAAAAGGGCTCGGAGACTGCGGGTCGGTGCGGTGCTTCCTCGTCTAATGTGAGACTCTATTCCTCCGGATGGGGATGGGGTGTTGGGGGCAGCAATTTGTAACATTTTCTTAGATCTATATACCTAGGATTGTGTCTTGGACATGGCGGTGAGAACTTGGAAGCGTGCTTGCTTCATTGGCTTTGGTCGCTTTCTCCACTGTGAAACTCCGGCTTCCTGTATTTGAACACTTTTGTCTCAATGCTCGAGGACACAAGGGAACAGCGAAACGGTAGTTAGGCGTCGGTCGTTTTCGATACCATCCCTTCCCACCACAAACTAGGTTCCGCTCGGTCTCGTCAACTAATCTCATGATGATCACCTTTGGGTATGTACCTAGCTCGCCAGAAGATGGGTAATTCTTTGTGCTCCCTGATACCGGTGACCACTGACCAGTGTTCGAAATAGGTAGTCCGGACTGCCACTTGGACAGACTGCGTGTAAGTAGTCCATCTAGTCCATAGACTCTGTGGACTGGGCGCGGACTGCAGTCGACTACAGTCCGTCCTGGCCTCTATGTTTTTTAGACTAGTCCGTCCGAACACCTTTCCCGGATGGACTACCAAGATACAGTCCAGTCCAGTCCGAGGCTCAGAACGGATGGACTGGACTATGTCGAACACTGGGACTCTCATCCGGGAGCTTCGATTGTCGCCGGTCCTATGCAACACATCGTTGGCGAAGCCCCCAGATTACAGTCATGATCCAGTAAGGTCGAATTCTATGATGATGAAACCAAAACAAAAGAGCCCCAGATTATCGATAGTATAGCTGCGGCAAGAAGCAAGGTGATGAACGAAGCAAGACCAACAATTCGCCAAGGCCTGTGCTTACTCTACATAAGGGCCGCTTTTTCCACCTACCATCTCTTCTCCAACTTTCTTGCTCGTCTTCCCTGTTAGTACATACCACACAGATCACCGCAATACCACCACCACTACATCTCAGCTAGCCATCCCCGTTGGATGTGGGCCAATTGGACTGGCTGGAGGGTTTCTGGCGACACTGTCGACAATGTCGTTCGATTAGATACTGCCATCGAAGGGAATGCGGCGAAGCCGTGAACCGCCACTCTACCGCGGCCCGTTATGGCCCGATTTTCCAGTGGGCCCGAAGGCACTCTCGGACCAGAGGGCACAGAAGAAAGCAAGACAAACTGGCTGCATACTAGTATCTAGACTAGGTACCAGTGCCAGGGTTCGAACCAAGGATGAAAGAGTACCCAGGCTAGAACATGAGGAACAGCAGCGGTGGGGGCAGAAGATCAAACCACGCGGATGGAGTAGCTCCCTATGGCCTATTGCAAGCATCCTGTCTCTACTGGGAAGTAGTAGATCGAATTTCGCGGATCGAGTGCTGCATTGTGTACTACATAATACCTAGTAACAATCGCTTGCCAAGGCCATGGAGACGCACACTACGTAAGATTAACCACTGCCGGTACTGGCGCTGGCGGCTATTTAACTACCAATAGCAAGTACTTGCTTACTCTGGTTATGCACCCACTTGAATGATTCTCTGCTCCCATTCATCCATCTAACTACCGGGTCGGCCCGCGTCCACAATATCCACACACAACGCTAACCAGGCCCTCGAGGTCCGTCCGTCATTGCCGAGTACCTACCGTACCGAGTAACAATGTCCCAACGTGTCCGTGCATCAACCTCCGACCGTCGGTATGCCCCACGGCTGTGCGAATCGCAAGAATATCCAGGTGAAGGTGGAGCCTTTCCTCCTCCTCAGCCGCAACGGATGAGTCCGTATGGTCCATTGGTCCTTGAGTGCTCTCGTTGATGTGCGGTTGTGAGACACTCGTCTTATATTGGGTTGGCAAGTTTACTCAAACCGGCTGGTGATGATCACTAACTCCTAGTAAGCACCTATGTAGGTACTAGTTACGCGAGACTAGATAGGGCGGTCACTCCACTTTATTCTGGAGCACTCTAGACCGTGTTTTTGGCGACAAGGCGACGGGGGTGGGGAAGAGTGCCGTGCGTTGGTTTTTACGGGGAGGAAGCCGTATGTGGGGGATATAAAGATATGGTGGTGGTGGTGGTGGTGGTGGTGGTCGGTGGTCGGTGATCGACGGTCAGTGGTCGGTGGTCGGAATGGAGGGGAGCTGGTCGCATACGGTTACCTAGGCTAGCAGACTTCATGTCCGAGGGAGGTGCTACATACAATTTTCAGACGTCCAGCGTTCGAATAAACAACCGAATGGCCTCTCACCGAAAGTGCACCTAGGTACCAACGTGCAGTTATGTACTTCTTATCCGACCGCTGCGCACATGGATCGCTGGGGGTCCACGTGAGCCAGAATACTGCACTCCATAATCTCGCCTCGATCGGACGAGCCCGCCATAACCTCTTACACATACATATGTATAACCTCAATGTCACCGGCAATCCCTGGGGTGAGATGGCGGAGTTCGGTACCGAGACAACCACTTCCCGGCCCGGGATAGGGGCGGTTGTTGGAGTAGGCACCTAGGTGCCTAGGTATGTAGGCGGAAGAAGAAGTCTGGGGGTGTTGGGATAGTGTCACGGTGTTGATCCGGTTTCACATCTTCGGTAGATCTATACGACCGCAGAATACCATGCGTATATAACGAGCTGCCGCTGGCCCGCGCCCAGGAGAACAGTTAGATACGAAATCCCATCCACCGCCCGATCAACACCAAGACGAAGCAGGACGGATGCATGCACGATGGCGATATCCCCCTCACCAACGATAGCGAAGGAGTTTGTCGCGCCCACCGGGCTAGCAGCAATATTAGGGGTCGCCGCCGGCCAAGCAGCCGGACTTCGCGGCGTGCCCGATGGCTTCTCTTCGCCAATCTTCGAACCGGGTTATGTTGTGGAAACGCGAGGCTGCACTTTGGTCATCGTGTCCTACGTTTCAATGGCACTCACACTGGTTGTCGCTATGGCACGGATCGTGACGAGATATCTCTATGCCAAGAGGCTGCGCTCGGATGATTGGATGATTATTCTTGCTACGGTTCGTGGTCGCAGGAGAGATATCTCTTCTCTCTTCCTCGTGCGTGTGCGTTTGGACTGGGAGTTGGAGGGCTGATTGATGGTGAAGTCGTTTTGCGTAGCATTGACGGCGGAAAATGTCCATGGTGGGGTCAACGGAGGACTAGGGAAACATGGCTGGGATCTGAAGTATTCCGAGATAGCGGTGGGAGTCAAGGTGTGCATACTATTCTACTCCTCATTGCCATGACAACATCGAGGAGCGTAACTAATGATTATCCCCCGTCCAGATGCTGGTACCGCACCTTCTCTTCTACGCCTTCACTCTCATCTTCGTCAAATTCTCAATCATCCTCTTCGTGCGCGACCTTGCCAACCAAGCCGACTCCCGCACACTTCAGCACGTCATCACCTTCTACTTGATCTTCCACATCTTCTGGGTGCTCGCCTTCGCCTTCGCCTGCATCTTCCAGTGTCTCCCCGTGCAGGCGAGCTTCTCCCTCAGCCTCCGATTCCACCCTGATACCCGGTGCCGCGACAACACCGTCTTCTTCTGGGTCTCATCTTCGGTGCACATGGTCTCGGATATCGCCATCCTGGCATTGCCAATATGGATGGTCGTCGGCCTGCAAATGACGTGGCAGAAAAAGGCGGCGGTGGTTTTCATGTTTAGTCTCGGTGGACTCGCCTGCCTCTGCTCTATCATCCGCATGGCATACTTGGGAGATTATACTTCGTCCTTCGACATATCCTGTACTTTACCCCATTCATCCTCGCCCCCTCCCCCTCAACTGACCAAATAAACCACAGGGGATGGATACCTCCCTTGCATCTGGGGCCAGCTCGAGGCAACGATCAGCATCATCACGGCGTCGCTACCAGCGCTTAAAATCCTGTTCGCACGGGTGATACCCGGGCTCCTAGGCGCGCAAGGCAGCAACGGCAGAGGAAACGTGAACGTGCTGCAATTACGCCCGAGGCGGAGAGCCAGGATCAGTGATATATTCCGGCGCAGCGAGGATGGCAATGAAACGGTGCAGAGGAAACTCTCGAAGCCGAGGATGGCCATGCCGGTAATCAACGAAAGCGCATCGGCTTCCATCACTACTATGGATACGGCCGAATCGTCGGCTCCAATTGGTATTGTGAGAAAGTGGTCGTCGTTCTCGAGCCGGAGGGAACTCATCACGGCTCCGGCTCCAACTCTGTCCCCGGATCTGGAACGACAGTGATCCCGCCTTCTTCTTGTTTCTGTATTATTTCTAGGTATCTACCGGGGGCTCGTCCGGCCCAGGGGAACGGATACGTGTATATATTGCTATGTTCTGGTCATTTGGTTGGATTTCTCCATGGCGTTTTCTTTCTTCTTTCGGACAGCCTGTGGGAGTTTTTGCGTACCGTATGGCTGCTTTGACAGGTGGGCACTTGTGTACACAATGTAAAAAATTTAACCATACGTATGCATACCTATTTTGCACTCACCTAATCACTCGCGTGTGCCACGTTATTGCCGGTGTCATCCAGCTGCCAACCAAGAGTTCAGGCAGGCAGACAGGCAGGCGTATTGACGGACGGACATACGGACATATGTATGGACGGACATACGGACGGACGGACATGTGGACGGACAGACGGACGGACGGAGAGACAGACTATAAATGAAACACCGACGTCTCACCCGGTCACACCAGCCCAGAAGTCCAGGACCCCTTTCCTCGGCACGACACTCACACTCACACCCACGCAGACACCCACGTAGACAGCCGACCAACGACCAACGACCAACTTGACCGAGGCAGTTAATCGTCAGGCAGCCAACATTAAACGGCATTCGGGGTTTCTGGGTTTCTAGGTTCATGTTTCTGGGGTTCAAAATCCCGGGGTTAGGTTCTTATAACCGAGAACTTGGCGCTGTATCCGCACACACACACGCTTCGCACTTTACGCGCCCTTATGTAGATATGTTTGTAGATTAGAGTACACAGCCGATGCGGGGGGATTTCGCCGCGGATGGTGGACGTGGATGTGGATGTAGACGTAGACATTAGGTGGATATACTAGGTAGGTTCTCTTGAATCTGTGGTGCGTTTGGAATGCGGATGTGACCAGACCCAACTGGACTGGACTAGATACGATGGGATGGGGTGGGGGATTCCATACCCACTGCCGCGTGGGGAACCAGCGCGCATAACTATATGGTCCATGGATGCGGGGGAACTCGAACTCTCGGAGAGACCCGACCGGAGACTATCGCTACTCCAACCTCCGTCCTACAGAAACCAACTAAACTTCAATGCTTAACTCTTGGTCTCAAATATACAGATATTTACTAGCTTTCTGGTCTTTTTCTAAGTATTCGGTCCGACTGTCCGACTTCTAGGGGCATTGGCAAAACCTTCTAGATCCCACGGCCCACGGGCGTCATCTGGTCAGATTACCTAAATGCTACGAGAATTCGCACAGACTATAGTTACCTATCTGTACATACGTCATGAGTATTGTATATGTACGCATAGTATAGCCATAAGCGCTGAACTCCACAATCCACCATATCCCGAAAGCCCAAGCCCAACCCATCCGCCAGTACTATGTAGAAGACATCTTCCCATGAGCCTTACAATTTTGCCCTCGTCCCTCTTGGTTTCCTTCTTTCTCGCTCTCGGTTATATATGTAACATCTGTGTCCTCCCGCCCCTTCCGCGCTCTAACTAATCCAACGACCGACCGAGCCGGATTCGGCCAAAGGAGAATCAATCCGCCTTCTTTATGGATTGATATGGATTGATATGGGAGGATATGGATGGATATGGATTGATATGGATTGAAACGGATCGATATGGGAGGATATGGGAGGATATGGATTTATATGGGAGGATATGGGTGGATATGGGAGGATATGGATACTTGGTGGATTAGGCGTGATTCACGATACAGCACTCGGGCATTCCGGCCCCCGCGGTTAGGGGAGTCCACGGCATTGGACCGGCGGGTTTACTACATATTAAAGGCCTTCCCCTAACATCCCGTCTTTGGGCACGGCTAGGGACGTACCATCACATTGTTCGGATAACCTCTCTCTCGCGGGTTGTGTGCGAGTGATGGATTGTGCAGCGTGGCTCCTGCCTCACCACCCTCACCCGCGGCTGTGTCTGTGGCTACGTTATTTGTATCGTCGTTTAATGGGGGATTTGCAGCCTCATCGATGAATTACCCACTTTGCAATGAACGTGTCTACGTAAGGCAATTCTGCCCTGGTCTTACGACTTCTGCAATCCCTTCACCCAACGCCCAGTTCACATCACATCACTAAGTATCTATCGTCGATGTCAAGGAACCGTTTCCGTTCTTCGTATTCCCTCTATCTGTCCCGGCACCATTCATCCACGTATCACTCCCAGCTACCATCTACGTATTTATAACGTAGTTAGTTACCAGTACTTCCAAACCCGCCCGCGCCGCGCACACTCTCCTCGAGCTCCTCGACGACGACGACGTCCGGCGTGTAGATCTAGTTACGGGGTACATTAGCATCACCGACAACCCCAGCGGCGGCGCAGAGAACCCACCCTCTCCAGGATCAACTGCGCAACGCGGTCGCCAGCCTTAATCTCAAAGTCCGTATCCGCATGGTTAAAGAGCAGGATCTTGACTTGACCACGGTACTATCCATTGTATCAGCCACTGCACACCACCCTTCCCTTCCCTTCCCCACCCCACTCCACCCCATCCCCTTCCACACCTTTCATCTTCAGAGGGGTACTAACATCCGCATCAACAACCCCCGCGCCCGTATCGATAAAGTTCTTACTCGCGAGCCCGCTCCGGGGGGCAATACGTCCGTAGCATCCCGCGGGCACGGCAATTGCGATATCCGTATCGACCAGGACCTTTCCTCTGGCGGGAACGGCGGTGTCGCGCGCCGCGTAGACGTCGTAGCCCGCGGCGAACTCGGAGCCGCGCGTGGGTGCGCGCCCTGAGGGGGTTAGGAGCTTGACCTGTAGTGCGGGAAGCCCCGTGGGGTTGGTTACGGGCGAGGTTGTCGTGGACATCGTGCGCTGCTTCTTGGTCGTGGAGGGGAGGGCGGCGGTGGTGGAGGTCGGCGAGAGAAGGTGTTTGCTGTCGGTGACTTCGGTGCGGACGGGGGTGCTGGGTCGTTCGTCGGCGGCGGCGGTGGTGGACATCGTTTATTCGTTAGGGCGGGGAGCGGGGAAGCCCGAGTACCTAGCAGGAGGAGGGAATCGCGTTTAGTACACGGGCTTGGCGGGAAACGTGGATACGCGTTTGAAATCGATTCGTCCGTCGCGAAGAAACAGTTCATTGGTCGTCACTCGGCTTTGTGATCAAGGAGCATCGTCAAACTCCATTTCACCACTCATCCCGCCCCATTACCCATCTCGTACGACCTCGTCCCACCCCTGTCCAAATCCCGTCTATATCGATCGCATCCAAGAAAAATAATCCACAAATATCTCTCCGTTGACACCCACGCTCACTTCCAGGTATTCGCGGACACAAATGCCAAACAGAAACAGAGGATAATCCCATCTCGCCAAAATCCTCCCCCTACCCGCTCAGTCCCCTCCCCTCATGCGTTGCGTCGTCAAAAACATAACATGAAAACAACCGCTAATTCGCATTTCGTAGTAGAGTTAAGATGTGATGTTAAATGATGATATGTCGCGAAATTATATACCCGAAGAACTAACGAGAAAGGCATCGAAAAGCAAAAGTTGCAACTAGTTGAATAGTCTATCAGTTTGTGGTGGTAGGGGGTTTATGCGGCGCGCTCCTTAGGGATGCCGTTGAGGACGCCTCCGGGAGGGTCCTTGGGCGTGATGCGGAGACATTGGATACCGAGGTAGCCGCAGATCGAGTTGATCACGAGGAGTGCCCAACGAAAGTAGACGACCACAGCGAAAACGAGGTAGGCACGGAGATACCAGAGCTCGGCGGCGGCGGAAATAGCGGGCCTAATATCCCCGGGTCAGTAATTTATCCAGTTGGATGGGGAAACAGCCGGAGACCTACAGTCCGATGAACGGAAGATTAGCCAAGAGGGCACCACCCATGAGTGGGGCTAGGAGGATAGTCCAGTACGGGAAAGGCTGCTTGGTCAAGTGGGCCAGAATGATCTTTGTGGTCATGCGTCCAAAGACGAAAGACAAGGTCAGACAGAACAGGACGAGGCGGTTGTCGGTAAGCAGCGAGGTGAATGGCGACGCAAGCCACAGCCAGCAGGACGCAGAGAAAATGATGATGGGAGTCCACTCCAAGAAAACCGGGAGCACCGGCAGGTTCTGTCTCTTACGGGCCTGCGCAACGTTGTACACACAGGACGGCAGGTGCGCGATCATGAACGCGCTGACGAGAATGGGCACCCAGAGGTCGCGGAAGCTGTACTCGCCGAGGAGCGAGTGATCACCGATAGTGTCCTTGAGCTTCATGTCCCAGATCTCGGGGCCACAAACTCCAGAGATCACCATGAGGGTGCAGGCAATGATGAGTCCCTCTGGAGAGATGGTCAGAAACCGGTTCCCTTCGAATTCCACGGGGATAACATACCGGTAGGTCCGTTGAAGTATCCGAGGTAAAGCACATGCGTGTGATACGTCTCCCAGGTCGAGAAGAACATAGGCAAGCAAGGGATCAACGCCGTGAGGACTCCCGCTGGGCTAGTCCCCAATCCCATGCTAGCAGTCTCCAACAGACTCGCAAGAGTGCAGTTCAACGAATCGATTCCGTGGCTATCCTCTCGTCAGCATCACCGCGCACACCTTGGGGAAAGTAAACACCGACTCGAAAAGTTCACCCAACGGCGAGCTCGAGCCCGTACGCCTAGCCTGCTTTCCGTCGATGTTGTCCATAGTGGAGTACGCCCACAGTCCGAACGCGAACGAATAGTAGAGCCACGGCGGACCCGGACCCACCAGGTCCGGCATCATTATCTCCAGACAGATGACATTGAACAGGATGAAGCCGAAGCCGACGAGCGTTACGGCATTGGGTGCTAACCATCGTGGCAGCAGCTCGACCATGAAATTCCACTACAATCATATTCGTAAGTTTCAGCTCGGCGAGGATCGGACTGGGCTCCACGAACGTAATGTTTCAAGATGTGGTTCGAAATCAGCGACTTGTCGACGGACTGGTAGCGGTAGGTCTTGAGGTGGGCCAATTGGTCCTCGGCAAGGAAATCGCTCTTCTTGCTATCATCTAGGTATCCTCCAAGCCATCGTGTTAGTTCCGAGCTTCACTTCCCAACATTCCCCCTACGGCCGTCGTGCTCATGGTGAAAAGGGGGCATTGTCGCGTGCAAACATACCGCGTATACTTTTGGGCGGCGGCACCGTCCGCGTGTCTACCCAGGTAGGGTTTGAAGTAACTGTCGACATTATCGGACAGGAAAATGGAATATCTGTTATACGGGATGTTGGACGATCGTGGGAATATTGTTGTTGGTGTTGGGGCGGGAAAAAAAGAAGACGGACGGGAACGTCGCGGCCGGGAAAGCACAGGGGAGGGAAAGTCGGACAGGGAACCACACTCAAGTTTAGCCTCGCCGCGGTCGAGTCGAGTGAGCGAGTTCACTCCTGATCTCGGATCTGCCGCCTGCAGGGACCACGCAATTCGCCGCATACGCAACGCCGCTAGATACGCAGGCCACCGCAGCACAATCCAAGCACCCGCCGGCTGGATGAGCAGCATTCAAGGCGAGAAAGAAGGCAGAAGCGTTGGTGTGTTTCGCGCCAGTCGTTCTCACGTGTTCACAGCAAATGATTGGACGTGGAAACAGTGGCTGACGGCGCGGTTGGCAGGACGAAGAGATGAGATGAGCATCACTCACAAATGACGTTTATTGTACTCTAATAATCACTGTCACTGTCACACAAGATCAACGGTTCAGATCGTTTGTGAAGAATCTCCGGAACATAAAGTGCAGGCGCGCAAATAAACTCTACGAGCCAACGGAAGCCTTCCTCTTTCCTGTGAGCTCCACCACCTCCAGCTTGCCGGTCCCCAGCTCGACCAGGTGCACAGCATTCCCAATCTTGACCTTTATGCCAGACACATCCATCCGCAGCCTAGTGTTTTCCCCGTCACCACCTTCGAGAACAATGGTACCATCTTTCATTCCGTGCGCGATCAGCTCGTCCGCAACTTTGCGTTTGTCCTCAGCACTGGGCTCCGTCAAGCTCCACGCGAGCGAAACGTGGAATCCATCCGTGGAGTTTCCGTTGGGGCCATATAGGCCTGGTTGGTTGAAGACGGCAAACGTGTGATTGGTGAGTTCCAGCAATCGGGCGAGCTGTATCTCGTCTCGTCAGCACTATTTCCGGACGGGTGCGACGTGTCAGCTCGTACCTCGCTCTTCGGTCCTGCAGATGCCTTCAGCACCAGGAACCAGCGGGTGCGGTCCTGATTGCCAACCCATTCAAACCCATCGAAGACCACTGTAAACCTTGCCCCTCCATCAGCATCCATTGATATCGCTCCGCGCGTCCGAGAGAACGAAGCAACTCACGGCTTAACCCTCGCCTTGTGGTACCTCTCCGCCAGAGTCTCCAGGAACCCCTCCCTCTGCTCGGTCCGGAGAACGTTCGGCCTGCTGAGACTCAAATGCAGCGGGAGCTCACTCCCCAGCTCACTTATGAGATGGCTCTCCAGCCGCCAGTCACCGCCCTCGCCCACTCCCTTCGCTCGCGTGTACGATTTATCCAGAGCATCGAATTCTATTCTCGTCAAATGCCCTCCAGATGTCACCATCAGCTTTTGTCTCCCAGCATCGCTGCGCACGTGACACACATACACTCGATAAACACGTGCGTGGGCCAGTTTCCCTGCACATGGGGGATGGCCCGTTTCCGTCCGCCGTGGAGAGCGGGATCGTCGTCTTTGGCCATACGCGGCGGGACCGCGTAGAGGTCGTGGAAGCGCGAGGGCAGCGGCGGGAGCCCGCTGTCGTTGGTCTTGCGGAGCTTCGCGGGGGGTTCGGCCTCGACGTCACTGGTGTCCGAATCCGAGTAGTCCACTAGGCGCTGCTTGGCTGCCATTATATCCACGGTTGGTGCGGTTGGAAGAGATATGGTGGTGATGGTGGATGCGCAGTTGCATGCGATGTGGTTGAGTGTCGTTTCTATGGCTGTTGTTTCTTTATCGCGGGTTGTGGTCGCACCGATCTCTCTCGGCGTGTGTCTCTCGCTGTTCGAGTCCCAGGTGGGGGTGCCACTGTGCCAGCCATCGACTGCCGACGCCCGACGCCGGAGATAGGCCCGAAACTTGCATCAGTCTCGTCACATCTCAGGAACTACAACCTCCTCCCCTAACCCTGGAGCACTTGCGAGTATCATATGTAGATGTGATTAGTATCTTCATGCCAGAATAGAGTACGTATATACCTCTTAGTTACTTGCCTAAATACCTTGCTTCATTCAATCTCACCTCACGCCTCATAGGCGAGACAATCCTTCTGGAAAAACGGGCCTTCCATGGTTCGTGTTCGTGTTCCTGGTTCCCGCATCACGACAAATTGTCCGGAGATAATCATAGCATCACCAATCAGGATTTTATTTTTGTTTAATCATCATTGCATTCGACCTTAGAGTACCGGTAGATCATGGCAGATACTCACCGTACCATCCGTCTCACGCCGCTGTCACCGACCGCTGACCGCGAGTTCGATACGGATTCTCTATTATTGCTCTCCGCCCAGCTCTCAGCATAACCAATCAGGATTCGATGGTGCCTTGGTTTCAATCTGCCCTGCCCAGACGACTACGAATCAGCTCCCGTGTCTGAGCCACAAGCCACGTCCTCGCCTTGTCCGGACTCTGGACATTCCGACATGTGTAGAGACCTCAATCTATTTTTACGCAGTGCTCCGCCATTTGTCACCATGCTAGTTAGTTAGCACTTCAACACCAGCCCAACTGCCCAAGGCGGTCCGTCGCGGCAGCAGAGTTATTCCGGTGCGGTGGTGACGTGGTGTCCGATAGCGTGCCTTCCTAGTGCACTTCCGACCCGCCCGATGATCCGGGACCAAGAGTGCAGTCCAAGACTGACCTCTGCGTGACGAACACCCGGCGATCCTCCGCCCAGCAGCCCGCAGCCCAGTCCCTGCTTTCCATGGACGCCAGAGGTACGCAAAGCAAGCAGGGTCCTATGAACCGCCCCTCCTCCTCCGCGAGTCCTCCTCCACCTGTGCAGGAAACAACTGCATACCCACCCACCACACCCACTCGTATTCTTATCCACCCCTCCATACGTATACCAAGAAACCCAGACCGTCAGCCATACCTACGGCCAGTTTAAATATCCGCACGCCACCCACCATGGTCCATGTCTTCTTCCCTCTCGTTCTCACGGCTACATACGCAATATACGCAACCATAAGGATCATTAGAGTATTTGACCGGTATTACGGATAGTCTCCCCCCACACACATATATATATACACACACACACACACCATATATACAGAATGTCTACATACACGCCTTCGAGTGCGAGTTCGTCGTTAGGATCACGGGTACTCACTCCCCTTCCTCCTCCCCTCCTCATCCTCAAGCTAACCCGTCCCCAGAACCCCTTCCTCACCGCCCCCGAAAACACGCCCAGCCGGTCCCGGTCCCAGCGTGTGCCACGGTCGTCGCGGCCCTCCTCCACGCCGCGTCGACACTCCTCGCCGCATCGGCACCGGCGCAAGATCTCGCAAATCCCGGGGCCAGACCCAATCGACCGGTTGGGGGCAATCGGCGGCGCGTATCACCACGACGGGCCATTCGAGGCGACACTGTTCGCGCGGCAGCAGGTGAAGCACGCGCCTATTGAGGCAGTGAAGTATACCAACGCTGCGGCGCTCGCGGCAACCCCCAAGGCTAGCATTCAGGACTCCCTCGAGGGCCATTATCCACTCCAGGGTACCGCGATGTATAGGCCCGGCGAGGGAGGACTGGGCGATTATGAGGAGTATGATGTCAACGTCCGCGATGGGAAGTGGGGCAGGTGGGATCATATGGTTCGTCACCCCATGTCCAGATTTTTTTAGATATATAATAGACTAACATCCCTCCAGTACTACAGAGACGAAGACCGCCGTGCAAAGGGCGAGCCGGGATACACCGTTGGGGAATTTGAGAAGCAGCAGAAGGCGGCGCGGCGTGCTCGTTCAGCAAGCAGCGGCGGCAGGCCCAACGAGTTCGAGATGCGACGGTCCGCCGGTAATACGCACGCGGCGAAAGACAGGAGCAGCGAGCGTGTGCGTGACGTGGGCTATGGCGATTACTACAGCTCCGGGTCCACGTCGAAGATGGACGGTTTGAAGAAGCGGGTCAAGGCTGCGTTGAGCACGCGGACGTAATTACCTAGAGGCGTTTTGGTCGGTTTTTTGGGAGCGGGAGCGGGCGTGGATGGGTGGGCACTGGGTGGGATGCGGATTGTACGATACGATGCTATGTTTTTTGTACCATATATAGAAGAACAAGAGCTGGATGAACGGGATAGATACATGAGATGGGATAGAAATATATGATATTACACACACACACACACTTACTTCATACATACAAACCCGCCCTCCCGTGCCCCTCTATAGTCCATAGTCTATACAATCATCTTCTGCCCCCCCTCCTCCCCCTCCGCCACCGCCTCGTCAGGCGGCAACAACTCGATATCGCCATTATCCAGCATGCGTGCCCTCTTCAGCACCTCACCGTTCCCGGCCTCCTTAAGAATATCCTCCAGCGTCCTCTGCTGCTCACCAAAAATCTATTCCCACAGTTAGCCAGCCGCTTCTCCAACCCAATTTCACCCAGCCCCACCCCCTCCTAATTTGGCTCCCGGTCCCAGTCTGAAAAACCCACCTTAAGATGATCAGTAATAACATGCCGATTCTTGCACCCGGGACACTGCACGAGCACCGAGCCGCGATGGTACGCCTGCTTCGACACCGCGTGCGTGCTGCGCGTCCGGCACGGGCGGCACGTGAACGTCAGCTGGTAGCTTGGTGGGGCTTCTTTGGGAGTTTCCGTTTCCGTTTCCGTTTCCGTGGATGTTTCCGTGGATGTAGGCGAGGGCGAGGGTGTGGGTGTAGTGGCGGCGGTGCTCGCGGTGCTGTTCCAGCGCGGGAGGGAGGCGAGGATCCGTGGTGCCGGTGGGATGGGCGCGATGAGGGGGCGGCCGGCGGAGGCGAGGAGGGTGCGCCGCAGGGCGCGCGGGAGGACGAGGCGGAGGGACATTACTTGTGCTTATTGGTGAGGGTGGAGGGGAGTAAAGATGCAGGTACGAGACGTCATTGAGGCGGTGGGTGGCTAGGTAGGATATAGGTCTTTACAGCAAGTGGCTTGGCGGGACGAGAGCTCGAGTTACATAGAAGGTAGTAGAAACATCAATTTGTGAGGAAGAACAGCAAAGAAGCGCTATGTGCAAGACAGAAAAGAAAACAAATACAAAAGTACAAAAGAATGCAGTGCGAAAACATGTAGTGTAGGTAACATCTCCTCTCCTCCCCGTCGTTCCCACTGATCCAGCCCGCAGTTAACGCCTTATCCAGTGAAAGTGTAATAATGAAACAATGAAACAATGAAACAGAAACTCCTGCCCTGCGATGCCTAGCAAGTGAAATGAAACGAAATGACGGCCACCACAGGCGCTATCTATGCTCTGCTTCGGTGGGATTGGCAGCGTTTTTGCGTCGCAGTAGAGCCAATGGTTGATGATGATCCGGACGACCCGGACGATTTGGAAGATGAAGAGGATGAGGTGCCTTTGACTCTCTTCGGTCTGGGTGTGATGATAGGTGAGGAGGGGCAGTCGAAGGTGGCGATGGGCTTTCCAAGGGTGACGCGGTGGCGACGTTTTTTCCCTGTGGGAGGAAGCGGAGGAGCAACAGAGCTCGGAGTGTGGGGTAAAGAGGTCTGCGAGGATTTCGTGGGGGTCCCCCAATCTTGAGATGACAGAAAAGCATCATCCCCCGCGTCGTAGGGCTTGATGGCGGAAGAGGCATTCGGGGTAGTGAGAACGCCGATAGCAGCGCGGCGAGTGCGAGGTCTGAGGCGGCGGACGGGTGTTTCCTCCGGTCTAGCCGGGGGTTTTAACAGCGGCCGTGGCCGTGGCCGGGACCCGAAATTGGGCCCAGCAAGCGGCCCGCGACTAAGCCGGTACCGGAGCCTGTTGACATCGAGGACATCTCCGACGCGTGGTGTTGTGTGAGGGATCAGATCTTGCCCCTTGGATGCCCGCTTCAAACAGCTCGGGCAGTACCCAGGGGCTTTTGGCATGACGAAGTCGAGCTTTTTCAAGTTCGCCTTCGCATGCTCTCTGCAGGTATCTGCGTCCTTGCAGGTCTCGAGAGGAGGTGCTAGCCCGCGGTGGCAGCACAGATCGTAGATGCAAGCTTTGAGCTCACACATGGCGGCGTCGGTTTGGAGATCGCAGGCCGAGGGCAAGGTTGGATGAGAGGGGGTGGAGGGTCAGCTGAGAGTGAAGACCCGGTTCGTTATCTTTGTACTGGCGGTCAAGGGACTCTTTGTGTGCATAGCTTCTGGGGCATCTTCCGGAAGAATAGGAGGGAATTCAGCGGATTCGGGCGACGAGCATGAGCGGTTCTGGACTTGTGCGTAGAAGGCAGCTGTTCATTATTGCGCTGGACAGCAATAGAACATGTTGCTTGGTGGGTGGAGTCAGCGTAGGTAGGTTCGATTGGAGTGGGGGGGTGGTGGGTGGTGATGAATAGGGAGGACAACTGTTGAAAGTGCCATGTGAGGGGGGTTGGAGCATTGTTATTGTTTGGTTGCTGGGGAGACGGTCGGCCCAGGCGGATGATGACGGTGACGACTATCACGCTACGTCCAAACGGGCAGAAGATGTGCGGCTAGGCAAGACAACCAACAGGGTCTCACTCCATGTTCCAACCTCACCATGCGACACCTCACTCTGTGACTTTGAACAGGACAACAATATATGCGACAAAAATTTGGTGTTACCCCTCTCGATAGGACAACAACTATAGTACCCCCCCCAATGGAGCTGGCAGGAAAGGATGTGTGCGCAGTCGCCATAGTCTACAGACTAGTATGCACAGTAAGGCCGTATGCGACTATAAATTGATGTAAATACTCTCTCCCTCTCATGTGTAGGACAACAAGTCGCCGTAGTCTGTTACTAGTACCTAGACAAGCCGTATGTAGAGTATGCGGCAATAAATTGATGTTCTCTCCCCCCACAGGAAAACAAGTCACTCTCTCGGATTGCTACGAAAAAGTAAAACTACCAGCAGCCCGATTGCTCGCTTCGATAGCTCTCACAGTATGAACAATCTTTCGCAGAAGCTCCACAAGGTATCACTCGACCGGGCCGACCAAAGCGGGACGACGCAGAAAAAGTAGGTGGGGAAATACCTAACGCAATAAACGATTAAACGGAAAGCAAGAAAAGAACTACATAGGACAATACCGGCGGAGCTGGCAGCAATGGTGGGGTTTGTGATCGCCGTGGTCTGGTAACTAAGGCCGTATGCGACAGTAAATGGGTGTTCTCTCTCTGGGGCAACACCGGGTAGGGGGCTTTGCGTGCGCGGAGGGTGCGGATAAACAGTTATCATGGGTTTCCTTTGTAAAAACTGGTTGGTAGGCAGCGGCGCAGCAACGGGCTGTGGTTATAGAGCATTCTCTCGACCCCACGGAGCTGGCAGGAATGGTCAGGTTTGTGGTCGCCATCGTCTAGTAACTGAGGCCGTATGCGACAGCGAATTGGTGTTCTCTCTCTCCAGGGCAACGCCGGGTAGGGGCCACCCGTTTAAATCAAGTTGATGGAAGTTTCTCAGCAAATTCGGCGTGCCTTTTGCAAATTATCGCAAAAGAGGTCCTTGAAAGTGGAGCTAGATTTGGCCCTTGTCTCGAGCTCTGAGATGGAAGTGGTGATGAGTGTATCGTGTTTTCTTGGCCTTTTGGTGGTGATGGAATTCTCCGCGATGATTAGTATCGTAGAGGCTCGACGAAGAATCCAGTCCTCCTTCGGCACCATGAAACAGCGTGGGATTGAGGTTCTCGGGGTTGCGACCCATAGAAGCCGTAACTAGCTCGACCTGGCGGTTGATATATAGAAGGGACGCTCCGACATCGAGAGCCTCGCTTACTAAGTCGCTAGTTGCTCTTGGCGCACAGAATCTCTGGCGCGTGGGTTTGGCTTTGTTGGTGTTGACTTCTTCGATTCGCGTCTGCCCTCCATCTGTCTCCTTCGAGTCGGTCAACTCCCCCTCAACCCCCTCCAACAACCATAAACCCTTCTTCCTCACACCCAGCTCTCGAATCAATCAACAACACAACGGTAACAACAACAACTACCCCCACTCTCCTCACACGCCTCAACTATGTCGCTCTTCGGAGGAGGAGCAGCAGCGACAAGCGCGGCCACACAGGCTGCGCAGGCCCAAGGTGACACCTCGAACGATATCCCCCTGCAGTCGCCGCCGGAGGACAGCATCTCCGACATCTCGTTTTCGCCCATGTCGGAGCACCTCGCGGTCGCAAGTTGGGACAAGAAAGTGCGCATCTATGAGATTGCTGCGGATGGGAGCTCGGTTGGAAAGGCGATGTTCGACCACGACGGCCCTGTTCTGTCGGTGACCTGGTCGAAGGCATGTGTCTCCCCTTTCTCTAGGTTGCGTCGCACGCACTCGCCGCGGAACCGCTTTGCTAACTCATCGGACGTATAGGATGGAACAAAGGTTGTCTCGGGAGGCGCCGACAAGCAGGCAAAGCTATTCGACGTCGCGACCGGCCAGTCGACGCAGGTGGCAGCTCACGATCAGCCGATAAAGTGTGTTCGGATGATCTCGATGCCCAACGCCTCGGAGATGCTGGTGACGGGCTCTTGGGACAAGAAACTCAAGTACTGGGATCTAAGGACGCCAAACCCCGTCGCTGAGATCGCCATGCAGGACCGAGTTTACACTTTGGATGTCGCCCAGGGTCTGATGGTCGTTGGAACGGCTGAGCGATACATCAACATAATCAATCTTGCCAACCCGACCTCCATCTTCAAGACGATGCAGAGTCCCCTGAAGTGGCAGACCCGGGTTATTAGTTGTTTCCCGGACGCCTCTGGTTTCGCTGTCGGCAGTATCGAAGGACGATGTGCTATTCAGTATGTCGATGACAAGAACTCCGGGTATGTGTCATCGATGCGGACGGCCAGCTGGCTGGCTTGATATGATGGTGACTAACTGCAATGATTGCGTGCAGCATGAACTTCTCCTTTAAATGTCACCGCGAGAATCCTACTGGAACCACGTCCACCACGAACGTCTACAGCGTAAACGCAATCTCTTTCCATCCGACCTATGGAACCTTCTCCACTGCAGGTTCCGACGGAACCTTTCACTTCTGGTCCGAAAACCCCGTCTGTTCTTATTCACATGTGGCCTCCTACTGACATCTCACAGGGACAAGGACGCCAAGCACCGTCTCAAGGGCTACCCCTCTGTTGGCGGAACGATCCCCACCACGGCGTTCAACCGGAACGGCTCGATCTTTGCGTACGCAGTGTCGTATGACTGGTCCAAAGGCCACTCGGGCAACAGCCCAAGTTATCCCAACAAGGTCATGCTGCACCCCATCAAAGAGGACGAAGCGAAGCCTCGGCCTGCAGCGAAAAAGCGGTAGGCACGCTAGTACATTGTAAGGATGGGGGGACAACGTGGAGGTCACAGTGTGTGTGCGTAATTCGAGTCGTTTTGTCGGGGCGTTTGTACTTCTAGCATCATGCTTTGTGGAATGGAAATATCTCAATCACAGCTGCTATTGAGCTAGAGATGGAGGTTGTGAAAAGCTTAATGTAACGGCCTTGCAACTGTGAGCACATTTGTATAGGTATGTAGGACCGAGGTAGATGTTCCTTAGACCGGATAGCGGATCAAATGTAGAACTAATTCGCACGCGCGCGTGTCTCGCGTCTCTCCGGCACGAGCCCACGAGCCCACTTGCGCTTTGCACTACTGGTGCAAGGATCGCGAGGCCGGTTGGCTGCTAGTTATGTAGTAGATACAGTACCTGGGGTTGAGCCTCAAAGCTATGTCGTGTGTACTACTACACACAGCTCTGCTTTGAACCACCCCACTACACCCCACACGAGCACAATCTCCTCACAAATCACCACCCAAACCCCCACAACCACAACTATCAAAATGCCGTTCGCAGAAGGTCCCAGATGGTCAGTAAACACATCCGCTCTCGCCTGCTCGATGAACGCGCCTGCTAACACTGTCCAGGCGGGATTTGGAACGCATTCGGAACCGCCACGGGCCCTTATGTGGCGATGACTACGCTCCCGAAATGCAGAAGGAGGTGCTTCTCGCCGATAGCAAGATTCTGTATGTCCCCGTCCCATCCCCTCCCGTCTTTGCGGTCCCCAGACTCAGACTTGGTTACTGACTGAGTGGATATCAGGGTAATGTAGGCGCACCTCGAACACTGCATTGCGAACGGAGGACGGCATACTGAGCGGATGTCGTGAAGCGGCGCTGGGGGTTTAGGCTGCGAGATCCTGAAGAATCTGGCTCTGTCGGGGTTCACGGATATTCATGTCATCGATATGGGTGGGTGGTTCACTGGATGGGGTGGAATGGGGGAGATTGGTGGGGCCGGAGCGCTGACGCTTCCCGAAAGATATTATTGACGTCTCCAATCTCAACCGGCAATTCCTCTTCCGCGCATCGGACGTCGGGCATCCCAAGGCAGAGGTAGCCGCACGCTTCATCATGCGGCGCGTGCCCGGGTGCGTGATCACCCCCTACTACGGGGCGATCCAGGACAAGGACGAGAGCTACTACATGCAATTCCGGCTTGTGATCTGCGGGCTGGACAGCGTGGAAGCACGGCGGTGGATCAACGCAACGCTGGTGGATATGGTGGATCCGGCGAACGACGAGTCGCTGAAGCCGCTGATCGATGGCGGGACTGAGGGCTTCAAGGGACAATCGAGAGTCATACTGCCAACGATTAGCAGTTGCTACGAGTGCTCGCTGGATATGCTCACCCCGCAGACGGCAGTGCCAATCTGCACGCTTGCGTCGATCCCGAGACAGCCGGCGCATTGCATCGAGTGGGCGAGCATTCTGGAGTGGCCGAGGGTTTTCGGCGGTACGCCTCCATCACCCGCCCCCTCTTCCCGGTCCCATTTGCTAAACACCCATAGACAAGAAAATGGATACCGACAACCCGGAGCACATCCAATGGCTCTTCCAGACGGCGCTCACGCGCGCGGCGGAATTCAACATAACCGGCGTGACCTACAGTCTGACGCAAGGCGTAGTCAAAAACATCATCCCGGCGATCGCCAGCACCAACGCGATTATTGCCGCCTCCTGCTGCAACGAGGCCCTCAAGATCCTGACCGCTATGAACCCCTACCTCGAGAACTACATGATGTACACCGGCGACGAGGGCGTGTACACCCACACCTTCCTGCACGAGAAGAAGGACGGCTGTCCCGTGTGTGGCCAGATGGCGATCGATTTCGAGCTCGATCCTGAGATCACTCTGGAAACTTTCATGGAGCTGCTGAAGGAGCGGCCCGATGTGTATGGCGCCCCCATTTCTCCCCCCCCCCCCCCCCCCCCCCCCCCCCCCCCCACCCAAATCCCAGATGGATGGATGTGTGCTCACGGTGGGTGGAAACAGGCAAATCAAGAAACCGTCCCTCTCAACGGAACGCAAGAAGCTGTACTTCCAGGGTCCGCCGGAACTCAGGGAGCGTACGAGACCGAATCTGGACAGGAAGATGCGCGATCTGGTGGATGACGGAGAGGAGGTGGCAATTACCGATCCTGGACTGCCGTTTAGTCTTAAGCTCAACATGGTGTTCAAGAAATGAACGGGCTAGATACCTAGTTGAGAGGGATGGGAATGGGATGCGATGTTTCGTAGAAGCTGCCTGGTATGATACATTGGGTGGCGGCGGGAAACGTTGGGTCAACTCTCAGAATTCATTAGCATTGACGAATCATACTGGTGACGTGCGAACAATTCTAGCCACACATATAATAGTATATCTACCTTCGCCTCTGCTCCCAACCCTTCAAGAAGTCATACAAACCATACAGCCAAGGCGAGGAATTCATTATCCATAATGAAACATACGATACAAACAATTCTAGCCGCGGATCTAACTTCGCCTCTGCCCCCAACCCTCAAAGAAGTCATACACATCATAAGCTCTAGGCATACACAGAGAACCGCTTGGCCCACCCATCCGCTTCATCATTTACACATCCATCTAATGCTTCTCCTTCCGTCCCTTCCCATTAATCGCCTCCTTCCTCTTCATCTTCTCAATCGTCCTCTCAAGGGCTGTGCGGACGATTCCTTTAGGGAAGGTAGAGATGTCGTAATACACGGGTGCAATCTCCAGTAACCATTCCGGTTTGATGTGGGTAACATTGCGGATGTAGTTCTTTGTGGTCAGCACGAATTCGTTGTAGATTAGCCACTCGTTGTCCTGCTGCAGCACCGTCGAAGGGTGGATGAACACGTCCTGTAGGTAACAAGTGTCAGTGTAAGGTTGCTTGGGGAAGGATGAGGGGTGGGTACCTGTTGATCCTTAACGGTAACATAAGCCTTCCCGCTTGTTCCCTTCTTCGCGACTTGCATGAAGAACCCGGCACAGAGGGCCCTGCGGATATTGGTGTAGTAGTCCTTATCCTCGAAGGGGGTGGAGGAGAGCTCCAGGCCATTACGCTCCATGATACGCGCCAGTTGGTTGCGTACATTGTCCGCGCTCTGAAGACTCCGCAGGGAAAGGAAGTGGTCGTAGCACCACCGTGAAGGGTCAGCCTGCGCTTTGAAGGCATGGTATACGTTGAGCATTGTGAGATGATCGCCATCGGGGTGTGCGAACAGCGCCTTCGCCTCGTCGGCAGCTTTGCGCGCACTTGGTGGGCGGTTGAATACTTGCGGCACGGAGAGGAGAGCGGTGAGGGAGAGGATCTCGTTGGAGCAGTAGAACTCGGGGGAGCTGATGAGCATAACTGCCAAAGCTGGGTCCAAGGGGAACTCGGAGGCCATCTTGCCTAGGGCGGTAAGGTTTCTAGTAATATGTCAATATATTGCAATCGGGTCTCAATGAGCAGATCAACTCACCCATCATCGTCCAAACACGCAAGGTAGTTCAGCTCCTCCAGGGCCCTCATCATAGTCTCGGGCGCAGGAGGGTCCATAAAGTCAAAGTGCACCAAATCGTCGATACCGAGCTTCTTCAATTCCAAAACGGTGGACGCCAAATTACTCCTCAAAATCTCGGGGTATGTCTGCTCAATCAGCTCCTTCTTGAAGGCACCCTCAGTGTACAATCTGAAGCACTTTCCGGGTCTTGTACGACCTGCACGACCAGCTCGCTGCTGCGCCGAAGCTTTGGATATAGGCGAAACCAGGAGAGACTCCACGCGGATACGGGGGTTGTAGACCTTCTGCTTCGAGAAGCCGGGGTCTACGACGTAAACGATTCCGTCGATGGTGAGCGAGGTCTCGGCAATGTTGGTGGATACAACGACTTTACGTCCGGGTGTTCCACCGGGCCGTCGTGGTGGCGGCGCAGGGTCGAAGATCCTCTGTTGCTGGTTTGGAGGCAGCGAACCATATAGCGCGTAAACGGACAGCGGACCGCAGTCAGCCTCGCGCAAAAGCTCGTCGGCCTCAAGCTTGATCTTCCTGCAAGCATCCTCGATCTCCTCCTCACCAGTGAGGAACAACAGGATATCTCCCTCCTTTTCCGTAGCGTGGATCTGGAGCACTGTCCGAAGAGCGGCCTCGACGTAATCACGCTCGGGCTCCGCAGTGTAAAAGATCTCGACCGGATGAGTACGACCAGGCACTGCCAGAAGAGGGGCATCGTTGAAGTAGTGCTGGAACTTTTGAGCATCCAGTGTGGCGGACATAATGATGATCTTAAGGTCTGGCCGTCTAATAGCAACCTCCTTCAAAAGACCCATGAGAATATCCGTAGCCAGCGTCCTTTCGTGAGCCTCGTCAAGAATAATGCACGAATACCGCTCTAGGCTGTGATCGTGCATTGCCTCTCTCAGCAGCATACCATCCGTCATGTACTTCAGTATAGTCTTCGGTCCGGTGTTGTCCTCGAAACGGATATTGTAGCCAACTTCCTCTCCCAGCGGGACGTCCATCTCGTCAGCCACACGCTTCGCAACGGACATGGCGGCGACTCGACGAGGCTGGGTACAGGCGATTTGTCTGCCGCCGTTGAGGTGTGGCATATCATCGTAGAGAACGAACTGGGGAATCTGCGTCGTCTTTCCGGAACCGGTCTCTCCGACGAAAACCATGATCTGCGTGGAGTGGAACATCTCGAGGAACTCGGCCCTACTCAAGGTTAGCCTTCCACACCCCACCAGCTCACCGTCGCAGTGAAATTCTCACCTTTGTGCGTGGACTGGTAGATTCCTCCTGGTCTTCAGAATCTGAAAGTACTGATTCGACAACGGCTTCCCGTTGACAGCATTGTTGGGACCATCTTCGGCCTTCTGAGCCTGCTCGGCCGTCGTCTGGTGACGGACAAAAGTGTTGAGTATCGAGTCGCCGGCGTCCCTCCTCTTTCCCATTCCGACACTATTTGATCCTTGTGCCGAGCCTTCGTACATGTGTGCAAGGTAGGGGTTTGTAGAAGGGTCCATCGTTTCTTGTTTCGACCGCTTATTGGGGGGCTCGCCGTCTGAGCCAGCGCGTTTCTTTGCCTCAGATACCATTTGTCGAGACCTCAAGAATATGAGCACAAACGGGTGTTATACCTTGGTTTTAGAATTTCTTAACAAATATGCTTTGGTGGTGGAGAGAGGAGGAGGTACAAGTGGATTGCAGATGTGTCGTAAAAATGTCAAGGTAGAAACGTGAAGTTTAAAGGTTGTCTGGTAGGTGGTGGAAATTTATCGAGAACGCAGAGCCGCCACGCTAACTACTAGTGACTAATCAACCTAGCACATTACCACACGTGACTACAAAGCCTCGCATCTAGACATCTCATGTTAAATCACTCGTAAAAACACCCAAGAATTCCAAGTAAGCAGCCGTATTCAAAGCTCCAAGGCCTTCTTTGAGCCTTTTCATTGGCGAATATGTGGGTTGGGTACATTTTAGTAAATGCTGACCGTTACTCAACCAGACATCATTCTAGTTATTGTACTAAGTAGATCCGGATTCTTACTAACGGGTACGAGATAAAATACCATATTCTCTACTGAAGAGAGATCAATTTATTTCGCATAACTACAGCTTATCGAGACTATGGCGAACCACAATTCGCTGTGCATTGATGGAATCGGATGGAGCTTCAAAGTGAGCGGCACGGCATGATTTGATACCACGTTTGCTTTTGCATACACAAAAAACTAGTCCAACTCCGCTCACATGGAAATAATAACCTAAAGAAGCACACATTCAAACTCATCTACCAAACCAAGCCAAGTCTACTAACAGAGAAGACTACAGCCATAACTCTAACCCTGAAGGAAAACGACCTATCCGCATCATGTGTCCCAGGTGTCCGCACCATCATCCTCATCATCTACGACGTACGTCAGTATTCGTGTCTTGTCTATCATAACTGAACAGTGGTACATACCGCTATTATTATTCGCAACCGCTTGTTTCCTCTTATTAAGAGCCTCCTGTAACGCTACCATAGGATTCGCCGGGGCAGCTGCAGCTCCTCCCTTAGACCCACCAGTCGTAGCAATAGGAGCCTCTCTGATCTTCTTCTCGCTGTCCGGCACCTTCCTGAGTCCTCCTGTACCACCAGCTTTGCGGATATTCGCCAGTAAGTCGTCTCGCGGTGGTAGACCCCCGGGAGTCGCAATCTTCGGGGCTCCGCCGCCGTCGGCGCGCGGGGGCATTGGGGGAGGCGGTGGCGGTCCACCCATTGGTGGTAGCGGGGGCGGTGGGGGCGCATTATTACCCACAGGTGGCATTGGTGGTGGTGGTGGTGGTGGTGGAGGTGGTGGCCCGCCGAATCCAGGAGGGAGGGGTGGGGCTGGAGGTGCACCGCCCATAGGAGGTGGCGGTGGGGGTGGAGGCGGCGGTGGTGGTGCAGAAGATGTGAAACCTGGCATAGGGGGAGGGGGTGGCGGGGGGGCAGAAGGTGCGAAGCCAGGCATGAGGGGAGGGGCCGGCGGGGCAGAAGATGTGAAGCCTGGCATCGGGGGTGGTGGCGGTGGCAGGCTGTGAGGTATCGGGGGTGGCGGCGGTGGTAACGAGGAAGGTATCGGTGGCGGTGGGGGTGGTGCTGAAAACGGTACGGGTGGAACTTCTACACTGGAGTCAGTAGGCGCTCGCGGTAGTCCATAAGGTTCATGCATACCGCGCGCAGGTGGGGCAGGCGGCTCCATTGGCGGCCGAGGAGGCGGTGGTGGGCCGCTGGACCTGACCGGTAAACTAGGCGCTGGCGGTGCTCTGGCAGGAGTAGGAGGCACAAACGGCGGTGGTACACCGAATCTGTGTCCAGAATGGCCATTCTCTTCCAATGGCGTCTTGGGCGGCAGAGGAGGCGCTGATGGCGGAGGAAGTGCCGGTGGCGCAGGAGTAGTTCGTGACGGCGGCGGAGGTTGGCGAACGAATGCACCGGCATCGGGAAACGGTGGGGGCACTGCGAATTTCGGCGCCGGGAGTTGAGGAGGTGTCCGAGTGCGCGGCGGTTCCGGAGAAGCAGGAATGGGTGAGCGAGATGGGGGTGACGAAGAACCCGTCGAGTGGGTAGCCACATGCCCTCTTCGTGGTGGTGGGGGGGGGGGAGCCTTCTTTCCCATTGAACTTCCCCCTGTGGCCTGTGGGGTCAACATTCCAGCTCTTGCGCCTAGTGACCCTCTAGGAGGCGGGGGTCCTGGCGGCAACGACGGGGGAGGCGCTGGCGGGAGTGCTGGCGGAGCGGATGGCGGCGGAGGTGGTGGAGGCGGTGGGGGCGCTCTTCCTGCCCGAGAGGTCGACGCCGTCCGTGGTAGAGTAGGGGCATCAGTACCATTAGAATATGCCTCCGAACGCTCCTTCTCTTCCTTCTGCCTCTGCTCCTCTTTCTCCTTCTGCTCGATATAGCTGATTATGAACTCTTGGGTATCCTTATCTCGGATCTGCTCCTCGGTAAGGCCCAGCTGCTTTAATTCCTCCAACAATTTCTGGAACGCCGGGTCGTTCGGATCCATTGACAACCCCGAGCTCGGAGCGCTAGTCGTGGGACTAGTGGTATGGACATTTCCGTTGACGGCGGCCGGCTTCGACTTAGCCGACGACAATCTCAAATGCGGCATATGGAGATGACCGTGATGAGCCTGACCCGGACCAGGGCTTCCCCCCAGCCCCTGCTTGGTAATTTCCTTCGCGACCCTCTTCTGGAACTCAGCAGCCTCCTTCTCATCGGCAAAAGACAATCCGGCCATACATCTTTCCAGCTCAAAGGTGTGGAAGAATGTGCGGTCAGTATTGTACTGGAACCCTTGGTAGATTTCCTGATCCCACAGTACCCCTGGTTTGCCCTGTGTCAATCGTCATTAGCCTCACTACGCATCTCGGTGACTGAGCAAAAATCTCCCTTCTTACCTTGATATCCACAATCTTCAAGAACAGCGTCTTCCCCACTAGATCTTGCGCCAACACCACCACTCCACTGATGCCGGTAAAGTTCCATTTTGTCCGATCGGGGTAGTTGACGTAAAGCCTCGCTATGGCACCGTAGACGACTTTGTTGGATGACTTCGGAACGACACGAGTCACAATGTCCTTATCGGCTTTCGTAAGCTTGGCGGGCGGCATCTCTTCCTCTTCTCTCTCTTCTCTCTTTACGATGTCTGATTCGTGTAAATAACGGTGTGAAGGACGGCGGCCGAGGAGGATGGGCGTCTCGTAAAGTGGCCCGGAATGCTGCTGGGACTGGAAGGATCACAGCACCAGCTGAGAAAATTGCACTTCGTGTTGTTGGGAAGCTTTGTTGCGGGGTGTACGTATGGGGAGTTACACTGCGCTTCTTGAAGCTTCAGCTCGTGTGACTGCACAGGGAAACCCAGTTGGCGATGGGCTAGTAGTAGAGAACGGGAGTGTGAAGTAGGTGTTGGAGAAAGAAACTCCTTCAGTGTCCGAGAAAAGAAGGGTGCAGCAGTGCTTAGGGTGTAGGTGGGGTGTAGGTACGAGGTAGGTAGAGTCCAGGTCGGTCGGACTTCAGAGGTGTTGTAGGAAGGGAGCAAGGAGCAACAAGCGGCACTCAAAGCGCCGACCCAGGTCTAAGTCATCCCACTAAGCGTAGGCAATCACACTACGTAATCCCTCTGCTTAAATGTGTGGCTGTGTGCACTGTGAATGGCAGTTACGAGTCCCGACAAACCGCCACTAATAGATAAAAATTGCCCACGAACACAAACCAGCGCAGGAGGATTGTGAATGATACCCACAGTGGCCAATTATCTATACTCATCTGATCAAGGTGCTTGGAGGACGCGACTGTTCGTGTTTCTCGAAGGTTCTCCATCGAACATGGTCCGCATCCCGAAGCGTATAGTGATCATCCCCTCCCGAGACCGGGGAAAAGCCCGCTGGCATCCAAAGTTACAGGAGCTGCCATCGAACGCTATTGTTGGCGCTTCAAGCGATAAGATCTCAACCATGGAATCGAGGTTAACCGCGCACCAGCACGGAGGGAGACAAAATGCCAAGTAGTCTTCGGCAACCGGTTGTGAACGATACGACACGGCAGGCACACGATGTCACTCGGCCTTAGATTCAGCTCCGGAGGGCTGGATGATCAAGGCAGCCGTGTATAGGCTGTATGCGAAATAAACTGAAGATATATTTCTCTCAAGGCAACCGTAATGCATGGATGAGTCATATCCACCCCTCGCTCTTTAGTATTGCTACCGGTGGCCTCGCACTGAACATTATGATGAGGATATAACCTTCTTCCATGGCCATATAGATAGATCTCTCCACATATCGCCTCGAATCTTCAAACCCATGCCACGCACAACATTCGCCTTCATCTCTGGCCACCTCGATCCGCCCCCCATTTATTTCAGCAACTACTACGTACCTCGCATCAGTGCTGCGATCCAATTGGGACATGGCTTCGTCCTCGGCCCATCACGGGGCATCGACACCATGGCACTCGAGCACCTCCTCTCCTACGGCGTGCCACCCTCGCACATCACTGTCTTCCTAAGCTCCAACGAGTCCTCCGAGAAGAGCCGCTATGTAGGCCGCGGCGTTAATGCCACAATCGCGGGGAACGGCCATACGGAGAGAGATGAGGCGTGCACTAGAGCTTCGCATTATGATATCCTGCGGTACTTGACGGCGGAGGAGGCGAAGGCACATTATGGGCCGAGCTATAAACCACGGGTAAGTGGGACACAGAAGAATGAGATTCGCAGGGGGACTGGGGTTGGGTTGAAGGTTGTGGGGGAGGTGGTGGCGGATGGGCAGGAGGTGCCGGTGGTGGAGGTGAATGAAATGGCGAAGAAGAGGAGGGCGCCCACTGCTGAGGAAGATACGGGAGGCGAAGGTGACAAGCTGGAGAGTAATCAGATTGAGAAGGTGAACAAGCTGGGACAGTTGGAGAAGGGACTGGAAGAGTTGGGCGAGTGATCAGTCCTTATGGTGGAGGTGGTACTATTTATGCCTTATCATAGCTGGCTGGCCCGCGAATCAGGAAATGCTGCGGATATGCAATCACGATATTCTCATGCAGGGGAAAACATTCAAAACAAGCTAGATATACTGCACACCCATCATACCGCCATCGTACCAGAAACCGCAAAGCAAATACAAACACAAACAAAAGAAAACATCCGTTATAACTACAGAAACAATGACTAATGACGATACCTATTACAACTCAATTGCAAAGCTACGCCCTCTTGATGGGCGCCACTCCAGCAGACAAAACGCTCGGCAGCTCGGCTTCTCCAATTGAGTACAGCAAGCCAATAGACCAGGCAACGACCAAGATGATGATAACGGTGAAGATGAAAAAGAGGTGGAAAGGCACGGAGACATCCTGCTTCTGGCATCCGTATCCTGCCCAGTTAATGACCTGCTTGTGGCCACCATCTGTGGACTTCCTGATAGTGGGCACGCAAGCGCACGACCAGCATCCCTTGAGAGTCTCTTTGCATTCACCGTGGGATGAGCATGAGTTGGTGGTGTTGGAGCAGGCGTCCTTGCTGGTGTAGCAGCGCTGGAAGCGAGTGAGGGGGTTACCACGGGCAGGAGAGGTTGGTGGCTGGGAGATGGTTTCGGCCGAAGGCTCGGGTTGTGCAAGTGCATGGCTGGAGGTCATCGAGAGAGGCGTCTCTGTTCGCTTCTGATGGAAATGAGACGCGATCTCGAATCCAGGCGTCGACTGATCAGCACCAGGGGTGAGCAAGAGGGTGGTCTTGACGTTACTGGGGGAAGATAGGCGAGAAAGCGCGCTGTGGTAAAGCGAGAGAGCGAGGTTGGCTTCAGTGGAACCAGTACCATAGGTCCTGATCAGATCCTTAAGGCCCTGAAAGTGGCAGAACGCAGTGTTCTTTTCCTCGTGCATCCGGGGAACGACTTTCTCGACGAAAGCTTTGAAGATAAGGTATTCGCTCATGAAGTGTCGGTCGGCATCACGATCAGGGTTGAAAACGTGCGTCATCTCTTTGGTAACACCCTTATTCTCCTCGCCGACTTGCCACGACTTGTAGTTCGCAAACTTGTAGTTGGAAACGAGGCTCTCCTAAATTACGGGATCAGATCAGCCGGCATTCATGTCACGGAAGATGGGCCTCTCCATACCGCATCTCTGATGCCTGGCGTCGCGACACAGAAGCTTGAGTCTAGCGACGCAATCTCTTGCAGAGGTTGTACGGCGATATCGGCCTTCTCTTCAGCAAGCTTCTTCATCAGCTGGGCGGTCTCTCGTGTGCTCGGCGCGTTCTTCATGATCATCAACGGTGTGCCCAGTGGCAGCCCTACACGTTCGTGGTCAGATCTCGGCACAGCAAACGGTCGGCCCGCGTAGCTTTCCACATACCATCCGCATCCTCCATCGCGATACCGTCAAGCGACAGCATAAAGCGACCCACATCCTCAGGCGATAAGCCAAATCGGTTCTCCAGCCGCCCAAACCGCTCCAGCACCTCAATCTTTTTGTCGTTTGTTCCCTGAATCCCCAGCTTGTGGAAGCGCGACACGCCAAGAGCTAGCGCGAGTCCTAGCCGTGCCTCTTCTGGAGACACCTCAAGTGCAGGTCCACTTAGTGTATGAGAGTTGAGTTCGTAGACGGCGGCGGAGGACGGTGTTGATGCGGTCACCAACGCGGCGATACCGGACGCCACGATTGCCGCGGAGAGTCTCATGGTTGGCGGTTCGATTTGCGAGCGACGTAGAAATGCAAAGGCCCCGCAGGTAGTATCGTTCTTGGATAATTGGCGGGAAAAGGTTGTAGTTTCGTTGCTGGCTATGGTGACGTTGCTTTGGTTAGAGGTAGGTACCTGTTGAGTTCGAGAGACAGGGAGAACAGCGTACCAAGATGTTCACAGCAAGAGCGTATTGCACGTCATACATGGGTCCTAAATCACAAGCACTGACTCGCATTTCGCATGTGTCGCGGCCACGGCCCGCTTAAGTCAATCAAACGCCACCCCACACATTTCTGTCACCTCCAACTCCGCTGTCTATTGAAACCAACGAGCTCTAGGTACCCCCCATCCATCGCCACCCGAATTCGACAGTCCCACGGGAGGTCGACCACGGAGCGTGCTTTTTGCACGAATCAACTGCTTGGTCGAAGGATAGGCGCAGCTTTCATCTCAACCTGGCGCAATCACACACGACACCGCAAAACACACGGCACCGCAAAACACACGACACCGCAAAACGAACAGCCCACTACTTCCATTTTCGACGTTGTCACAAATCCACATTACCATGTTCAAACGAGTCCGATCGCTCCTCTCCCACTCCCGGGTCCCTCTCGGTGTCGGCGCCGTCGATAATGCGAACGTCTACCGAGTGCGATTTCTCAAACCTCCACGGCCGCGCGGTGGCGGCGGTCGCCTTCTCCACATCTTCGGCGGTCTAGCTGTTACAATCATTTTGGGTCTCCGGGTAGTGCAAGTGATGTCAGCGAGCGGACAGCCAGTCTTCATACCACTCAGCTTCCCCAAGCAGGAAGAGCAACAAAAATACAAACGAAGTGACCCTGAAGTCAAAGCGTTCATGCGGTTTGGAAGCGACAGAGCACGGACACGACGGGTGCGACGGGCCTTCGAGGAGAAAACCATCGAGATCCTACGGAAGTCCTTCCCCGACCAGTTCTTGGGCCAGGTCAAACCGACTCACTCGTTACTCTACTTCCACTACCCGCCTGGCCCCCCACGCGGCTACCTTCAGAAGGGTTTACAGCTCAGCTATAAACCCCCGGATCTCACCGCAACCGATCCCGAGGACAAATACTCGGTTCTGACAGTGGAATATGTTGAGCGCCGACTGAAGCAGGAACAGTACCTGCAGAGAGAGGCGATCCTGTTTCCTCGGTGGATGTTCAACGCGGTGAACAATTCAATTCGGACTATCTGGGCGGACATCACATTACCGCGAGATTCCAACGAGGACGACAAGATTGAAGACATCAATGATCTTGTGCAGTACGGTGTTGATCTGTCGCAATGGACACTGCAGAGCTTCAAGGATGATCTGAAGAAGACCAAGAGACGTATGCCACCGCCTAACGGACATATTATAATCGATGGAATGGTCCAAGTCACCACCGACAACATCCTCATCACCGTCGATATTACCGGCAGCTTCAACCCACAGAAACCTGATGAGGCGACTATGCATCGGATTGCCGTACGATTCGCGTCTAAGATCAAGCAACCGCCACAGAAATTTCGAATGGTTGACGCTCCGAAACCCATGGATCTGAGCAAGGCAGTGGTTTCTGGCCTGAAGAAAGATATCGAAATGGCTAAGGCGGCGGCAAAGAAGGGCGAGCCCGAACTCGAAACTTCGAAGGCGTTGGTGGAGAAGTGTGTTGATGCAGAGAAACGGGATGCCGAGAGTGTCGACGATCAAGACATTGTCAAGCGGTTAGTGCCGACGAATGTCCGGGTTGAGAAATTGGATACAAAAAAGAGTGAGGAAGATCAGCACAAGCCACGACAAGACGCGCCTCCGGCAACTCCTTCGGAGCCACAACAGTCACCCCCGCCCCGCGAGTAACCGTCACTCCGTCATGGCCATGCTGCTCAACCATAATTCTCTTGATCTCTTCATGTTTTCCTTTTCTTAGAGCATTGGGGATAAAGTGCAATGATTTCGGTTTTCTTTTTGGCGTTGGCATTTGTTGGGTTTGTTCGAAGGCGTTTTGTTCAATGGCAGGATGGATGCGATCAGCAACTAGGGGGAGAGTTGATGCAAAGTTAATGCATCACCTATTTCCTGTGTAAGGAAGCTTCGGTGACGATGTAGTGCGCTTGCAACGTGCTTGTATATTATTAGACAAAATACCAGTTGATTGGTGAGGATTGTATGAAAAGAACGCCCTATGTATACCAACTTTTGTTACCCCAATTACCCACTGGGCAGTGCGATTAACCTATGAACCTGTGGCCACCGCCGTCTTCGCAGTTTGTGCCTGTGCTCTCCTCTCCTTTTTCGACAGCTTTTGTCCTGCCTCTCCACCCCCGACCTGCGCATTCCCACCTTGCTTTCCCTTCTTCCCCGTCCCGCCTCCCTGCTCACTCGCCTTTCTCTTCTTCTCCCTCTCCGCCTTTTCCTCCTCCCCAACGCCATCATCAATGACCTCCACCACGCCCTTGAACGCCCTCCTCCGCATCTCCGCCTGCCTCATCAGGACTCTGCACCTCCCCGCAACCGCATCCCTCGCCGCTTCCTGGCCGAGTCCCCATAGCACCGCCAAATTAATCACATCATTGGGGGCCCTCAAAGCCAGTGCCTGTCTGGCCTCACTGCTAACAATAATTCCGCGCCCGCCCCTCGTAGCCCTAATCAAGCTCGCCGCATTCTGTAGCAAATTCTGTCTTGCGCGCACATCGGTGATCGACGCGCCATAGCAAATCTCGAAGCTCAGGCCACGCAGCAGTGCAGCACCCACGGTCTTGTGCTTCAGTTGGAACGGCAGCCGCTGCGAGAAGTCGAGAGATATCAGATCGCATTCCAGGCTACTGCATGCTTGTAGAAGGAGTTTTTCGGAGGTGGGGCGGAGGGCTAGGAGAGAGTAGAGAGTGCTTAGGGAAGCGAGTCGGTGGTTTTGGCTGGGGTCCGAGAGAACCAGCGTGCACCGCGTCAGGAGGGTGAGTTTGTCGTCCGCGGGCAGCGTGGGTGGTGTCGGGAGTTGTGAGGGAAGCTTCCCCGTGAGTGTGGTCGAGAGCGCAACGGTCGTGTATCCTACTGGTGGATGGTGTTAGTCATGCTGGTGGAAAGCTGGGAGGGAGCCTACATGTGTTCAAAAAGGAGAGGGTCCGCGGAATTTCGGACGCGCTCGTGTATGGGATGTTGAGGTCATAGTACATATTGTGGTGCTTGTTGCTGTTGGCGCGGGCTTCGTTGAAGGTGGGATGTATGTGGGATCGTCTTCAATTTTAGGCGCGTCACAAGTGGCATCTGATCTGGTCTAATCTACAGAGCTAACAAGCCGCCGTAGGCGCAGAAGCGACAGATGCTGCGATTTGGGCTAGAACTTAGAAGAGACCTTGGTTCTCGCTCCGTGAAATGCAAATTCCTCGACTTCAATATCTATGCCCGGCCAGAATCGCCGTCTAATGAAGCACGAGGTTATTTCTATAGGTGGGTAACGAAGACACACTGTTCCTGAGGATGTGGTAGACCAGGTATGGAGTCAGAATGCTGTAGATGGAAATCTCCCGAGTGAGTGCCTTTGCTCCTGGTTAGCTTTCACTCGGATATGTACGAATAAGATATTTGAGTGTATGTAGGAGCAAAGAAAGGAGTGGTCGACCAAAGACGCCGATGAGAGGGACATGCTCGACAACCTCGGAATCTTGCACCTCCTCCGGACATATAATATCCCCCCAGTCTAATATCCAATTCCGGGATTCTCCCGAAGAGGAGCTGCTGGAAAAACGGCATGGCAAACAGGGTGCATATAATCCTGAATACCACTGCTCCACGACCCGACTAGAGATCTAGAGGCCCTCCACCTTGGTTGATTGAGACATCCTGAAGGAGACGAGAGAGTTCTTCGGAGTAGTAGTCAGTACCAAACGCAACGAGGTCCTCCTGGAATAAAATGGGCTGCAGAAGGGCAGGCCAAGGAACAAAGAAGCAATACTAATCAATAGCGATGATAGTGAGTTTACAGAGCATGGTGGCTACGACGACGACAAAGATTGTGCATAGAAAAAGAGGGTGGCCTCAAAGCGACGAGAGATACCTAGTGTACATGGTAGATCTGTATTTGAAGAAGGAAAGAAATCCAGAGATCAGGTACCTATTGCTCGTCAAAAGCGGTTGGGATTTCCTAAAAATCTAGTTTTACGGGCGAAACGCCGCGGTTGGGCGACATCGTCCTCCCGGAAAGCCGGATGCAAGAGCCATTAGAATCCGAAAGGATCGAATTTTGAAAGCAAAAGCAAACCGAATATAAGCAGCTTTCAAATCGTCTCGACTTCTAATACTGAGAAACATCCGAACCAGAAAACTTGGCTCAAACTGTTTTGTTTTCACATTCCAGCCCCGCCAAGCCACGAACGACTTTCCGTGAGCCATAAGTTAACCACGCATCGCCCGTGACCTTGTTACCACCACACACTCTCCGCACCTTTGCAACCCGCCTTTTAACCCACCCTTCGTCGGGATACCGGCGACATCAACCCGCAGCCGTCAAAATAGCCCCACCAGCAGTATCCCTTTCGTGTCTACTTCTCCTCCAACTCGCATATCTCCCTTTGATCCCCGATCACGGCAAGAGCACAGTTAACGTCCACCCTCAAAACATGGCCCGCGTCTACGCTGATGTATAACTCACCCTCACATACAACCCCGCTATCCCCCCGTCTCGGCTCTCTTGTGCCTTCAGTATAAACATTTCATTGGAGCTCGTTGCTGACCAATGCTTTCACAAACAGGCGAATCAGCGTCAGCCCCGGTCTTACTGGGACTACGACTCCGTCAACATCCCGTGGGGAATTCTGGAGAACTACGAGGTCGTGCGAAAGATCGGTACGTGCCGTGTTCTACCTTGAGGATACCGGATGCCTGCCTGCTCTCATCCGAAGTGTTTGCTCACGCGTGCAATAGGTCGCGGCAAGTACTCTGAGGTTTTCGAAGGAATCAACATCACGAACTACCAGAAGTGCGTCATCAAGGTCTTGAAGCCAGTTAAGAAGAAGAAGATAAAGAGGGAAATCAAGATCTTGCAGAATCTTTCGGGAGGTCCGAACATCGTTGCGTTACTGGATGTTGTGAGGGACCCACAGGTGAATCTTTCTTTCCTTTTGCTGGGCAGAATGGGAATGTAGCGACGCGATGACTGACTCGGCACTTGCGAGTGTAGAGCAAAACGCCTTCATTGGTGTTTGAGTACATCAACAACACTGATTTCCGCACCCTATACCCGAAATTCCAGGACTATGATGTTCGCTACTACATCTTCGAGTTGCTCAAGGCGTTGGACTACTGTCACAGCAAAGGAATCATGCACCGCGACGTCAAGCCTCATAACGTTATGATCGATCATGAGAAGCGAAAGGTATGGAATGAACCTGGGAAAGCTGACGGGGTGCACATGTGCTGATGGTTGTTGTAGTTGCGGTTGATTGATTGGGGTCTGGCCGAGTTCTACCACGCTGGAACGGAGTACAACGTCCGTGTGGCTTCACGCTATTTCAAGGGCCCAGAGCTGCTGGTTGACTATCAGGAGTACGATTACTCGCTGGACCTCTGGTCTCTAGGCGCTATGTTCGCTTCGATGATCTTCCGCAAGGAGCCGTTCTTCCATGGCAACTCCAACTCTGACCAGCTGGTCAAGATTGCCAAGGTGCTGGGAACTGAAGAGCTGTTCGACTACTTGGATAAGTATGATATCGAGCTGGACGCGCAGTACGACAACATTCTCGGACGCTTTCCGAAGAAGAGCTGGCACCAGTTTGTCAACAGCGAGAACCAGCGGTTCGTCAGCAGCGAGGCGCTCGATTTCTTGGACAAGCTGTTGCGTTACGATCATCAGGTATGAGAATTACCCGTTTACCTTGCCAACGGATGCACATGCTTACACAGATTTGATAGGAACGTCTCACCGCAAAGGAGGCTATGGCGCACCCATACTTTGAGCCCGTCCGAAAAGCTGCGGCTATCGGCAGCGCTGCTTCGCCCGCGCACATGTGAATGCATGGAAGTAATAATCTGGAAAATTCTATGGGTAGCGAAGGTCCTCTGCGTAGAAGGAGGCCTAGTCGACTTTAAATGGAATTTCGGAACTGTCTACTTGGAACATTAATTGTTGGGCACTCATTTGTCCATCAGTCTTTGTTTCACCCTCCCCTCGGTTCTCAATTCCCTCTTCTGGGAATTGTTCCCACGATGTCTTTTACTTTACGCTTATGTTTTTCTTTTACACCGTGTTGTGCGAAAGGTCCTTTGGCGTGAAGGCTTTTTTTTTCTCTTTCTTACTATGAGCATTCTGTTACTGTCCGACTTTGTCTCCCTTCCCCCTTGTGATTGCTTTGTTCTTTCCCTGTTTTTTTTTCTTCCTTTGTGCGTTTTACTTGTGGATGGGGCGGGGCGCCTTGGGTATAAGGGGATGCGGGATGTTGTTGTTGGGAAGGGCACGTGGAAAGTACCATAATGCTTATCTTGTATGGAGACTCTGATGAATGAATATATCTGCTAATCTGTATGTGAGTGAGGGCAGAGTCACTCAGGCGGGGCAAGTGAAAGTGAACGTGTGATGCTATGTAATTACGGAGCTCGTGGTTTCGCAGCCGTCTGACGGACTGTCGAAGTGCGGTGCTAGTAATCGCTGGTACCTGACGATCCCTAATCTAGACAACGGAGCTTGGAAGTGGTCCTCTGGAGTGACGAGTCTGGCCTGTGATATTGGTGGTTTCTGGTGGAGGTGAGGGCTTGGATTGGGTTTACTATAGGAACAGTATTGATCACATATTTCCACTCACATGTACTTGTAGAGAACTCCATTCCATTCTCCCCCACTCATTAAACAAGATGGTCGCCATAGACAATAAATTGATATTATCTCTCTCTCTCATTAAACACGCCCAAAAACTCCATATGAAGTACTGTAGCCCAACGTCCATATTCCCAACCCATATCCCCAAGTATGATACCTACTAGTCAAGCGCCACATCCTCCACTCTGACCAGCCCGCAACTCATCGCGGCCGCCGCCCATCCGCCATAGCGCAGATTCGGATTCCAGCAGACCGCCTCTACACAGACCTGCTGGGGGAAAACCGTCGTAAGCAATTGCTGCCCACCTTTAGTCTTCGCCTTCTCCTCGCACTCCTCTAGGGCGAAGCCCTCCGTAATCCTCATCAAGCCTCCGTGCGCCGGCGACCCCGCCCCTAGCGTCTCAGCAAACTCGACGCCGAACCACGTCTGCGTGTAATTCCTGATCTTGCCGTGGAACACTCTTCTTGCGGGGTTGGAGAAGACGGCTTCGCCCTCTGTGCCGCCGGAGAGGATCGAGGTGTGTAGAAGTGAGCTGGCGAGCGACCGCACTACGCCGTTGTGCTTGCACGTTGTCGTGCTCGAGAAGTAGCGGCGTGCCGGGAAGAATTTCACCCATGTACCTTCCTCCACCGACACACCGGATTGGATCGCGTCCACGTATGCGATGCAGGCGGGCGCTATCCGGCTGCGGTTGTTGGGGACGCTGTCTGGGTCCGTACAGCTTAGGGACGTGATCCGGCTGCACCCGTCCATGCTGCTGGTAACTATGTGGTGCGGGAAGCTGGGGAAGCACGTGGTCAGGCCGGTTATGTAGGTTTGGTGGACGGAGATGGTGTGATAGGGCACTGGGTTGGGGTGGCTAGGTATTAGGGACCAGCAGCCGACCATACCGTTCGCGCTGCCGGCGACGAGGGCCGTGGGGGATATCCAGCTGACCGTCGTGAGGATTTCGTCGGGCAGGATGCAAGTGTAGAGGGGGGTGGTGAAGTGCACGGCTTGACGTCAGTTGAGCCCGCCAGGAGGCATGTGGGAAGGAAACATACAGAAATCACAACTCTCAGCATCGTAGCTATCCGGCAAGGCGATTTTCAGCACACGGACGGTACCGTCGCCAAAGACTGCAGCGAGATATCCAAGAACCTTCGGATCCTCGAACCTCATACGAGCAGGACACCACTTCATAGTCCTCGCGGGGCCCCATTCATGGCAGAGCATCATGACAACCGAAGGTTCAACAACTGGCGAAGGTGTTCCTTCTTCAGGGACGGGGAACCGCCATATCTGTATCGTCGACTTGGACGGCCGGCTGGAAAATGCAGGGGGATCCTCTGATGTATCGGGGTTATTTTCCTTCGCGATGTCCGGCAGGTTCATGAGTGAGACGGCGAGGAACTGGTCACCTTCACGCATATATCAGTCAGCCCAGATTTCTCGCAGTCCGGATGACCAGCGGTAACATACCATCCGGCCGATTTGTAGCCCACTCCATACTCAATGGCTGCCCGCCAACATTAAATATATAGCCCTTCTTTTCGGGTGCATACTTCCTAAGCGGAAACACTCCAAACCTCTTGAACACCGCGCGCTGATACTTCCCGATCGGACCCACCACAGCCTTGAGCGGCTCTCCCTCCGGGCCCATGAACTCCATTGTCTCCTCTAGACCCAACGGCTCCATCCTCTGCCCACCATTCCCAGTGCCCAGCTCCACCGTCTCCCCCTCCTTCCAAAACGGACTAGGATGCAAACCCGCCCTCTCAGGCACGGCCGGGGTGGCGATATACATCTCCTTAACGCACATAGCCATCTCGACACCCTGTGGCTCATCACCATAGACCTGTGTAATCCGCTCCATCTTCCCAGTGGCCTTCTGAAACCCGGGTCTGTACGTGATCCTGACGGTAGGATCAGGAGCACGGATGACATTTGGCGCCGCACCCTCCGCCAGCAGCCTCGTCTTCCGCCGCCCACGACCCGTCAGTCCATTGGCGACCGTGCGCACATGTTTTTTGTGGACGACGGGCGCGGAGCCGGTCGGGCGCGGGCCGCCGGCGGGGGTCGAGGGCGCGGTGGTGCGCGAGGTCTTCGGCGTTCGTGTGCGCTTCTTACGGGCGCGGCCGCCGTCAGAGTCGTCGTAGGAGTCTTCTTCTTCCTCGTCGAGGGAGTCGTCGGAGCCGTCTTCGTCTTCGTAGCGGCCGCGGGGAGAGGAGGGCTCGGAATCGGAGTCTTCGGCGGGATCGTCGCCTCCGGCGCCGGCTTGGAAGTCTTCGTCGGAGGAGGAGTCGGGGGGCGCGGGAGGAGGCTCCCCGTCGCTGTCCAGGCCTTTGTAGGCGTCGGTGGTATAGCTTATCACCTTACGGGCGCGCGCGGATTTTCGGACCATTGTGGGATTTTGCGCGTGGGGAAGTGGGGGATGCTTGGTGGTGGGGTGGATGGATTGGAGAAGACGCGGTGGGCACGTGAAAATTGTAGGAACCCTTGGCCCTGCAGAATATAAAGGTAATCGGCAAGCGTCTGGTGTTCCTGCGGGATCGGGATTCGGAACGTCACTCGGAATAGGTACCAAGTACTCAGGGCGTAAGGGTAAGTGGTGCCCCACCTTGCGCTTATCATTCGTGATGGTGGTGAGGCACGACTTACCGGCTGTTCTTGGTACTTACTCACTAGTCATTCAGCTTCGTAGTTTCACATAATGACCGTGACGATGTCGAAATCCGCTTCTTTTCTCTCGTTAGCCTCAAGAGAAGCCACCAACTAGCTAGCTAACGTACAGTTGACACTCTCTCCTCGCTCACGCCCAACTACTACCTGGCGTTCCCCCTTCTTCCGACGAAAGAAAAGAAATCAGATGGGAAAGTTGAGTGACCCAAACTGCGCCGAACCGTGTCCCAAAACAAAAACATGAAATGGAAATATGAAAAACAAACACCATGCCCCTTTTACGTATGTTGAACACCACCCAAATAACCCTCTTGTTGAAAAACGCCGATACCCAAGATCATAAAGATCAATCATGACTCCCTTACCTTGCAGTAATATGAGGCATGCAGAAGTTGAAGTCTGCAGCTCAGATTTCGTAACACCCGTAAAAAGGCACCTCGTCGAGACGAAAACAAAGGAGACGTAAAGACCTAGCAAAAATACAAGAAAATGCAATGAACAAAAGAAAAAGATTTTGCAATCAAGTCCGCTCTACCGGTTCCCATAAGGATATACCTAGAACTTGAGAGCCTTAGGCTTCTCCCAGCTGAAGTTCTGGTTGGTGAAGTGGCCGTTCTTCGCAGTCTGGAAGTAGATGGGCTTGGCAAGGTCGAGCTCCTTGACGATGACACCGGGGCGCATGTCGAAGTTGGCGCGGATGATGGCCACGAGCTCATCGCTGGACTTCTCGGAGGTACCGTACGAGTCGACCTGGAGATCAAATTAGAGTCTGATTCCGGATCCTCGGCAAAATCGGGAAAACTTACAAAGAGCGACAGAGGCTCCGAGACACCAATGGCGTATGAGAGCTGGACTAAGCAACGGCGAGCGAGACCGGCGGAGACGAGAGACTTAGCGATCCAGCGGGCGAGGTAGGCAGCAGAGCGGTCGACCTTGGAGAAGTCCTTTCCGGAGAAAGCACCACCTCCGTGGGCACCCCATCCTCCGTATGTGTCGACGATGATCTTACGTCCGGTCAGACCGGCATCTCCCTGGGGTCCTCCGATGATGAAGAGACCAGAAGGTTGGATCTGTGTGGTTGTTAGGGAATACCGTTAAGGGAAATCCTTGCTGGGTGAAGGAACACATACGTGGTAGACGGTCTTCTCGTCAAGGTATTTGGCGGGGATGGACTTCTTGATGATCTTCTCGAGGATCTCCTTCCTCAGCTCTTCGGTGGTGATGTCTTCGGAGTGCTGGGCAGAGACGACAACGGTGTCGACGCGGCGAGGGATAACCGCACCGTTGTCGTGCTCGTACTCAACGGTGACCTGGGTCTTGGTGTCGGGCCGGAGCCAGGGGAGGGATCCGTCGCGACGGGCAGTAGCCATCGCAGCATTGAGCTTGTGGGCGAGAGTAACGGTGAGGGGGAGGAGCTCAGGAGTCTCATCCGTAGCGTATCCGAACATGATACCCTGGTCACCGGCACCCAACTGCTCGAGAGCAGCGTCCAAGTTCAGGCCCTGAGCAATGTCGGGAGACTGCTGCTCAATGGCGACCAAGACATTGCAGGTCTTGTAGTCAAAGCCCTTGGCGGAGTCATCGTAACCGATGTCCTTGATGGCGCCACGAATGACCTTCTGGTAGTCGAGACGGGCCTGGGTGGTGATTTCACCGAAAACCATGACCATACCGGTCTTGGTGGCAGTCTCGCAAGCGACCTAGAATAAGGTTGGTAAGTTTTCAGAGTTCCGTCGGCAGGAACGGTGCATGAGCTAACCTTGGAGAGAGGGTCCTCCGCCAAGCAGGCGTCGAGAATGGCATCCGAAACCTGATCACTGCAAGGCGGAATTGAGTCAGTCCTGAGCGGGAGAACAATGGGCACGAAATCGCTGATTGAGGATACATACGCGATCTTGTCGGGATGACCCTCTCCGACGGACTCGGAGGTGAAGAGGAAAGTTCCCTGGCTCTTGGAGGCAGTCATGTTGTGTGTTTTGTTTGGATGTGTGTAGGGAAGAGTGGAAGAAGAGGACTGATAGATTTCTAAGAGACTGGAAGCAGGTGGGGTATCACTGGGGGAGGTGAAGAAGAGAGAAATCACAGGCAACGCGGGGGGAAGACAGAAGGTTTTAAAGAGGGAGGGGGGACAGGAAGAACTATTAGGGCGACGGTTGTTTGAGCGAACAAGGTGGGGGGAAGACGAGAGGTAGTGTGAAAGCCAGGGGGCGGGGGGTGGGGAGAGGTTCAGTTCACAGAAGGAAGGTTCCCGAGCACGACAGAGGGCTCGCACCGAGAAATTTTGTGGAGGTTGGACTGGACGGATGCAGGTGCGAGGTTTTTGGCTTAGTGGGGTCTCTTGGAAAAAAAAGAGCAAGGAACTTGTGAGGGACCTCTTCAGACTCGAACGGGCTAAACTCTAAGAGGGAAGGGACAAGGTACGAATGGTAGGAATACCCGCGATTGCACCATCTCTCCAGCAAAAGTCGCATCTGCATCACCGATTGGCCGACGAGACGTTGGTGGACCCTGTGGTGCCTATTGGTACGCTATGAACCTACCACTGGATATTGGCGGTTATATGTAGCCACGCCGTAGGAACCTTCCACTGGCTATTCGAGCCAATTGGTTCTCCGTAGGAATCCTCCGTTGGCTATCCGGAGAGCGTACGGTACAAACCTTGAGTACAGATGGCAGGAACGCAGTGCATATCGTCAGGTATGTACTGCCCTCCCAAAGGGACATCTCTACCCGTCCGGCAGAAGTATGATCAACGGATCCCGCATGGGCTCTGCGCTGCGCACGCGCAACTGCATTCCTAGATTTGACTCCCGGAGTAAGTAGAGTACATACTCTGCCGGCCGACGAGCCGTATTTTGAGTATATACCTTTACGGCACCAGGACCGCCCGGGGCCTTGTGTGTATCTACCGGTATGTACCTCTATCGGCATCCCAAGTGGACAGATCTTTGGTCCTCATGGATTGAATCCCTCTGCCCATCTGCCATGAGGCGTCTCAGCCATGGGCAAGATCCTGTGAACTTCATCCCCTCACCGTCGAGTCCCCCACCCAGGACAGACACGTACTCCACTGAGACATGAGGCGGGACCGTACGTGCCGGCTGGTATTTCTTGGTGCCATCGGGACACTGGTATGAAGTCTCGTTGGTTTGCATCAGGACACCGGTATGAATGTCCGGTTGCGTTGAGTCGGGGCACTGGTATGGACGTCTCGTTACTTTGACGCTTCAAAAAGCGTAGGTATTTACCGGGAATGTAAGATCTTCCTAGCTGTGAGGGTGTCAATCGAGAGCTATGATGGTGCACGAAGGCTATATATACCACAGTGCTTACCTCGCACTCACGGCTCACGGGCGGAATGAACCTACTGTGACCGACCAAAGGATTCCATTCACGCAGTGACACGGTAATACCTACACGATGAGGTGGTTGGTCAAGATCAGTGAGAAGTTTGTGGTCCTCAATCGATATATAGCAATCGAGGAAGGCTCCCCTTCAACGGCAGCAGAGATACGGACGGACTGAGATATATACCGATAGCATGGCTGTCTTGAATAGCGCGAATCCATAACTAACGCGCCGTGTGATCGAAAGGCATCACCGAAAACCCCCCACTTCACTAGCGCCAACTGATATCGATTGATCTGCGATAAGGCCGCCCGGTGTTAGCCCAAGTCCCAACAATCGCATTGTACCTACCCACTTCAACCGCTCAACCATTCAACGCCGCCAATCAGTTACGCCACCACCGAAAAAGTCTACGCCCGTCCACGGTCGCACCCGCCATACGCGTCGCAGCCCCACGCATTCCGCGCCGCCAAACAGAAACATCATGTCTCGCTTTGGCGTGTTTGTCGTTGGCCCAGCTGGCTCCGGGAAGGTCAGGCGAAACCAATCCACCCCTCCACTGCCAGTCAACTGATGGCGCGGTGTGTGTGGGTGTGTTTAGTCGACATTTTGTTCAGCGTTGATCTCGCACCTGAAGAATGCAAAGCGATCATGTACGTGCCATGCCAACCTCGATGTGTGTGTGTGTATTTGGTTGTTGGTGGGGTTGCGCGTGCCCGCGGCGGAGAGTGGGACAGGCTGATGCCAGAATGAATCCATTGTCGTAAATTAGGCCTCTACGTCAACTTGGACCCGGCGGCGGAAGACTTTGATTTCGAGCCTGACGTCGACATCAAGAACCTCATCAGTCTCGACGATGCGATGGAGGAGATGCAGCTTGGACCCAACGGGGCTATGATGGCTTGCTTCGAGTAAGCCCCCCCAGCGCCACCGCCTATCTCCACATACGGTCCGGATGCTGAACATGTGGGGGAGTGATCAGGTTCCTGATGGAAAACCTCGACTGGCTCGAAGCGGAGCTCGACGGCACCACCGAAGAGTTCATAACCATCTTCGACTGCCCGGGTCAAATCGAGTTGTACTCGCACGTTCCGATCCTGCCGAACCTGACGAAGCACCTGTCGATGCAGATGGGCTACTCGTTGTGTGCCGCGTACCTGATCGAGTCCACATTCGTTGTCGATAAGGCCAAGTTCTTTGCCGGAACACTGTCGGCGATGAGCGCCATGATCATGCTGTCAATCCCCCATCTGAATATCCTCAGCAAGATGGACCTGGTCAAGCAGCAGGTCTCGAAACGCGAGCTCAAGAGGTTTTTGGATCCCGATCCGACCATGATTGCAACCGATATACATGCGCAGACCAATCCTAAGTTTCATAAGCTCAACGAAGGTAGACATTAGCATCTGCGACGAGGAGTAGAAAGTAGGTGATGCTCAGTGCTGACAGATTGCGTGTGTGTGTGTGCAGCCGTCGTAAACCTCATCGAGGACTTTTCCATGGTGTCGTTTCTACAGCTCGAAGCTCAGAACGAGGATAGCGTGCAAGGAATCCTTAGCTATATCGATGACTGTCTGGGCTGGTCGGAGGTGCAGGAACCACAGCTGAAGGACAATCCGGATGCAGACTGGCAAGAAGCGGAATAGAATAATAAACAAAATACTAGACGACCAATAATCTGTAATCCGTACGTGAATCCATCATAAAACATGTGAAGATAAAGTCGAGGTCCGGGTGATATTCCATTGGTCAATCTGGCCCTCATCCCTCGCCCCACCCATCCCCGCCAATCACGTGTCCGCCTTAGTTAGCGCGACAGTCCAGGGTGGATTCCAGATAATTTTTCCCGCCGCAGTGTAAGTCGCACATCAATCCACCACCAATACCTCACCGCCTCATTCCACCGCCAAAATGGGTCGCGTCAAGAAGTCCACCCGCAAGTTCGAGAGCAAGCACCTCACACGCACTCTCGACGACCGCAAATCGAAGAAGAAGGTGAAGCAAGCGTTCATCCTGCGCGAAAAGAAGAAGGCGAAGCGCTCCGCGAAAGAGGACGACGAGGATGAGGATGGAGAGGAGGGTGATGAGCCGAAGGCGAAGAAACAGAAGCCCGATGGTCCACAGATCTTCGAGGATATGAGTGTGGAGCAGTTTTTTGCGGGAGGCTTTGAGGTCCCCGAGCCTGCTGCGCTAGCAACGAAAGGTGGAAAGAGGAAGCGCGAGGAGACCAAGAAGAAGCCCGCGGTGCAAGAGGATGCGGATGTGGAGGGTGCTGCTGCCGACGGGGAGGATGAGGAGGAGGACGGCGACGAACTCGAGCAACACAAGGGCGACCTGAGTGCGTTGGCCGAGAACGATCCCGAATTTTACAAGTACTTGAAGGAGAACGATCCGGAATTGCTCGACTTTTCGATGGCGGAGAAGGATGATCTGTCGGAGATTGACTCACTATCGGACGACGAGGAGGACGAGACTGTCGGCAAGAAGAAAAAGAAGGCCAAAAAGGCGAAGAAGGAGGACGAGAGTGACGAGGTTACGATGGCGCATGTCAAGAAGTGGAAGGAGGCGCTGGTGGACAAGAAGAGTCTGCGGAGTCTGCGGCAGGTGGTTCTGGCGTTTAGAGCTGCTGCTCATGTCAACGATTCTGAGGTCAATAATGCGGAGGGCGGGTTCAAATACACCATCACGAACCCCGACGGTAGGACACCCAGCGCTGTTGATCAAGGGGAAACGCTGGCTAACATTGGACCTCAGTATATCACGAACTGCTAATATTAGCGTTGAGCGACGTCCCGGCGGTGCTGCAGCACCATATCCCAATCAAAGAGTCGGCTTCGGGCAAGATCCGCGTGGCTACGGACACGAAGAAATACCGCACTCTCACGCCGCTCCTCAAATCGCACTCGCAGTCGCTGATGCACCTTCTCCCGCTCCTCACCGACGCTGGTACCCAGAAGCTTCTCCTCAATTCCACCCTCGAGCTCGTGCCATACTTCCTTTCGTTCCGCAAGTTCCTCAAGACCTTCCTCAAGACTATCATCGAGGTGTGGTCCACCAACAGCGTCGATGAAGCCACTCGGATCACCGCATTCCTGGTGGTACGAAAAGCCGCCGTTATCGGCGACGAGGGCATCAAGGAGACATGCATCAAAGCTCTATATGCCGGTCTCGTCAAGGCCAGCCGGCAAACATCAGTGCATACCATCCACGGTATCAACCTGATGAAGAACTCGGCGGCCGAAATCGTGGGCCTGCAGGGAATGGACAAGGTTGGCTACCAGGCTGGATTCGCATCCATCCGTCAGCTCGCGGTCCACCTGAGGAACAGTATCACCAACAACTCCAAGGAATCGTACAAGACTGTCTACAACTGGCAGTACGTGCACTCGCTCGACTTCTGGTCGCGCGTGTTGGCTATGCACTGTGATGGGTTGAAGGAGGCACAGGCTGGCAAGGAGTCACCTCTGCGACCACTCATTTACCCCCTCGTCCAAGTCACTCTTGGAGCTATCAGGTATGTTCTTCCTTTCCATCCTTCCATCCAACATAGCTAAAATGTAGGACAGACTGATCCCCACGGCCTCCTACTTTCCCCTGCGTTTCTTCCTGATCCGTTCTCTCCTCCGCCTCTCCCTCTCGACCGGGGCGTACATCCCTCTTGCGCCCCTAATTTTCGAGGTCCTCTCCTCCGGCGAAATCAAAAAGAAGCCCAAGCCTTCTACGCTCAAGCCCGTCGACTTCTCTGTCACCATCCGCGTGCCCAAATCGTACCTACGCACACGGATCTACCAAGACGGGATCGCGGAGCAGATCGTCGAGTTGTTCGCCGAGTTCTACGTGCTGTACAGCAAAAGCATTGCGTTCCCCGAGCTCTCGATCCCCACGATCGTGCTCGTCAAGCGCTTCGTCAAGAAGTCGCGCAACGCAAAGTTCAACTCCGCGCTGCACCTGCTGATCACAAAGCTCGAGGCGAACGCGAAGTTTATCCAGGAGAAGCGCCAGGCCGTCGATTTTGCGCCCGGACGCAGGGCCGGCGTTGACGCTTTCTTGAAGGAGACCGAGTGGGAAAATACCCCGCTGGGCGCCTATGTCGTCTCGCAGAGGAAGGTGCGGGAGGAGAGGAGGCGCCTGCTAGAGGAGGCCCTGAAGGAGGAGCAGGAGAAACGCCAGAAGGATAAGCTGGCGCAGCAGGAAGTGGATGAGGATAGTGATGATGTGTTTATGAGTGATGATGGTGAGGAGAGTGGGGACGACGATGATGAAATAGACGGCATGAGTGAGGACGATGAATAGACGTGTTCGGGATGGCTTAATATCAATCATGTCTTGTTCCTGTTCTTGGTGTATCATAGTTATAAAAGCAGGTTTTGGTTTTGGGATCACATTTCATCTCATCAGATTGAGTAGAACTCGTATGCTCGTATGCTCGTAAGTTGTCTTTGAAATTGCAACGCATGGCCGTGATATCGTCATGAAGTAAAGGCTATTATACAGTCTGTCTTCCCCGTAGTAGAAGGTGAGATTCACAAGAACCACGGTTCCTAATCCTGCATCTTCTCGTCCTCTCCCTTCGTCTCGTTCTTGTCCTTCTTCAGCTCACCCACTCCATTGTCATTCTCCTTCTCCTTCTCACCACTGCCCTCCCTGACCTCCGCTGTGGTTGTAATGGTCGCGGTCACAGTCTCAGCCACAGCCGGCGGCGCATCGCCCATCTCCTCGTCCCGTCTCTCGAGCACAATCTCCTCCTCAGTCGCGGGGGCATCTGGGAAAACCGTACCCTCAGGCTGCGGACCGACATCCTCCGCGCCAATCTTGAGCACTTCCTTCCTCTCCTCCTCACCCATCTGTACCTGATTCGCAGGGATCACACCAGCCTCCTGCTCCATCCTGAGCAGTTCTCCCTGGGTGACGCCAACCCCCGGCGCAGGGCCCGGGCTGGGCGACAGCGCGTGTTCTTCCGCCTCGCCGCCACAGTCGTCGCGCATCAACCACGGGATCGGAGTCAGCAGCGCGCCTCCAAGAGATTCATCGCTGCCGAGTCCAAAGGTGCCGTTGACTCCGCCGGTAGCACCGCTGTTTCCGCCATTCTGGAGGACGGAGTTAGCGGGCTCCAGGGGGAAGGCGGTGGCTGTTGAGGAGACGGAGAGGACGCGCTGTAGAGCACGCAGGTACTTGGGGAGCGAGGTGTAGTGCTGGCGTGGCACGAGAAGAAGCTCCGCGAGGCGCTGGATCGTGTGCGGTGGGGCTGCCGCGAAGGTGGTCGTCAGGGTGTCGCGCAGCGAGGCGATCACAGCGAGGTCGGCGGAGTGCAGGCCCGAGGGGTGGGGCGGAGGCACGGGGGAGCGGGGAGGTGTCACAACCTCCGTTAAGGTGCTGGAGGAAGGGCCGAGAATTGGTGGTGGGGCGGGTTGCTGCTGCGCGCTGAGGGGTGTTAGTAGGGTTTGAAGGGAGGAAGGGGTCGCGTACACCGGCGGGGAGGAGGTGGGCTGCGTTGACGCTTGCGAAGATGGGTCGGGCTGCGTGCTGCTGCTCTCGAGGAGGGGAGTGGTCGCGGGGGAGATTTCGCCGGCGAGAAGCTCTGCGGCCGTGGGCTTTGGGAAGTTGTCGGTAGTGATCTGGAGATATGTCAGAGAACTAAGAGGTAGGTAAAAGTGAGAGGGATAGTACTGTGTCCAGGCGTGCGAGAAGGCACTTGAGGAGGTCTGGCCAGAGGTCTCTACGGTGGTGTTAGTGATTGTACGGTTGTGGGCCTGAAGGTACTGACAGATCGACCGCGCCACCTTTCGTGATGTCGGCGAGAACATCCTCATCTAACTTCATGGTGGAAACGGAGAGGCGTTGGTCGTGGGTTGTGGTGGGTTTTGGCGGTGATTAGAGGTGGAATTGGTGCGGTTGAAGCTAGAGTTGAGGAACGTGGGATGTCGCGTTTAGGTGTTGTCGGCTTGTCGCAGACAGCAAGGATTATCAGTTCACACATGCTAATCTATCTTGGGGCATAAATTTATGCACCCACGAACTTTTGAGCTCTTCATTCTCTACGAGCTCTCTAGAACGATTAAAAGTAGCTACAGACAGATTCCCCTGCACTTAACGCGAAAGAGCGATATCGTCTATCCTCAAGATCATCTTCACCGTCTCAGCCGCCAGCTCAATAGCGCTGGTGGACACGAGCAACGGCTGCAAGACCTTCTCGTCGATGATGTTGGTGACCGCCCCCTTCCGCACACTGACACCGCACGAGATCTCACCGTTGGCGTGGCGGTTTCTCAGTTCGGTTACGACACGGATGCTGTTGAGACCAGCGTTCTCGGCGAGCGTCGTGGGGATGACCTCGAGAGCCTCGGCGAATGCCTGCCAGCATACCGACTCCGTACCCGTAAGCTTCTGTGCCTCCTTCATCAACTGCCGAGAGACCTCAATCTCGGGTGCTCCTCCTCCAGCAATCAGGGCCCTATGTGATTGGTTAGCTATGTTCAATTGCCAGGTGGCGGGGCGGAGCCGTACTTCTTCTTGACCAAGCATCGGATAACACACAGCGCATCGTGGAGAGACCGGTCAGCCTCGTCCAGGATTAGAGAGTTGGCACCTCGGACGAGCACCGACACCGTAGAGCCAGCACCCTTGACACCGGTGACCTTGACTACGCGAGCTCCCGACGAGCTGACTTCCTCCACGAGGTCTGCCGAACCAAGCTTATCCTCTGTGAACGAATCGATATCGGCAATTGGCTTGCATCCGGTGCTCTATCCACCATGTCAACATAGGAATTCCAACCAGAGAAAGGGCACGGCGGACCTTGCAAATGAATTCAACCTCGTCACGCTCGATGTCCTTGATAGCAAGGATGTTGAGCTTCGAAAGGAAATGTAGGGATAGGTCGTTGACGGCGTCTCTGAGAATCGACTTCTGGATGAAAAGCACGTTGCATTTGGCCTTCTTGATCTTTTTGCACATGTTGAGCAGATATGTCCGCTCCTCCTTGAGAATCTTGTCCATCTGACGGTAATCATTGACAACGATCTGGTTCTCCATCTACACCGCACACATAATATTAGAGCTTGTCGGGGACGTGGGAGGTGCGTGGGAACATACGTCGGGCTTAGGCGGCGACAGCTGGAACTGAATGAAACCAATTCTGGCCTTCTCCATCCGAACGGGACCTCCAGCACTCTTGATGGCATTCTGTGTCAAGACCAGGCCATCTACCAACTCGGTATCATCCATGGTTCCTCCCACTTTCTTGACAATGCGGATATCGTTCAAGTCGACATTCTCGGCGGTCGCAGGGTTGATGACTCTCGTAACAGCGTCGACGGCGATGGGACCGAGGAGGTTGGTGTACTGCGAGACAATCTTACTCGAGAGAGACGTGCTGGCGGCTTGCAGGAGCGAGTTTCGGTCGTTAAGCGTGACGGGTGTGGACATGGCCGTCAAGATCTCGACGGACTTTGCGGCAGCTCGCTGGAAGCTCTCGGCGATGACGGTAGGGTGGAGGCCTGTACACGGATCAGATCCCATCTCTCACAGCCGCACCGCGGTGCTTCTTTCATCAGTATCATACCCTTTCCGAGCAGTTTCTCAGCAGCACCCAAAAGACTTCCGCAAATAACAACAACGGAGGTGGTTCCATCTCCGGCTTCAACATCCTGAGCAGCAGACAGATCTACCAGCATCTTGGCCGCCGGGTGCATGACCGCCATCTCCTTCAGAATGGTATGCCCATCGTTGGTGATGAGAGTCTTGCCCTTGCCGTTCTGTATCATCTTGTCCATTCCTCGAGGTCCGAGTGACGTTCTGATCGCATCGGCAACTGCTCTGGCGGCCATGATGTTTGCCGCTCGCACAGCCATCGGTTTCTCCTTCAGGTTTGGATTGCCCATCGAGCCGTGATGTTGTGACATGTTGAATAGATTGTGCGGTTGGTATTAGATGAACGACGGTTGATTAGGGAGGGCCGAACGTTGCTGTAGAAGGTGGGTTGGATGGATGTTGGCGGGGATTTAATTTTGAGCTTTGAGCCGCTGGGATGGATTTAGACATGGTTGAGATAAGATTGATAAGCGAGGTCACAATTATCACTCGGAGATTTCGGTTTCGTGAGGATTCCATCTTCGGAATTCCCTGGAGTCCATTGATTCATGCAAGAGGCAGTGCAATTACTATCATACAAGGGAAGGCAAACGCTAAATTGTTTCCGCAAAGGTGGTAATGAATTCACTCTATCCAGATACCCAGCTCTAAGCACCCGGTGTATCCTTCCTGTAAGTGATCTTTTCCACCGCTACACTCTCGTTCCCCTTATCGTCCGTACGCAGCTGGTAGACGTACATTACGAGCACACTTCCTTGGACCTGGAACAAATGATTAGTAGCTGTTCTGTGGATTCATCCTCCTCCCGGTAGGCCAACGCAGACTCCAGCACTTACATCCATCAGAACGAAGCTCGGAACCGGGCTCTCGCCCTCAGCCCACCACCCGCTGGAAATCGCGCCAGTCGCACTTCCAGGATTGACAAAGAACTTCCCCTCCAGTTCATACGCCTCGAACCGATGCGTTCCACCCCACAAGAGCACATCGCAGTCCAACCGCCTTGCCTCAATTAACAAGCTATCGCTGTCTGCCTGCGGCACGATCGTGTGGCCATGGGTAAATCCTATCCTGAGACTTCCATGGACGACAACCTTGTGAATCGGCAAGCCGGGTGCTTCGACGTCGAAGTCACCCTTGACGATCTGGATATCAGAAGCGACGCCGCGGAGGAACTCGTAGGTTTCTTTGTCGGTGAGGTTGCCGAGACACAGGATCTGGCCGATCTTGCCGGGTGCTAAGAGCTTCCGGAACTAATTGTTGCGCTCCTCGTTAGACGGATGGATTCAATGCGACGATGACGACGGGGGAGGTTGCTCACTTTGGCTGGGATATCCTACAACTACATTAGCTTAAGCTTCCGAGGGAAAGGTATTGCTCGTGCAAGGCGGTGTTCCGACTCACTGCTGCTCGGTCTGGAATGTGGAGGTCTCCAATAGCCAGCACGAGGCGCGACATGCTTCGGAGGTGAGCGGCGGAGGTGTTGGAGCTTGGGATTGGTGTCGTTGGTGATGGTAGATCTGCATTTGACGTGTCAGCTGTAGCGACCGAAGGGAAGTAGCTTCCATCGTACCGGAGACTCGTAGACGTCTTCCGTGGTGCTCTCGAATTCTCGCTGAAGGGTCAAGGACTCAAGATCGACAGCTCGGTGGGCAGAGCATAGAAGAGCGTTGCATTTACCCGCCGGAGCCGCCTCGACAAGTGCGTGCAAGGGTCCGCCCCACGTCTTCAGTGACGCAGGTGGTGTTTCTGGCTTTCTCTCTAATTACAACCCACCTTTCTTCTCCATGAGTGCTGTCAAAGAAGCCAACGAATTTCTTGCTCCGGTCTTCGACAAAGGTTCCCTCTTTAGCCCTTTTCTCTACTTCTCGCTGGGAACAGCACTGATTGCAGCTCCACAGAGCAACTCATATCCTTCAACGAAGTCTCAATAATCCTGCGCCTCTCGAAGCCTCTCACGCCTTCCACTGACAAATCGGTCGCCACACCGCTCGTCATAAACCATGCGTTCCAACTCCTTCTTAGAATTCATCAAGAAATATGCGCTCGAGCATTAGAGCCGATCGAGAACCGCCTTGAGCGGCCCGGTGAACGGCGCACGGTTTTCTCGTTGCTGGATCTACTGGTTCTGGAGGGAATATATCCGTCGTTATCGGCCGGAGTGGGAATACCAATTCAGCGAAGGGCTCGAAGCTTTGTTTTACCACAGAATATGACTACTCCGATCGCAAGGGCGGCGTCAACGAGGGTGCAGGAAGTTGGCCAGGATATCGAGCTTCTTAGGAGGATTGTCGATGGGCTGTGCGGAGTTCTGAGCAGCACCCCAACACAGCAGTCGGCGGCGCAGAAGGATACACATAATATTTGGAAGTCACCGAGAGACTACAAAGGGATTGAGCCGATGGTGCGGGAGCGTGTCCTCGTGGACCTGATCGCAGGCTGCGGCGAATTAGCACTCAATCCCGAGCATGAAAGAAGCAGCCAGGAGATATGGAAGCAAAAGTTCAGCAATCTATTAGACGAGTCAGTAATTACCCGTGATCTCATCGTTGCCGATAGAGCGATGCTGATGCGCTCGATCGTTCCAGCATCCAAACTGGTACACTATTGCCTCTCATGATGTCTCTCCTGCATCCTACATCACCGCCATGGTTCCGTGCACCCATTGCCAAATACCTATCGCAACTCCCAGTGTCGAGACCCCATGGCGTTAGAAATATCATCGAGCTCTTCCTTTCCACGGCGTCCTCTGGGAATATGGCGAATGCCGCATCCGCACAGTTATCGGTTGAAGCACTGTCAAAAGCATCGAAATTGATATCCTCTGTTCCTTCATCCATGAGTGCGCGGGAATGGTTCGCCAGCGTCTGTCCTCAATTGCTAGATATCCTGCGGGGCAACGACCCAGGAATGGAGAGAGCGTCAGCGTATGTGATCGCTGAGCTGCTAGGAAAGAAAGGAGCCGGTATAGAGGGTGTCGTTGAGACTGAGATTGTTCGCAAAATCGTCGACAACTTCGATCCTCCAGCTGCCACGCCGCCAGCTGTGGTACATAAACAGCCCATAAATCCCAAGGATGGGGAAAAGGAATCTTCGCAGGCTCTGTTGGCATTTGAAGACGATTCACCAGCACCGCAGCCGTCGAAACCATCCAAACCGGCGTTGATATTTGAAGTTCTTGATGCGGACACAGAGATGACTGAGACCACTGATGAGGCCGAAACCCCTTTGGTATCGGACACAGACCTTTCCATGGCTTTCAGAAATTTGGAGGTCCTCTTAGCATCCCACCCCACACCGCTGCTGCCCCAGCGATTGGTTTCACCGATTCTCATTCCCTTATGGGGAATCATGGGCTACGCAAAATCAATCGGACGCAGCGCATGGCATAATCGTGCAGCGGCACTGCTCAAGTCATACCTGGCCGTCTCCATGGACCAATCGGTTCTTGAAAAGATCCAACGAGGCCTTACATTCAACGGCGGTGATGACTGGGAGTATGCGCCCGGATCCTCTGGTGGGATAGAGATTAGGTCAAGGACATCATCTGCGAATGGTGGTGTCAACATGGAAGTCATTAATTCCCGAATTGAGGAGTTTATGGGCATCCTTGGAGATGAGAGTGTTCCAAACACGGTACTGAGTGGATTCTTCCTGAGCATTTTCCAAAGGTGGCTCGCTCGGGGGGGTGATGAGGAGCCATTGAAAATGTTGGTTACGGTCAAGATCCTGCAGGAGATGTTGCAGACACATGCGGAAGAGCTGGCAAAGAAACCTACGGGGATCCTGCAGATAATCAAAGGTGTCCTCGATGAATACCTCGACTACGTCGAGGCACTGAAACAACCAAAGAGCGAGAACGCTGGGGTACCGCGGCTAGCGTCACTGAGGACGATAGTCCAAGATGCCCCCGAGCCTATTGAGGACGAAGAGGAGGGATCATACGACACCCAGCAGACGGAAACGGTAGCTATGGCACTCACTCTGCTGAGTGTGCTCATATCGTCACCCGAAACAAAACTCGATAAAACTGACGAGCGCCTCCTCACTACCCTCCATCCTCCTTTGCAGTATCTTTCCAAGGCCCAGGATATTGACCCGAACATCACATCCCTCGCCATCAACATCACCTCATTGCTACTCATACATGCGCCGACTACAAAAAAATCATCCGCGCTAACTCCTCTGGTGGAACAACAGCGGGAGAAGTACGCCACAGTTCTCTCCTACCTACGCGATCCCCTCGTCCCAGTCCGAGCTCACGGTCTCTACCTCCTCCGGGAGCTGATCCTCGAACGCGCCTCCATCGTCGATGTGGTCAACACCGCCTGTCTCCTAATCACCATGCTAAAAGACGGCGACTCCTTCGTCTACCTGAACGTCGTCAAATGTCTGGCAGCCCTAACCGACCGGCACTCCAAAACCGTCACCAGAATGCTGGTAGCAGCCTACGTCAACGACGAGGACGTCCTCAACCTCAAAGAGCACCTCGGCCTCGACGAACGCCTACGAATCGGCGAAGCCCTTCTCGGAACCGTGCAAAAACTCAACCAAGCACTCGTCGGCGAAACAGCGGAAGTAGTGTCACAGGGGATGCTAAGCATCATCTCGCGCCGCCGGCGCAACCCCGCACCTCTCGCACCCTCGTCCACAGAAGACTCAGAAGACGACGGCCTGGACCTAGATATCGACCCTGAGACCGGCGTGCGGCTCACACCCGCGCAGCTAGCGCAGCGCGAGCATGCCGCAAAAATCGTCTCGGGCTGGTCCTCGACGCCGCACGAAGACCTGCGGATCCGCGCCTCGGCGCTATCAATTCTGGGGGCGGCAGTACAAACCAACCCCTCTGGCCTCGGCCCGCGGGTGCTCAGCGAAGCTATCGACACCACGCTGGCGATCCTCTCGCAGGAGACAGCAGCGGAAGCCGCGATCTTGAGGCGCTCTGCTGTCGTTGCTGTGGCTGCGGTGCTTAATGGCCTGGTAAAGGCGGATGATGAGGATACAGAGGGTGAGACGTGGAGAACTGATGTGTGGCGGGTTGTGGCGCCGAGGGTGCGAGATATCAGGAGGGTCCTGGGGTATGTCGCTGTTACGGATAATGATGGGCTCGTTCGGGAGCAGGTCGCCGTCGTGGAGGGGAATCTGGGGGCCGTGGTGGAGAGGGGGATGGTTGGGGGGAGGGGACAGGTTGAGATGGGTGGGGTGGGAGGGGTGGGGATCACTGGTATGAGCGTGGGAGAGGGGGCGGGGTCGGGGATTCAGATTTTGTAGATGGGGACATTGTAGATTGGGACGTTGACGGAGAGAAATGAGAATTTCACTCATAGATATCACTCGATCCGCTTACGCAAATTGTAACCCGATGTTTCTGGAATAGTAACAGCCATCAGCTGGCGGGACAGGTATTGTAACTGTCAACATCTCATGAGGTCGAATGCTATTATGATGAAACAAGAAACCATCCATCAACCCGGTCGGCTTCAGGGCTTCATCCAGATCCTCCAACAGTTCGAACTGGGAACAAACCGGGGGTGATCTCGTACCAACCAACTGTTGGGAGGTAGTGAACTGAACCAACTGGCAAACCGAACCAACTGCGAAGTTTTGAACTGGGAAATCTGCTTGTCCCATCAGTTCAGTTCAGCTTAAAATTTTGGGCAAAAACCCATCACCACCACCAACCCTCCGGCCAACCGAATACAACCCACCACCCAGCCGCTGCATACTAGTAACCCAGTGCCCGGTAGGACGCCGCCGGTTGACGAACTCCAGGACTACATATTGTTCATTGCCTGTCGAGAGGAATGTCCGAAACAGTCCTGCTGCGATCGATCGAATGGTGGCTGGAACCGCCCCAGCAACAACGTTTTCCTAACCTCGGCCGGATGGAGGTTGTCATTCTGTCTAGGTATTCCTGCCATGTCGGCGGAGGTTGAATGGCTGTTCCCGGAGTGCGAGATGATCCTTACTGATCATCGCCATTCCCTAAGTACCGAGAGTGTTGAAGCTCTTGAGAGTACATATCAAGAAGTTCAATCGCCGTACTCTCATGGGTAAGTGCCTAAGTAGCATCAGGGTAGTAGGTAATTCGAAACTAGTATGTACTGAACCCATTCTATGCCTTTTCCCGTCACCATGGGAACCTACATGATCTCGCCCATTGTGGCTGCCCTGGCCGAACTGACAGTTCTGCCAGTTTTCCCCGGGAACGACTGCCTGACTTACGTACCTAAACCAACTGGGAATTAATCTGACAGCCGCTGTTCCCAACTGAACCGGGAACAAAATCGGCTAGAACTGAACGGTTTGAACCAGTGTTCCCATTTCAACCGGCTACCCAACTGTTGGAGGGTCTGGCTTCATCTCTGTACCCACGGGACTGGCATGAAGGGCAAGTGCATCGGACGGAAAGTTGAATCCACGGCGGTACCGGTACACGGCCACTGCCACAGCGGCATGTACCGTATAGTACCGGCCACCAGGACTCCACGCAACTCTTCGAACTAGAGTAGTTAACTAGATCTGCACGAGAACCGAAACATCGAGCGACAGGAGCAGCGGAGCTTACATAGCCAAGGAGGAGCCTATGTAGGCAGGATGCAACGAGACGAGAATTGAGATGTCGGTGCATGCATGAAGGAGCCCAGCCGCACGGTGACGAACGAAAGACTCACGAACGACTGACGAGTGACTGACGAGCGACTCAAGAGCGACCCAAGAGCCGAAGTTGGGGCGGCAGTTGAGACAGGAGGCGGGAGATAGTTGAGACTGTGGGGACGGTTGGGATGGATCACTGGAGGCAGTTGATAGCGAAACGAAACGATGCGAAACAGCATGCAGTTGGAAGATTGAAGCCGGAAGCTCTCACCGCTGCTGTAGCAGTGCGGAAATTAAGTTGCCTAGTATCCATTCACTCCAGGCCCGACGGGGTGGCACTGGGACGTGGGCACACGGTTCCGCAGTGGTGGTGCATCGTGGTGGTGATGGCTGGTGGCGGTGATGACTAGAGGGGTCTACTCTCTGGTCTCTCGTGTCTGGTCTCTGCAGCGGGCAGATCACCGCACGCCCGCGGTGCCTCTACTTTGCTGCCAGAGATGTCCGGAATTGAGTGTATGTAGGAGGGGTTCTCAGCTGCATTTTGAACCGCACTGCTCTGCACTCTCGGTTCCCCGCCATCCACATCCTCTAATCCCAGACTGTGGGGCTGCTGATCCCAGTTTAGTTTCCCCCCGGCATCAGTCCAACTAACTAAAACATGTGTAGTTCCCACGTGCGCGCTTCACGTCACTACAGCTCACTCATGCCCGCCGGCAACCGGCGCACGTTGCCACTAGTACTAGCACATAGCAGCTGCGCCTCCACCGCAGCTCCCCACTGCCCAATGCCCACCTTGGCACCTCCCCCCACGGCCCGAACTACACCGGTTTAACGTGTTCCAACTCCCCGGGGCGGAGCGCCGAGAGTTCCCATTGCCATTGCCCATTGCCATTGCCATTGCCCAGCGCCCCCATTGCCCTATGTATGCTCAGTGCCCACCCAGAGTGACGGGTCTAACCCAGCGTCCACTGCCCACTGCCCACCATCCAGCGGGATTCGCACGCGTTTGACCATGTGATACCGTTGACTAGATATCCAACGAACATGCGGGGTGTGCTCCGCCAACAACGATGATTGGCTCCCCCAGGTGTGAAGAAGTGAGGAAGTGCACATGTCAAACTTGGCACTTGGCACTTGGCCATGGTGCCAATGGTGGAGCTGAAGAGCGTTTCTGTCTACGTACAACGTAGCCGGCCCGGATTCTTGATACCTATCTGCACTGTTGCCGGCGGTGAAGAGAGCTGGTATCCTGATTTCTCTTGGGTCGCGGCCGGTATTGTGCGGAATCGACTTTCATTTTTGTGCGGGGTAGCCACTGGCCAAAGTACCGTAGCCAAAGTCAAAGATGGATTCATGATTGAAGATGCACAATACAAGGCAATCATAACAGCCAAGAAGTACCAATACTAATACAGCAAGGAAAGGCAAGGAAACGACAGGAAAAGCGAAGCGACAGATAAAAAGCAACCATCATCCGGATAAAGCCGTGAAAAGCAAATACAAAAAGCAAACACAAAAAGCAACAAAAAAGGCAACAAAAAAAGCAAGTGCAACTCCATAACCACAAGACGACAAGAAAGCAAGTAAGTAAAAGATGACCGTTAAGCTAGATTAAAAGCGGCGCATGGCGCATTGGCGGCTGCGGCTTGGGACTCGAACTCAGGAGGTGCTCTTCTTCCTGCTCCCGCCCGACAGCTCGAGGACTTTCTCCTTGAAGCCGTGGATCTTGTTGCGTTGGACGTGGCCGTCTCTGTGGGGGATGGAACGATTAGCGTCCGACTTTGGCGGCAGTAGGGCAGTGGGATAGGATTGAGACGAACCGTGACGCGGGCGTGGCAAAGATGCTCCCCTCGACGTGCTGGAACCTCGATGGCGGAGTTAGGGCACTTCAATCCATGTTATGTTAGCAACTGGGCTTCGTTCCGTTGAAGGATGATGATCCCCAGAGAGAGAAGGCGAGAGAGAGAGAGGGCGCTTACGCATCCCATTCCTTGGATCTGCATTTAGTTCCCGTGGTTAGCGAAGTGTGCCAAGGCGCGTAGTCGGTCTCATGCACCCCATATGTACATGGTCATATTTCCGGTTTCTCGCCACCCGATAACGAGACGAGACGAGGCAGGACAGGATAAGGATAAGGATAAGAATAAGCAAGGAGGGGGATGGGAAGTGAGACATACAGTCTGCGGTCACGCTTGGCGAGAGGAACCGGCGTCATGCCGTCACCGACGCTGCCATCGCTCGCACGCCGCGCAGTGTGCGTGTCCGTCGTCGTCGCGAAGGGGTCGGTGAACTGCGTGGTGGTCGTCGTGGTGGCCGTGTGGTGGTGGTGGCCGTGGAGGTCGTGCTGGTCGAGGGGGGAGCTCATGGTGATTGTGTTTGTGGGGGTGTGGATGTTTGTCGAGGCAGGAATGCTTGGTCTGTGGTCTTTGGTCTTGATCTTTGGTCTTGAGATCGAGGGACTGTAAGCTGTGGATTGGATCTGTTCTGTTCCATTCAACCAAGGAGGAGGCGCGGGCCCGCCTGCTTTTATAGCAGTAGCAGTGGCAGTCCAGTCCAGCAGCTTTCCAGTCCAGTCCAGCAGCTTTCCAGTCCAGTCCAGCATCCACGCTCTCTCGTCTGCCCAGTTCTCCGGTCTTTACGTTTCCCGGCAGACGCAGACGCAGCTCCACGGTCCATTTGCGGACGGTGGAATGGCATTATGGAGGGTGGGTGGGTGTGTGTGAGTGTGTGAGAGTCGAGACCAGCGTGGTTAGTGTTAGCTGAAGACGTCGTCATTGTATCTACCCTATGTATGGTGGCTTCGCCAACAGGAAAACCAACAATGGCAATGGGCAATGCAGTCATTTCGTCGACTTCCCGTGATGGATGGATGGCTGGATGGATGGGACAGGACATCATCAGTAATAGTGCCGCCGATCGTCTTGCCACGGCCGGCCATCGACTCGGCCCCCCATCCCCCATCCCCCATCCCCCATCCCCCATCCCCCATCCCCCTCCCCTCCACACCCCATTCGTGGGATGCACTCTATGTACGCGGAGGAATCGAGACTAGATCTAGTTAGATGGGGTAGACGGGCACTCTCCCCCTCCCACTCGCTTTCGATGGCTGCGTGCTCGTGCTCGTTCGACGGTGTGGTCTCCGTGACGCTAGAGCATGTACGAGGTAGGTAACGTTGAGGACTGGCGAAGTCCAACGCTGATTTTCCCGGCTACAGGCTACCAGCTAGGCACTCGACATTGTGAGAGGCCCTCGGACGGGCTGCATACTCTATTCTACATACATGCTTCCTCTACACGTGTGTGTGTGTGTGTGTGTGTGTGTGTGTGTGTGCCAAGATGGTGGGTGGGTATAGTTGGTACTCGAAAGTACTCACATAGGTATCTTCACGCGGTGGGGAGAAGATGGTGTAGTGTAGGTAGTGTACTGCTACTACGTGGTAGTTATCTCTACGCGGCAGGGAGAAGATGGTGGGTGTAGTGTATGTACTGCTACTACATTCATGGTAGTACGCAGGTTCGCTCCACTCTTGTCATCCGCTCAGCAGATCGGCGGCACTGCTGGGAATCCGATCAAGCTGGTATGTACCATGTATGTAGGACGGTTCGACGTGAAGACAAGGTGTCTGGTGCCCACTATATCACTCTAGGTACTTGCTCGAGCACGGTAGGTATGTGAGCATCGTCGATATCGACATCGACATCGTCCCTTGACGGGTGCACGTGTAGTTACCTGCTGTACGTATGCGCTTTGCCGCGAAAGCTTGTTTGCCCTCCAGGGTGTCTCCCGAGCCCTCGTGCCCAGACAATTCCGAGGTTCTGAAGGGGAGAGAGCAGAATAGTAGGTAACATATGTAGCAGCATCTAACCGTCTACGTAGTACGCACGCGGCCACCCGCCCGTTTGTGAAAACAGGTGGACAGTGAACTTTCGCGAGCGGATATGAATAGAGCAAGCAAACGGACGTCGGAACTCGCATGTGTGTATGTAGTGTGCACTGTGCGTGGGGTAACATGGGACCAGAGGCTTGCACCACCACCACCACCACCACCACCACCACCCAGCACCGCCTCCTCGCACGCACGCACCAGCTCAAAAGTCCTCCATCCTGTAGACCTCGTACGCGGGGACTTCATACGGATGTGTTCTTTCCTCGCATCAGTACGCATCAGCAACCATCATCATTCCCATCTTCATTCCCATCAGAACCACATCACATCACGCACGGCTACGCACCTTTTCAAAGCCTCAACAGCCCCCCTCGTAGTCTCATCGCCTATGCACATGATCTCGCACCTGACCTCGTAGACCCTCTCGAGGCGGTAATTCTCCTCGCCGGGCTCCCGCTTGCCAATGGTGGGGTTTGCGCCCCGCTCCGCGATCGGAAGGAACTGCCCCGTCCCCGTGCTCTCGAAGCTGCAGCTGGTGTACGCCTCGCCCGCGTATGTTCCCCCGCCGGCCGCGAAGATGGCGGTCTTCACCCGCTCGAGCGCTGAGGTCGGCGTGTAGAAGATCAGCTTGTACCGCTGCGAAGGTGAAGGCGAAGGTGGGTTGGCGCTGCTGCTGGTCGAGCTGCTAGACAGCTGTTCTTCGGGCTTCTGCCCGCCACTGCTGCTGCTGCGGGTGCTCATCCACTCGCAGAACTCCTACCGTTGCGGTGCGGTCAGCCGCTCTGCCCCCTTCGCGAAGTGCAGTACCAGGTATCACAGATGTCTATCATAGAGAGAAGGGGAGAGAGAAAGAGAGAGCCGCACTCTGAACGCATCGACGCCCGTCCCTCCATTGAGGGCGTACTTACGGACAATAAACGACGGCCTAGCGCCGGGCCCGAACAGGTGGCCCGCGTTCATGCCGTCGAACTCCTTCCACGAGCCGTCGGCTTGCTGCTGGATGATGACGTCTTCGCCGCTGGTGAGGGACCCGGGCGTGCTCATCTTTGGGTTGGTGTTGGTGTTGGTGAGAGCTATGGGTGTGCGAGAGAGCTGATTGGTGCGAGACAGGCGCGGAGAGGTAGCATGGTAGCAAGGTAGAGGACTCCCGTTGCAAACGCCAAGACTACACACGAGTCCGGAAATACCGGTACCAACGCGGCACCGTAGGAACTCGGTTGAAGGGCACACGCGCCGTGAGACTCGGATAAACATGATGACTGGCGACAGAAATCGCCGGCTTGTGAGGAGGGGAAAAGATTCTTGTGACTTCCTTACAACAGATTGGCTGGTCAATGAAAAAAGAACCGTTGGAGTTCAGTGATCTTGAAGCCTGAAGGCTATCGCTACAGTCTTGGCATGCGTGGGTGATTGACTGTGAAGTTCGCTCGGCCGGTGAGGCGGTGACAACTGCGTCTTGTAGAGTACTCACGTACGCGGCGGTTTGGGCCTCTCGGATAACCATTGCATGTAATAACATCAAGGGTATGTTTGGAAAGGCGGACATCACGGATGTAAAGAGAACGTTAGGCACCAGACCCTCCAACAGTTAGTCAATTGAAATGGGAACACTGGTTTAAACAGTTCAGTTCTGGTTGATTTTGTTCCCGGTTCAGTCAGGAACAGTGGCTGTCAGTTCCCAGTTGGTTTAGGTAGGTCCAGCAGTTGTTCCCGGGAAAACTGGCAGAACTGTCAGTTCAGCGGATGAACTGCCAGTTCAGCCAGGCCAGCCGAAGTGGGCGAGATAGGTTCCTCTGGTCACCAAAAAAGCGATAGAAAATGGGTTCAGTACTATTTTGAATGGTCACGGAAATAGTTGTAGAAGATGGGTATGTATTAATTCTGAATTGCTACTCTGATGCTACCTAAGTACACATCATTACGGCGATTGAACCTCTTGATACTCTCTAGAGCTTCAATACTCAAAGAAAAGCCGCGCAACCTCAGCCGATATGGCTGGGATAGACAGAGTGTCAAATTGTCAATCGCCATTCGGCTGAGGTTAGGAAAACGTCTTTGCTGAAGGGGTTCCTGTTGAAACGCACGAGAAATAGTCTCACTCGAATGTATGATGTTTTGTATGAGAATTGTCCTTTCATTGACGGCTATCTACCGACTCTTTTATCCTTCTACCGGCGACTACCTGCCGGCGCCGCCGCCGCTGATCACCCACACCGTAGACTGTTTGACCTGATAGGCGAATGGGAAACTGATATTCGCCACTCTGTCACCATTCGTCAAGTTTATTCGAACCTCCTGCATAGCGCGTGTCTCCGTGTCGAGTAGAGTAGATACCGGTATCTAGTACGGTGCCCGGGGAAGAGAGAAGTCTTTATTGACAGAGAAAGTCGCTCCACGTAAAAGTCGAATTTCAGATCAACGACCAGCAGTTCAAATTCACAATTGCGACGGACTCGTCATCGGTATTTCCTTTCGGTACCGTACCAGGTATGTAGGAAGTCCAAACTCCCTCGGTCCAGCCCTCTCGGTCCAACCCGAGTGATATCCCATGTTCGAGCCCGAGCCGGGGGAGCGCAGCTGACGGGATGGCGGGGTGAAACTCAGCCGGGTAGCCCCGCCACTTTCGACATTGCGCGCTAAAAAAGTTCGAATTGCAGGCCCAACAATCCCGCAGCTCTTCGTCGTTGTCAGCGCCCTACTTCCGGATATCCAATTCGACCCAAGAAAACGATGTACGCTGTACGGTTACGAGCGTCCCGCGCTCATCTGGGAGTATGTTTTTTTCCTCCTCTTTTTCACGCGCACACATACACAGTAGGAACGGGGGGCGTGTTTAAGATGTACACTTTCTTACTGTGGCTACTCTACATAGGCACTCGCACGATCTCCGTCGTTACTGGCCGTGAGAGCTCCCTTCTCCACGCATGCCGGCCACATGAGGCCCGTATTGGGGTTCGTCGGTCCCCGTCCCCGTCCGCACACTTGCATACCCCGCTGGCCCGCGCACGCACGCTGACGCTCACCTGGCAGCGGATCCGAAGACGTCGAGTCACCCGAGGCCGGCGCGCGCATTCCTTTGAGTATCCAAGCGAACTACTTCGAGCCTTTGCGGCGGCAGGTAACGCACGGGGGGCTGGCGGTGTGCGACCTGCAGCTGCGGGCATACAGCGTGCGCAATCTCGAGATCATGGCAGATTTTGCGCTGCGGGCGGCATACTACGCGAAGCTCCCCGCGTTCGGACCTGTTCCGCTGCCGAAGAAGATCGAAAGATGGACTGTACCGAGGGGTAACTTCGTCCATAAGAAGTCCCAGGAGAATTACGAGAGGGTTACCCATAAGAGGTTGATTAGGATCAAGGATGGGCACCCAGAGACCGTCGAGCTGTGGCTCGCGTTTCTGAGGCAGCATCATTACCATGGTGTCGGCATGAAGGCGAATGTGTGGGGTTGGGACGAAATTGGTATCCCCCCTCCCCCGGATGTTTCGATTTGGCTGGAACGATGCTGACTGTGGGGCCTGCAGGCGTTGGCAAGAAGATGAACGTCAGTCTCGAGACATTGCGCGACGTTCCCCGGCCGAAGTACGCCCATTTCGGCCCGAGGAAGAGTTCGGAAACCGCCTCCGCGGCACAGGAGATCCTCAATAGCCCCGAGTACCGCGCATTGGAGGATGCTGTCGGAGACCTACCCGCCATGGAGGCTGAGGGAGCTGCTCCGGTCGAGGAGGCTGCTGCTGCTTCGTCGGCTGCGGAGGCTGCTGTGGACCTGCCGGTTGAGGAGGCTGCTGCTGCTCCTCCGGTCGAAGAGGTTACTACGGACTTGCCGGTCGAGGAGGCTGCTGCTGCTTCTCCGGTCGAGGATGCCGCCGAAGCTCTGCCGGTCGAGGAGGTTGCTGCTGCTTCTCCGGTCGAGGATGCCGCCGAAGCTCTGCCGGTCGAGGAGGTTGCTGCTGCTCCTCCGGTCGAGGATGCCGCCGAAGCTCTGCCGGTCGAGGAGGTTGCTGCTGCTTCTCCGGTCGAGGATGCCGCCGAAGCTCTGCCGGTCGAGGAGGTTGCTGCTGCTCCTCCGGTCGAGGATGCTGCCGAAGCTCTGCCGGTTGAGGAGGTTGCTGAAGCTTCGCCAGTTGAGGAGGCTGTTGCAGCCCCACCGGTTGAAGAGGCTATCGGAGCTCCTCCGATTGAAGAGGCCGCTGTGGAACCACCGGTTGAGGAGGCTGCTGTAGCTTCGCCGGTTGAGGAGGCTGCTGTGGAAGTACCGGTCGAGGAGGCTGCTGCCGCTCCGTTAGTCGAGACTCTTGAGGACTTGCCGGTTGAGAAGACTGTCGAAGCTTCGCCGGTTGAGGAGGCTGCTGTGGAGCTACCGGTCGAGGAGGCTGCTGCCGCTCCTCCGGCTGAAGCGGCTGCCGTAGCCCCTCCGGTCGAAGAGGTTACCGGAGCTCCTCCGGTCGAGAAGGCCACTGCCGCTCCGTCGGCCGAAGAGGCTGCCGATACTGTGCCGGTCAAGGAAGCAACCGATGCTGCTACGGAAAAGACTGTAGTACCGCCGAAAGAGCCGGCAAATTGATACCGTAATGACTCGAAATCGAAAATATACAGTATTAATTCACCATTTTTCGAGAGAATGCCTACATTGCCATCAGTGCGACAGTAGTGCCGTGTTCATAACTCCTGGGCTTAAAACGGTGCCATTGTTGACACCGTGATGTAGTGATGTAGTGATGTAGTGATGTAGTGACGTAGTGATGTAGTGATGTAGTGATGTAGGCTGGACGGAAAGAGAGAGAAGATGCGGAAACAAACGTGATCATTGGATTTCACTCACGGAGCGAAATTATAGTAGGTATCACTCGCTTCGTCCCTGTAAGATCCCAAATAATGATGCCACAAAAACACAAACCCAGTAGTATCCCAAGACCTGTCGCGATTTCTAAAACCCGTATCCTCCCAATGCACAACAACACAGCAACGTTCATGCAAAAAACCACTATTTACTCCAAAGATCAGCCTAGACTTCCAGTTTCCCAGTCTTTTGTCCACCAGCCTCGGATCGAGACTCGAGACCATTGCAGAGACGCCTGTAGGCTGGCTATAAACAAGATGCCCGAATAAGACTGATTCTCCTCCCTTTGGAGAACATGCGGAAATAAGCATGATCATTATATTTCACCCACACCATGAAATTCTGATAGGTATCACTCGCTTTGCCCCAGCAAAAGTCCAAATAATGATCAAGTAAAATCACAAAAACACAAAACCGGTAAAATCCCAAGACCTGCCGCGATTCCTAAACCCCGTACCTATCCTCCCAATACACAGAAACACAGCAACTTTCATGTAACAACCCACTATTCACTCCGACCATCAGCCCCGGGCTTTCGGTTTCCCAGTCCCTTATTCACCAGTCTCGAGTCGAGACCCGAGACCACCGCAGAGACGCCGTAGGCTACTGTAGGCTGGCTATCAACAAGATGCTCGAAGTTCGAACAAGGCTGATTCCCCTCCTCCTTTTGAGTCTTTGACATTTCCCTGAAACTCGTCTTCCTCGCCGGTATTGTAGGTATTGTAGTTCGCCACCGGGAAAGTCACCAAGCACCGCCAACATCGTCCTCGGCATCTACCAAGACCTACACACAAAACGATGATGGCAGTAGGTAGTCGAAGAAGCCAGTTATGTCAGCCATTCCAGCTGTGCCGTCCAGTAATATATTCGGCACCCCATCGAGGCCTCTGCCAGTTGACTCAGAGGTGGTAAAGCTGGTGACATTCCAGTGGTGAAACATTTTGCGCGAGTGCTGCACTGTGGAGCAGCCAGCAGCCAGCCCACACAAGCAGCCGGCCGACAAGCCACTCGCCCATCAATCTCCACTCGCCCATCCATCTCGATCTCGATTCTCCCGTCGGATTCTTCCAGTCCTCGCCAGTGCCTCCGATAGTCCAGTCTAGTCCGTCTTTCGGCAAAAGCCGGACTGAACCTCTCAGTTCAGTCCGGCTGGAAGCGTGGACTGGACTGGGCAGTCTGCGCAGCTGGTTAGGCTAGACAGACTGCAGTCGACTGGATGGACTGGTAGGTACTTTGAATGGAAAATGTTCGATATCAGTAATGATTTTTTTTTTGTACACGTCTATAGTACATACAGTTAGGTATTGCAGATCCTCCTCGCACAGTGCATTAAGCATAGTCTCCATCTCCTTGATATCGCCATTTGTAGCAGCTACAAGACCATCTCGTTGCCAGCTTTTGAGACGTCCCAGTGCCTCCAGTGCATCGTCACGCATGCTGCAGCGGCGGTGTGAGAGTGAGATTTTGACCCAACTAAAACCTCGTTCTGGCTCTGCGCTCATGGCGGAATGCTCAAATACTGGAGGGCCATTCTGGCGAGATATTTCCAGCCAGGTTCAAGTGATTTATTCACCGAGTACTGTACCGGATTGTCCATGGAACCGCATGGAGGCGGGTCCTGCTAGAAAACCTCCATCATAACTGTATTCAGACAGCGGTGGGGTACGAGATAGAGAGCTGGCATGGTACGAAAAGAGAACATTTGGCAGGTTGAAAGAGTGATGCCCGCTAGCCATATGGTTCGACCCAAATTTTTTAGAAACTGGCAGTCTGTCAGTCGACTGCAGTCCGAGGCGGCAAATCTTTGGGACTGACTGAATTTAAACCGTCCTCCAATTTTATGGACTGGGCTGGACTGATGCAGTCCAGACTGGAATATCGGGAGCACTGGCCGTAGGCTGGCTATCAACAATATGCCCGAAGTTCGAACAGGGCTGATTCTCCTCTCTTTGAGTCTTCGACATTGACCTGAAACTCGTCTTCCGAGCCGATGTTGTAGGTATCGTAGCCCGCCATCAGGAAAGTCAAGTGCAATGCCGCACACCAAGGACTGCCAAATAACACCGTCCTCTCCTCCTCGTCGACCAAGACCCATAAGACGGTAATGGCAGTAGGTATGTAGGTAATCAAAGATGTCAGCTATACCAGCTATGCCAGCTATGTCGCCCAGCAACATCTTCGGCACCCCATCGAGACGTGTGCCGGTTGACTTAGAGGTGGTAAAACTGGTGACATTCCAGTGGTTGAACATTTTGCGCGAGTGCTGGCGAGTGAGAGAGTGAGTGCTGCCCTGTGCAGCCAGCCAGCAGCCACATCACGAGCAGACAGTCGACAAGCCACGCACCACTCGTCCACCCATCTCGATTCTCGACTCCACTCCCGTCAGAATCATCCAGTACTCGCCGCTCGCTGCGCCGCCACAGACTGAACCTGGCAGCTCAACCAAGGGAGCAGATGGGAACGCTGCTGTGCGGCCTATAATACTCTAGCAGATAGTTGGAGTACACACTTACCACGCGCGCACCGTTCCAGTACCGTTCCAGTAGTTACCGTACCTACATGCCGCAACATCCAGCCCGCTGGACATACCGAACCTGCCAATCTTGACACTCATCCATCCCCACCTTCTCTAGATAGGCCCGAAAACTAATGTAGGTACCTAGAGTGCTCCACAGTCCAGACTCCAGACTCCAGCCTCCATACTCCACAGTACTTCATATGGCATAGTTGTGTGGTATAGTTCCAAGTAACTGTTATGGAGCTGCCGGCCTCGGCCCCGGATCGGACTCCAAAGTCCATTGCATTGCATTATCCAACCCGCGGCTACGGCCCGGCCCCAGCCCATGCTATCCACCTCTTATGCACCCCACTGTTGATCCCCGATCATTCACTATGCAGGCTACAAGTTCATCACTTCACGAATCACTTTACTTCACTTCATGGGTCAAAGACTAAAGCCAGAGTAAATGTGTAAACAAATCAATCCTATATATACACCCATCAATACCGCACCCATCAATACACCCATCACTCATCAAGACACTCATCAAGACCAATAAGACGTAAACGTAAGTAGACGTAGAGCACAGATCACGCATTGAAAAGAGAAAAAAACCAAAAGGGTAATCAATATTTTCCGCCTCCCCCCGTCCATAGCCTACATACACACGGCTACCGTCCCGTCCCGTCATAAAAATGAAACCCAGTCTTAGTACTCCCAAAAGAAAACAAAAAACAAAAAACAAAAACAAACACCGCTAGGAACGAAAGACAATCAAAATAATAACCGGTAACAAACGAATTACAAGTCCAACTTCGGGTTGGAGCCCGCTATTCTCCCGATGACGGTGGCCGGGGCGTACTTAGGGATGACCTCATCGTCGTGGAGCATAGCGAACTCCTCGGTCGCGTCGCGTCCGGCAAAGTTCAGAATAGCCTGAACACCGCCGGGGTGGTCCTCCAGGAAGCCCGTGCAGTCGAGCACGAGATCCTTGACGACGACCCATACGTCGTCCTTCTTATTGTGCTTCGCTACCTCCTCCATGGTGATCTCGTTGGTGGGGATCACAAACTCCTTGGGGCTGGAAGGGGCCACCTTGGCAGGGTCGGCACCCTCGGCTCCGGCCTTGTACACGGGGTGCGTCGCGGTGTGGCCCTCGATGTCTGATTGACTGCCTGAGGACGCGGCGGCGCCGCTCCAGTCGACGGTAACGCGTCCGGGCTTGCTCGGGTCAATGTGTAGCGAGATCTGACCGAGACGCGCGCTGGCGTTGCCGGCACCCCCCTGCGAGAGGACCTTCTGGAAGAGGTATTCGCTGGCGGACTCGCCGGACACGCGACCGTAGACGACGCAACCAAGCAGAGAGGACCCTCCGAGACGGTTGGCACCGTGGACACCACCGGCGACTTCTCCACAGGCGTAGAGACCCTCGAAGGGCTTGCCCTCCTTGTTCAGGACCTGAGCCCTGTCGTTGATCTCGACTCCTCCCATGGTGAAGTGAAGCACGGGCTGCATCAGGGCGACGTGGAAGGTGTCGTTGATGTCGAAGGGGGTGTTGTGGAAGAACTTCTTGCCGTAGGGGTCCTTAGCCTTGCCGTCGGCGATGTCGTTGTAGCTCTGGAACACCTTCTGGAGGTGGGCATCGCCGCAACCGATCTCCTTGGCCAGCTCCTTACCGGAGATCTTCTTCATCAAACCACGACCGGAGTAGTGGCGAGTGTGGAAGTCGAGGACGTTGGAGGCCTTGCTGTTGAGGACGAGGCGGATGGGGAACTTGTTCTTGAACATCTCGCCCGAGACGTAATCACGATGACCGAGCTCGTCGCAGAAGCGGTCGCCAGTGGCATTGAGAAGGATACCACCCTCACCACGGAGAGCCTCAGCAGCCAAGAACTTGGTCTTCGCATCGGGGTCCTTGGGGTCGACCAGGCCGGTAGGGTGGACCTGAATCTTGTCCATGTCGATGCCGTTACCACCGAGCTTCATGACCATCTTCTGGCCGTCACCGGTGGCGTGGGTGCCGTTGGTGGTGGACAGGTTGTAGATCTCGGGACGGTGCAGCTTGATGAGGGAGTCCTCAGTGAAGTCGGCGGCGTAACCACCGGTAGCCAGGATGACGGGGCCGTTCTCAGTGTGGATCTTGCCATCGTACTCAAAGTCGACACCGGAGACGAAGTTACCGTCGTTGTTGATCTTTGTGACCTTGGCCTTCTTGATGATCTTGACACGATGGGGCTCTGTCTCGGCGAGCTCCTCGAGCTTCTGCATCAGAGCGTAGGTGATGGCCATACCGGGGAACTTTGCGTCGTGACCACGGTGGGTCCGGGGCTGCGAGTGGCCTCCCAGCCGCGAGACCAGGGTCAGATCGAGCTTGAACACGTCCTGCAGCCACTCAATGGCGGCGGCCGACTTGTAAGTCAGAACCTTGATCAGATCTGGCCGCGCCTTGTCGCGGGCCGACTTCAGGGTGTCGTCGTAGAATTGCTTTACGCTGTCACGGATCTCGGCGTCGACTTGCGTGCGAGTGAGAGCGCCGTTGATACCCGAGGTAGCCTTGGTCGAGTTGCCGCCAAAGAAACCTGTTCGCCACAGCACCGGTCAGAGCGGAAGAGAGAGAAAACGATGATAGAGAACGCACCCTGCTTGTCGAGAACGAGCACGTTTCCTCCCGCCAGGTAGATGGTGTGCGCGGCACTCAAGCCGGACAGTCCACCGCCAACAACGATTGCTCTCTGCGACATGTTGTGTGTGTATGTGCGTGTGTGTGTGTATGTGCGTGTGTGTGTATGTGCGTGTGTGTGTATGGAACGAGGAGCAAAGACGACGCAACGCTCGTGTGAATAAGAGAGAGAGAGTGAAGGTGAGAGTGAAAGGGGATTTATTAATCGAAGCCGACGACCTTCTTTTCGGATTTGTATGCGTAGTCCGTTCGAGGAGTTGGAGGAGGAGAGATGGACAGGCAGAGGAGAAGAAGAAGCAGGCGGGCTCCGGTTATGTAGCACTTCACATTCCAGCAGCTGACTGTCGGCGGGAAACTCGACTCCACCATGCAGTTGCCTCGGCTCAGGCAAAGGGCGGCGATACGGCAACGTCCATCTGTGTATGGGCTGGCAGCTGGGCCATGTAGCTGCTAACTAGCAGAGCACCAACGGGCGAGGGGCAGACTCCCCGCCACTTGGGGCTGGCTGACAGAGAAACAACCCTGACCTTCGCCCTTTCCTCGGCCGCTGATTCGTCGCGACAGCGTTGGGTCTTCCCCACACAGCGCGTTGGCGGCTTGTGCTTGCTGTGCATCCATAGCGCGGCGCTGGAGAAACGAAACCACTCAGCCGGCATACCACATGCCGAGCTCGAGCGTCCGTCTGTCCCATGTGAAAGCCAGGCCGTCGCCAACCCCGGATATCCATCATCATCCATCTGGCCATGCAGCCGAGCCCAACCTTGCCCAACCTTGCCTCGCATCTCACCCATCCACACGCTCACCCACGCACGGGCTGTTGTTTCGCCTCTCCCTTCACACGTGAGCGTGAACGTGACGTGCTTTTTCCCAAAGGCCCCATGATCTTTTTGTTTTGTTTTTGGAGACGCGAAGGAAAAAGAAGAAAAAATACATCTCCCTGCATAGTAGTCAGCTTTCACGTGTCGGACTGTGCATGTCCCGCCGTCTCACTCGTCCGGACCGTCGTCTGGGGGGGATGTGTGCTCCGCAGTCCGGAGTCCGGACAGATTCCTGTGAAAATCGGCCTGACATAAGTAGGATGAAGCACACATGTGACATGCATCGTTGAGACTCGACCTTGGCCACTTGGCGGGGGAGGGCCAGCGTGGGCCGAAATATGTAGCGGCCAAAGGAGGGCGAAGGGCGACGAGCGTCACCGGATTGGATTGACAATGCCCATCCCGCAGTCTCGTTGAAACTTGACGGCCGTTTCCACGTTGCCACATTCACCCATAGTTTCAGTTTATTCGGTCGCCGAGACGCTCGCGATTGCCCCGGTTGATACATTAGGGATTGCCGTATGAAGTACCTATGTAGTATGAGACGTCTTATATTGACAGGTCTCTCTATGAGGATGCATCTCGAGTATGTACCTACTATACACACGGTACCCACATTGATGTTTCCACCTTCCACCTTCCAGTCTCCAGTCTCCAGCTGTCTATCTACACCCTCGGCGTGGCCAATTCCAATCCACTCTACTATACATGTACTCTGTCCTCCACCGAGCCAGATGTACGCATCATACAACTTTCGGACCGAATTTAACCCCAGCTGCTCGCACCATTCCAGGCGTCCAGCCACCACGCCTGCCCGGTTGCCCCGCCAGCTGCATACCGAGGCGCCGTCGGAACGGTATCGGTAGTCTTTATATGATGAGCCCCTGCGTGGTAAATCTCATGTGGCATCTTTGTAGAATCTATGTACTCTAGATCTCACGTTCTCTCACATAGGTAGGGTATAGTGGTTCGATTGGTATTGGTATCAGTTATTTCGATGGTGCTGGGTATCTAGGAAAGTATATGGGGTATGTAGATCACAACTCGTCCTTGACATCCGCCACCTTCTCCTCCACCTTCTCCTTGACATCCTCCACCGTCTCTTCCACCGCCTCCTTGACATCCTCAACCTTCTCTTCCACCTTCTCCTTGACCTCCTCCACCTCCTCCTCAACACTCTTCACCACCTCCTCCACCTTCTCTCGGACTTTCTCCCCAACACCCTCCTCCTGAGCCATCAGCGCATCCGGCACCTTCCCCTTGCTACCCTCACCCATCTTAACCGCATCCAACCACGCCAGAACATCCGCACTCTTCTCGGCATCACCAGCGAACCTTCTAAACCATCCACGATGATTTACCGCGACCAACTGGGGCAGTTCGGTTCCGAGCTGCAGATTCTCAACGAGCGCGGCAGCGAGCTCGTCGGTGGCGGGCACATGGAACACCTGGAACGTGTGGGGCGGCGGCCGGCTAACGAGCTTGCCGTAGGCGCCTGTCACGCCTGCTACGGGCGTCGACGAGAGCAGGAGGATGCATGTCTTGGACTTTTTGGCGAGGCAGGTGGACTGCAGCGCGGTGAGGCCCGTGAGCGTGGGCACTTCGGGGGCGGCTGGAGAGGCGTTAGTTATGTGCTGCAGTGGGGGTTGAGGGGGGACTTACGGGTCGGCGTGGGCTTCGCGGTGGTGGTGGAGGAGGACGTGCTGGAAGATTCCGGCTCCTCGCTGCTCTTGGGCGCCTTGACAGCAGCGAAGAAGTCGTACATGGCCTGCTTCTCCATTTTTCCGCGGTAGACGACTCCCTCTGCGTCGCCGCCGGGAAGCACCACGATCGTAGGAAACGTAGACACGCCCATCAGCTCCGCCGCGGCGGTCTCCTTATCACGAACCTGCGCGAAGGAGATGGTGTCGAGGAAGTCGACGGCAAGGCTCTTCCACAGCGCGCTGGTGGTGCCTTTTCTCGTGAACAGGATCGCCTTGGCAGTGTCGTTCTTGTCGCTCAGGAACTCGGTGAACTTGGAGCCGCTCAGCTTGGTAACGTGGTTCGGGATGCGCTCGGCCACGGCGTCGGCGATGGCTTTGGCCGTACGGCCACCATTGTAGTCTGTCCACTCACACTTCCATCAGCTTCCATTCCTCCCCTCCAAAGGGTAGTGGGGTGGAACAAACCCTCGACAACCGGCCGTCCCTTCTTGCTGGAGGGCACGAACAGCTTCAGCGTGGGAAAGCCCTTGATGCCATACTCGCCGCAGGTGCGCTTGTTCTTTTCCTCGTCGCAGTCGATCGCGGCAATCTTTGCCATGCCCTTGAGCGACGTGGCCGCCTGCTCGTACGCCGGCTTGAGGTTCTGGCAGTGCCCGCACCACGGCGCGTAGAATCTGCGCTCGCTCGTTAGAACACACTCACTCCACTTTTCCCGCACGTCCGCAGATGAGGGTGGGAGGGAAGCTTACTCGACCATCTATACACGACGTTAGCACACATGAAACAAGATGTTGGCTGGGAGGAAACATACCGCAGCATTGCCGGAGCTCAGGATCTCCTTCTGGAAGTTCTTGTGGTCCAACTGGACGATGGCACTCTTTGCGCCGTAGAACGCGGCATCGGCGCCCGACGTCGACGCGAGCAGCAGGAGCGTGGTGACGACAAGCTCCCGGAGGAGATGCATGGCGGATTCGAGCTAGTGTAAGCTTGGTGTTTGGTTTGCTGGAGAAAATGTTTCGAGAGCAGTTGGGTCAATTGGAGCGATGAGATGCGGACAAGCGAGCGAGCAACTGCTACTGGTTGGTAACTACTGGAGGTTATTGGCAGGATGCTTTTGATTTCGGCCTTTTGAATTTCCGCGGCTTTGCCGTGAACGAGGGATAAGGCCAGGTGTACTGTTGCCGCTTGATGGCGTGGGTTGAGTCGTGTGTAACCGACGGCGATGCACGATCCGATCGACGTGACACAGCCGGAATGTGAATGAGCACTTCGACGGGGATCTTCTTTCTTTAGGAGCAAGGTAGGGATGCCAAAGGCCCAAAGCACCGTAAAGTCTGAGGCGCGACGGTAAATTGTCATGTAAAGGTGTAAGGCTTGGCTGTCATGATGCACGTTTGCTTTACAGCCACATTATCTACGTGACAATACGTGACATTACAATACCGTCACGTTACCGTTGACATCCCTAGAGCCTACCTACCTCTACTCTCCCCACAGCACGATCACCGCCACGACCCTCACCATGGCGACTTCCGGTGATCCCCCCTCGGCCTCAATGGTACTGGTCCCAGCCGGCAGCGAAGTCGCCGACGTCAACCAATTGACGCGCGAAAAATATGTGAAAGGTCAGTCCGTTTCCTTCCCTCCGGGGGGGTCCCCTCTAACACCCTACAGACGACAAGATCGGCGAAGGAACGTACGCTATCGTGTACCGGGCGCACGTGCGAGCGACGGGGCAACCCGTGGCCATCAAGAAGATCAAGATCTCGTCGCAGTCGGAGGGGATATCGATGGACTCGCTGCGGGAGATAAAGCACCTGCAGGAGCTGCGCCACCAGAACATCGTGAATCTCCTGGACGTGTTCGTGGGCAAGAGCCACAACATCCATGCCGTGCTGGAGTTCCTGGCCGGTGACCTCGAGGGCATCATCAAAGATACTAGCTGTGTCTATGGCTCGGGCGATATCAAGAGCTGGATGGCAATGAGCCTGCGCGGGCTGTGGTGGTGTCATAGGAATTTCGTTTTGCACAGGGTGAGTACGTCGCCGTCCACCACACACCACCGCCGACTGCTAACTCTGACAGGATATCAAACCTAACAACTTGTTATACACGATGTCGGGCATTCTCAAGATCGCCGATTTCGGACTCGCGCGGTCCTTCGCCGACCCGCACGCCAACATGACGCACCAGGTAGTGACGCGGTGGTACCGGCCGCCGGAGCTGTTCTACGGCGCGAAGCACTACGGCGCCGCCATCGACATCTTTTCCATGGGGGCGGTGTTCGCGGAGCTGGTGCTGCGCGCGCCGTACCTGCCCGGCAGCACAGACCTGGCACAGCTCGAGGTCATCGTTACCGCCCTCGGCCAGCCGAGCGAGCAGAATTGGCCCGGCGTCACGAAGCTGCCGCAGTACTGCGTTACGAACGATGCCATGCCCCCCGAGGTCGACCTGCAGGGTATGAAGCGACAGTTTCAGAGCATGAGCATGAGTGGCCTGCAGCTGCTACATGGCATGCTGCGCCTCGACCCGCGCAAGAGGGTCACTGCTAGGGACGCTCTCGAGAGCGAGTGGTTCCGCGAAGAACCCATGCCGACGAAGCCGCATGACCTGCCGGGGAAGAAGGGCAAGGAGGAGCAGGAGAAGGTCGGGCAGGATCTGAAACGCAGGGCGGGATACGATGATGTGCTTAATGGCGACGAGCTGATCGCGGACCGCGGGAAGAATGTGGCCAGACGATTGGATTTTGGTGGGATGTAATTGCTATATGCTGCGCGTACGGGTACATAGGTGGGGCGTTGGGGATTTGTTGGCTTTCATTTGCATTGGTCTTGCTGCGGCGCGTGTATAAATTGTAGGTAATCCTTGGGTTGCAGTGACGTTCGAGAAGTTCACGCGGTTGATGTGAACCATCATGTCAGCGCACTTGATCGGTCTGTAGGTATGGCACCTTGCTGCAGTCCACGGGGGCCTTGAGGCCTGGCCTGGAAACCAGAGATAATCACATAGTATCACTCAACATCCATAGCCATTCTCACTCCTCAATTCCTGTCGTCCAGAGCTTCGCTGCTCGGTGGTCTGTGGGGTAGGTATCCTTTGCGCTAACCCAACCAGCCACACCAGCCACACGCGACACCAAGCCGAGCTGAGCTCATGACCAGTTGTACCTATGGAGGGTGGGTGCCAACCCCTATCCCCTCCCACCCACCAATCCATCGCAATGGCGCCGCCGTCCACACCGCTCCCCGCACGCCGTGTGACACCGCCAGGACCCGGCCGACGAGGTGAGCCGCATCCTTATCCTTATCCACGGCTTACCCCATACCCCGCGAAGTCCGAAAGCCGAAGGCCGAAGCCTGACTAATCACGCCCGCACCGCCTAGGAACAACCGTAACGCCGACGCGCCGAGGCGCGATCCTGGCGCTGCGCTATGGCTCGCCGGGGTTCACGATCCGGCAGATCTCCGAGCAGCTGGGTGTCTCGAAGTCGACGGTACACGGCATCTGCAAGCACGCGGAGAAGAAGGCGCGGGCGTTGCGAGAGGAGCGGGGGGCCGACACCACCGCCACCACCACCGACGACGCCTCGACGGCGACGCAGACCGCGCCCTCGCTGCTCGAGCTGCTGGCCGCTTCCGCCCCCTATAAGGCCTCCGGACGCCCACGGAAACATGCGCTCACTGCCACCGGCGAAGACGGCGATGACGGCGACAACCCGGCCGCCGATGGTCGCGGCGCTCCTACGCCGACGGATACACCGACAGATACGCCGACAACCACGCCGGCGCCAGACGAGACGTCGCTTTTCCAGCTGCTGGCTGATCCCAACCCCGCACCCGCGTTGAATACATAAGCCCTACCGGAATGTCCCGACTCGACTTGACTTGGTGTTTTGTAGCTCCCACGGGGAAGCTTTGTTCCCGGAAGAAACCGTTCGATCTCCAAATTCCAATAGAACAGTCGTCCGATCTATCTTGTAATCTTCTTTTCATTTCTTCGTCGTATAAAACGACCTTCTTCTTTTCCTCATCCATTCAGCCTTTTGCGCGAACAATCTTTCTAATCTTTCTAATCTTTTCTAATTCTAATTCCTTTTCTCGAGTTGGATACGCCAAAGGATCGTTTTCGTTTAATACCGCAGTACGTGGGGAGGTTGATTCTGTACAGTACTATACAGTTGGGTTCTCCTACATATGATGCTTATCGGCTGTGCTGGCCTGACGAATGGAAGGTGACATAAGATATAATTCGGCTTTTTTTTGGGCGTAGCAATTACATACACGACTTCCTCCATGAACCTCTATATTGAGAGGCCCACTTCTGTGCCCACGAGCTGTATCTAGCTGCAAGACTGTCTATGCTGATGAATGCTTTGATTTCTGGGAGAGAGGTGCAGATGTTGATTATACGAGAGATGATAAGAGCATTTCGGCCATAGACGTTGTCACTCTTCTGTTACACAGCACGCGAGTGGAAAAAGGCGATAATGGCAACTACTGTTCAAATGATGTTTCTATTATCTTCCTCTATCTGGACCCTTTCAATCGTGCTTGGGGGTCCAAGACGAACGGGTGACTTACCCATTCGCTGGACATCACTCGCCGAGGGCCAAAAGAACCGAAGTGTATATGGTATGTAGACCAAAATGAAAGGACCATGAAGCCCACTGTGGGGACGACACGGTGAGTAAGCGGTCATATTGTATTAATCTTCCTCACTCCAAAATAGGAACACGCCATAGAACAGGCTTGCACCAGAGTGTTGGTGAGGATCGGTTTGAAGTTTCATGTCACTTCACGTTCACGATTCCGTCATTGCAACGAGAGAACTCGGATTGTCCACAGTATCCCATTTGCACTGGAGCTACCAAAAGCAACCCGAAAACGCCGGTCCGATCCCAATACCGTTAAGAAAACCAGATCTTTTATTCAAGATTAACGAAGAATTTACTCCTCGGGAACTGTAGTGAAAAAAGTCAGTCATTAACTCCGGGGTCACGTGTGAAATGGTGAACATACTCTCAATCTCGCCGGACTCAATGTCGTCGGAGATATCCTTGGGGCTCCGTCCATCAACCTGGCAGCCGACAGAGAAGGCAGTTCCGAGGATCTCCTTGACGGTACCCTTGAGCTCACGGGCCAGCGACTTGGTGCGCATGATGCGGGCGATCTCAATGATCTCCTCGAGAGGAACCGACTTGGTGTGCTTGATGTTCTTCTCCTTCTTGCGGTCACGCGGGGGCTCCTTGAGGGCCTTGATCACGAGCGACGACGCGGAGGGAACGACCGAGACGGTAGCCTGACGGTTCTGGATGCTGAGCTGGATGGTGACACGGAGTCCTTTCTGTTTTCCACGTATTAGCATGCAACGCACGCGCGCAGAGGAGGGGCGGAATTTGAACATACCCAGTCACCAGTAGCCTTGGCGATATCTTCACCGACCTTCTTGGGCGACAGACCAAGAGGACCGATCTTGGGCGCAAGAGCGGACGTAGCACCAACTTCACCACCGGTGGCACGGAGGTAGCTGTTGAAGAAGAACGTCCCCAATCGTTAGCCAGCTCATTCATGAGAAGGTACAATATGAGGCGACAAGCGCTAGACGTTTTCTTCATCCGTCGGGCGGGCGATAATAACGTACATGACCTTGACCTCAGAGGGATCGAACTTGGGAGCTATTTTCCATGTCAGCAAAACGACGAAAACGCGAATTGCATAGCCGGGCGGGGCGGAACATACGCATGGCGATGGATTTGCTGGTGGGGTTAGAAGGTCGGGTTCGGGTTGGGCTGTGCTGGGGCTGGTTGGGCGGGCGTGGTGTCGAAGTTCGTCAAGTTCCAAAGTCGTCCTGAAAATTGCCAATTGTCAAGGCGCTCGTTAGGGCTAGACTGTGGAAAGGATGTGTGTGGCTCTGTGACTGCCGAAAGGCGGCGTTAATCTAATCTCATCTTATCTCATCTGATATTTCCGCACTTTAGCGGCTCCGCAGTGTCCCTCATGACCGGCGCCAGCCAGCTCTATATGTATACTCTACCCAGCTCTAGGCTAGCCATTCCCACTGAGAATCATCAGGTTGCAGAGTACACACGGTTTGTTATTTGGCAGTGAACCTCAACCAAGTACCTACGCCTAAGCTCTCTTTTGATATCCAACGGCAAATGCTAGTTACGAAACACAACATCAAATTTTTCGCCCCAAAACGTCCCCTCCCACCGTACCCAAGCGCCTAAATGCATGAAAGATTGACAATTTTTACATGTTCTCCGCCTGTGCTTCCAGACCATTCACTGCCAGCTTGACGGTGGAAGAGTGTACTGACAGAGGAGTCGGCTGCAGACCGTTTTCGGTTCCGTTTTTCATTGGCATGGGAGTTGCTGGCCTGCTCGAAACGACCTGAAAAGGAGAGTAATCAACAGTCTATTCGCTGGACACATTCAAGAGATAGCATACCTTGCTTGCAGCGCTCAGGATGGCAATCAGGGAAGACTGCGCAGTATCCTCGTGGATGCCAACTCCCCAAATGGTCTGTGGCTTGCTCGAGCTGCCTCCAACGATACACTCAATGAATGTAGCGGCCTTGACGTCTCGGCCCTGACCGATAGCGTGCTCTTTGTAGTCCTTGACATCCAATTCCAAACCGATGCACCTGAGGGCATTGGCCAGAGATGAGATGGGACCGTTTCCAACACCCCGGATGGAGTGTTCCCTGCCGTCCATTGAGACGATACCAACGAACGTCCTGCGAGGGTTCGCAGAAGCCTTCTCCAAGCCTGGGACCGGCGAGGCCGATCGGTCGGTAGAGAACTCGTAATCCACCAAGTTGATCCTAGATGGCGTGTTGAGGTAGTACTCGTTCTCGAACAACGTCTGGATCTCCTTGGGCTTGAGCTCGCGGCCAAGCGCCTCGGTCTCCCTCTGGACAACCTTGGAAAAGGCGATTTGAAGGCCGCGAGGCATATCAAGCTCCAAAGCGCGTTGGATAATCCAGGCCACACCTCCCTTTCCGGACTGGGAGTTGACACGGATGATAGCCTCATATGTTCTTCCTATATCGGCCGGATCCAGCGGAAGGTAGGGCATGGCCCAGTGGTCATCGTCCGTCAAACCTTGCTTCTCGCGCATGTTGAATCCCTTTTTGATCGCATCTTGATGCGATCCAGAGAAGGCGCAGACGACCAGTTGGCCTCCATACGGAGCACGAGCATGGACGGGAATCTTGGTGAGGTCCTCCACAACATCGATGACCTTTGTAAGATCTGAGAAGTCAACCTTGGGGTTGATTCCCTGGGTGTAAAGGTTCAAAGCCAGGGTGACCAAGTCAACGTTTCCTGTGCGCTCGCCGTTTCCGAATAGACATCCCTCAACTCGGTCCGCACCACCCATCTGTGCCATTTCCGCAGCGGCGACAGCGCATCCACGGTCGTTGTGAGGGTGTAGGGAGATACAGATCTTCTCCCGCTCGGAGATATTCCGTGAGAAGTATTCAATCTGGTCTGCGTAGACGTTTGGGGTCGACATCTCGACGGTGGCAGGCAAGTTGAAGATGATGGGGTTCTCCTCGGTAGGGCCCCAGGCTTCCTTAACAGCCTCGCAGATCTGGATGGCGAAATCCAGGCGCGTGTCAGAGAAAGTCTCGGGCGAGAACTCATAGGCCCATTCGGTATCCTGCGCGTCGGGATTGTCCTTGGTCAAGCTGCGCACGAGCTTCGTCGACTTCACTGCCAGAGCCAAAGATTCCTCCTCGGTCATGCCAAACACGATGTTTCTGAAGCAGGCCGAAGTCGCCAGGTACAAGTGGATGATCGCCTTCTTCGCACCCTTCATCGACTGGACTGTGCGCTTGATGAAGTCCTCGCGACACGGTGACAGGACCTGCAGCCAAACATCGTCGGGGACCGCGCCAGGAGTCTCGATCAACCGGCGGGTAAAATCGAAGTCAACTTGCGACGCCGAAGGAAACGACACTTCGATCTCTTTGTAACCGAGCTGCACCAGCATTTGGAAGTACTCCCACTTCTGGTCGGAGTCCTGAACGCATCCAGGTCAGGGTCTGCATCGCGCTTCCACGGAAAACATGCACATACCATGGGGTCCACCAAGCTCTGATTGCCATCCCTCAGGTCCGTTGACAGCCACCGTGGCGCTTTAGTGATGGTCTTTGACGGCCATTGCCTGTCGGGGAGATTGACTGGCGGGAAAGCCTTGTACTTCTTGGAGGGATCTTTGAGCCTATGTCATTCATTTTGCACTTGTCAGCGACCTGATGAAGCGCCCAAAGAACATGCCTCCAGTGAAAGAATCGTAAGGAATCCAATTGCACTCAAGCTTTGGCGCAGCTGAGGGGTTGTGATATGTATCGCAAACTGGAGTAGAACTCACATCGGCATCTCGAATTGGCGATGGTCTTGGTGGGGTATGTAGCGGAGTGGATTATAGCTTCTTGTGTCGAAGCTTCGGAAGAGAAGTAAAGATCAACCGTATGATTAACTGACGTCGAGCAAGCAAAGAATGTTGGGGGGCTTCCACGAGAAGACGCACAGAGATATAGAGGTTTTGCTTCGTTGCAAACAGCTTCGTCGCAATTGATCAATTCCTATAGCCGGCGGCCGAGATGCCGCCTGACTCATCTACGAGCGAAAACCATCTACCCCCGCCACCATCACCCCACCAATAACGCCGATCTGCAATGCACAATGATGCACGCGGCTTATAGTTCACAATGCACAGCGAGTCAGCGACACGAGTACGGGCCGCTGGATATATGTAGAGTACTCTACACGGCCGTTATGATACAGCATTCGGACTTCCTTTCGTGACCTCCAATTCTTCGCACTGCTGAACTGATGTTGCTGGTTTGTGTTTAATTCGCCAAATCCATCATATTATCCCCCCGCGAAGCAAACAGGAGTCTCTTCTTTGGTGGTGTATAGAGAAGCCAAGTTTCCTGGTCATAGATTTCGAATGAAACCTGTTAATTGAGATTATGTTAGCCAAGTACATAATACTCCGCTCAAATAGACTCATGGGCAAGCTGACACCATTACCACACTTAATTAGCTGTGCGCATTTCTCGCAGCTGCTCATAGAGGGCATACTGAATACCCGAATGGAACTGAAATGTGAAGATTTTTTATGGGGAAAAGATGCGAAGACTTGTGGAATTTGTGCGGATAAGATATATGAATATATACTTTATTCATTGATCAGACACTGAAGTAGGAATGGTTACAGATGTAGGCGGCTGGGAATTCTCCATATCCGGTCACTCGGCATTGTGATTCAATCGAGTCAATCGATTATTGCAAGTTTCGGCAGGCCCGAGGTTGGTCTGAGGGCTTGAAGAAAGCCTTTTCAAAAGCTATGTGACCAAGAACCGCTCTGTAAGCTGACCGAAGTCAGTGTCTATAATCACTACTATATACAAGAACCCCAAATGCGCCAGAGACTGAAATATGCCCAAACGACGACCCACGAAAATGCAGAATGATAGCAAACAATCCCGCCAATCACAGCGCCGTGAGCACGGCCGCCTGCTGCTCTGGCTAAATATCAACCAACTGTGGCGGCGGCTCCGACGGCGATGGAGTATGCTTCGCAGTGACACCCCGCTCGCTGAGTTTCTTCTTCCCTGTCCGACCCCTATTCGAGCCAGAGCCCCCAGCTGCCTTGGCCGTTTCTGATGTCTGCTGCGCCTTCTCAGTCGACTTCGAGACGATTCGAGCGGACGTCTCTCCTGATTCTGTGCTACTTGGGGGAGGACTATATGCCACCCCGAAGAGCTTGCACATGGCTTCCATGGTCCTGCATTGCGTGACCTCGCTGTACATCTTGTTCTTCCCGGGAACAAGGTGCGAGAGACAAAACTTCGTGTTCGAAGTCCAATTTCCGATACTCACACAAGTCTTCAGAAACTCCTCTGCAACCTCCTGCCACGGCAATACACCCTCGCTGCGGAAGCAGGAAGGATTGGCCTCCGCCGCAGTGGCAATCATGCATCCATCAACACCAAATTCTTCGATGAGCTCTTCGGCGTGCGAACGTGACTTCACATCTCCATTGGCGTAGCACTGAACACCCGCCTCGTGACAGGTTTTGACGATTTCCCTTAACTGGTCTCTGATCGCTGCCTCTCGAGGCCGCATGGGCGTGGTCCGACAGTGGACTGTAACTCTGACGATGCCGGTGGCGCATAGCCGGCGTACTAGAGTGAGCGTCTCCTCCTGAGTATCGAGGATCCGGATTTTGACCGATACCGGCACGTTGTTCGGTTTTCCAACCTCTTTGACCAACGAAGTGAGGATGGCCACAAGCTTGTCCGGGTTCTTGAGAAGAGCCGCACCCATCCCAGAGTGAACACTGAAATGCTGCCCTCAATCAGCACTGGATTCGTGCCAGTGACTGGAGTTCATACCTTCGGGCAGCCAGCGTTCACATCGATTCCCGCCACATCATTCACCACGATTTTAGCACCCTCCACTGCCAGCTGTGGATCCGCCGTGCCGATTTGGAATATCAACTTGTCCTTTTCCAGTTCTGCGTGCGTTCGGAATACCACTCGGTCCTCTCCGGTACCGTTGTTGGTGCGCTTGACGAAATCGATCGTGCCGAAGTGAGGGTTGGCGACTCTCGTGCAGCCGATAATGCCCTTATCAACAGTCTCCGGGCCTGCGCAAAGCAAAGATTAGAGGAAGCGACACATGGGAGGTCGGAGCTCATTGTACATACCCCATACAGCATCGGCGCCATACTTTAAAGACAGCAGTCGAGTTGGCAGCTCTCCCGTCCTAACCATAGGCGCGAGAACGCATTTCCCCACAAATCCTGGATGAGCCATGGTAGAGAGTGCTTCGGTCGTTCGGGCCACAGTCGTGAAACTACGTGATGGTCGTGCTTGGACGAGAAGCTTCAGTGGGGCCAAACGCATCGATTTAAAGTGAGTAATGCTAGGAGCATGCGAGACGTGAGGCGTGGAGGCTGCGAACATAAACTTTTTTTAGCGCGTGTGGCTGTGCCAAGCCGCCAGGAAAGCAGACTCACAAAGCTTGAACTTCTTCACCGAGCTGCCACAAGCACATTACAGCACTTCATGGCGGACCTAGAGAGCGACGACGTGCGGGTGGTCCAGAATTCGCAGGATGTGGATATCTCCGACGAGACTCAAGACTTCCGCTTCTTGAGTATTTTCAGCAAGTGCGTCCTGCAACCCCGAAGTCGTTGGTAGACATGGACTGACTTTCGTTCCAGACCTTCAGACCATGCAGCGATTCCTAAGCGTGGTGAAAAAGACTTTGAGCCCAATGGAACTGATCTCCAAGATCAGGTCCTTGCGGAGTCTCGACAGGCGATGCACGATGCTTTGCGTGGAGAGCGGAAACACAGTGTCAAGACGCACGTCGAAGGAATTTGGAGACCGGACAAGCAGTTGACTGAAGTGATCCTTGCGAAAGGACCGCACTTCAAGTCAGTCGGAAAGGCGGATAGCGGGGGCGTGCTATGGTTGCTGCCTGAAGAGACGATATACATGGTCGAGCGTGGAAGCATGGAGTGTTGGTGGGAGGAAGGCGTGCCAATGAGCGTACAAGGCGCTTATGCCACCTGTCTTGAGGGCTGTGGTGGTCTGGAGAGATATCAGGTGTACGCCTACTTGAAGAGAGCGGGATATATCCTCAATCGAGCTCCAACATTCTTAGATGACGGTATGTCCGAGCCAATCGCGCCCCCCTCCCCCGACGGAACTGTCTAATAATCGACAGAAGAGACGGAAAATGCGCAGGGGAGGGAGATAATGACCATAAGAGCATCCACCGCTGGAAGACCTGGCATATTCGCCCAAATATACAACATATACAACGCTTTCTTTGGCCCACAGCCGTCTGGTCCCCTGGTATCACGATGCGTTCACCGCACATATGAGTCTATCTACCGGAATCTAGCTTTAATACCCTCTCATCATCCCCCGCACCAGGCAATTCCCTTGAATAGCAGTGACGCACGTCTGCCGTACCGCATCGCATACCATGTATGGAAGCCGCAGCCAAACTTCAAGAAGAGCGACCCTCCACCACCGGACTTCCGTATTGCGGTGGTCAACGCCAGAGACATGGGAGTTCCCACGTTGGCACAGCTGTCTGCGCTGTTTAACTCTGTGCCGATCGATTCCAGTGCCGCGGGCAAGAACATGTTTCAGAAGCTGAAGGATGGCCACAGAAATGTCATCCTAGCGGTTGTGGACGCGGGTGTGACCAGTTTTCTCAAATTTGGGGATGTGGGATTTGCAGATGAACCTTTATACATGAGGAAGCCGGCAGGGAGGGGAGGAAAGGGCGGACGCGGAGGACGAGGTGGCGGAAGAGGTGGCCAGGGCGGAAGAGGAAGAGGCGGGCAGGGTGGGAGGGGGCGGGGCAGAGGTTAACTCTGCACGAGACTGGCTGTATGTTCATCGCCAGCATAAGTTGCTCGGTTTGGGGGCAGTGGTAACCAAATGAAATCATCTTTTTCCATCAAGTCTTGCCTGAGAATTGCCGTCTATGATCTTCACAGTTTACAATAATCCGACGAGATTCCTTCTATTGCCTTTGTCCGATATTAGCATATACTGAACGATATAGCAAACGGCATACTTATCGCCTAGATCGGGCGACTCTCACTGAATTCGCTTCTTGGATCCTCAGCTTCCGATGCAACCTCAACAACTATTTGAGTTCTGGCTGACTGGAGTGATGACGCTCATGATCGGCTGTCCGGTCTGTTTTTTGTTGGAACGATTGACACCCCCACTTGTATCCGTTTTACTTTCGCATGTTGCACGGCATTCCCCTTACGGCTTGATGCCCGCTACCCACATTATCAACTGCATTCGCTTGCTCTAAATATCCCCACCATGATATACAAATCACTTTGCCTTCTGGTATTAGTATCTCAACTGAAGAATGCTTTTGGGCATGAGCTCGATGTCAACAATCCAGGTAGGGCTTCCCCACATCTACTATCCAAGTATACCACTTACCTTGTACTCGACGGCAGAATCCGTTCAGAATGTCGCCCAGAAGGTCGCCTACAAGATGATGCAGTTCTATCCTGGGAACCAGACCAACGGTATCCCAGGGCTATTTGGGGATCCGTATTATTGGTGGGAAGCGGGTGCTGCTTTTGGGGTTTGACTCCAGTATCCCCGAGGTTCCTCTCACACGCTTGCACCCTACTGATGGATATTGGGTGTAGGCGTTGATCGATTACTGGTTCTACACGGGGGACGAAGGATACGTCCCATGCACCATGGAAGCGATGCTCCACCAAGTCGGACCTGACGAGAATTACATGCCACCGAATCAATCCAAATCTCTCGGGAACGACGACCAAGCCTTCTGGGCTCTTTCGGCGATGTCTGCGGCAGAAAAGAAGTTTCCAGATCCCCCAGCCGATCAGCCTCAGTGGCTGGCCCTGGCACAGGCTGTGTTCAATACCCAGGCCGCAAGATGGGACGAGGAATACTGTGGTGGTGGTCTCCGGTGGCAGATCTACACGTTTAATAAAGGCTACCACTACAAGAATACGGTATCGAACGGCGCATTCTTCTTGCTAGCTTCACGGTTGGCGAGGTACACCGGCAACTCCACCTACATGGATTGGGCTGTGAGGACCTGGGACTGGACTAGCCAAGTCGGACTGATGACGGATACTTACAAGTTCTACGACGGATACGATATCAACGACCAGTGTACAAAGGTCGATTCGATCCAGTGGACATACAATGCAGGCCTATACCTAGCAGGGGCTGCATTCATCTACAATTTTGTACGTACCTCACCGCCTCCCCCACCCCTTCCCACAGCGCAATCATCGTAACTGGATTTTATATCAGACCAATGGTGATCCCTTATGGGAGCAGCGTGTCGACGGGATCATGCGAATGACCAGGATCTTTTTTATCAACGACGTGATGGCTGAGATGGCCTGCGAGCCGTACATGACGTGCAACGTCGACCAACGCAGCTTCAAAGCGTATCTCTCCCGGTTCCTAGCTCTTACCGTCAAGATGGCGCCGTTCACAGCTGAATACATCATGCCGAAGCTTCAAGCCTCAGCCAAGGCTGCCGCACAGTTCTGCTCATGGGGTGACGATCAGAATACGTGCGGAATGAGGTGGACCGAGAACCAATGGGAGGGGCTGTGGGGCGTGGGCGAACAGCTCAGCGCCCTCGAGACTATACAGAGCAATTTGGTATTGCACTCAAGGGAGTTGGTGACTGAGAAGGTGGGAGGCACGAGTAAAGGGAATCCCGGGGCTGGTGGCAGTGGCGCTATCATCGAGGAAACGAGGATGGATATCACGGCGAAAGATAGAGGCGGAGCAGCGGCTGTGACGATAATCGCTGTTATTGGGTTCCTGGTGTTTGGGTGGTTCATTGGGTGGAGTGACTGAACCGGCTGTCGGAACGAATTTTGCCTGTCTGATTTGATCAGATAGAGGAATTTCACATCGTAGGTAAAATATGGTGGCCGTTGTGTATGTTCAAGATGTTTTTGGTAATGAACGGCGTTTGTTATCGAATGGCGGGAATTGATAGGAATCGCATGCACAAACTACATAGTTAGTATCAACACCTAAGGAAACATGTGTCACGCTTGACTTCATCAATGGCATTTCCATGTTAGCATCTAGTAAAGACATATCAAGCGAGCGTGAGGTATCGACGTGTTCTCTCGAAGAGTTGTAGCAGTCACGAATGCTGACTCGGGCAGAGTTAACTTTAGAGATTATTGACCAAATCACGTGCCGCGGTAGCATTGCGTACTTCTGGAAGCAGCGTCGTCAACCCTTCCCAATTAAAAGTGTCGTCGAGCGAAGCACCACACGTCGAAGCGGGAACATCTCAAAAACAGCACAACCAACGACTCTAAACCCGCACCTAGATAACTCCACGAATCTGGGCCTTGGAACACTTCCGGAGCCTACTGTCTTGTCGCCAGGAATGGCTGAGGAACACAGTCCCGAATCGATGTCCGATCAGGCCAGCGTAACAGTTACAGAGCAAGCTGAAGCCCCTGTGTCGCCGCCATCGCCGCCGGAAGAAACGAATGATGAAGCGTCTACCTTGCAGAAGAGCGACGAGAAAGTGAAAGAGGAAGTGAAAGAAGAAGCGGAGAACGAGGTGAAAGAAACGGAGAAAGAGGTGAAAGAAGACGAAGAAGCTCGGGAGGACACCGCGCCCGAACCGGAGGTACAGCTAAATGGAGGGGAAACCGAAGCTGAAGCTCTCACCACTGCAACGCTGGAAGAGCCAGCTAAAGCTGAAGTTTCATCTCCCGAACAGAATGACGCCCCAACCCCGATGCCAACAATATCGCTACCTCAAGAATCCGAAACCGAACCCGCGTCGGATGCCGACAGCACACAATACGCTAAGACACCGTCGGATTCCTCTCGACCTTCGTCGCTCCATAGTCACCAGGACCGAGATCTACCCCAGTTACCTGAGCCACCTGCCAGCCCCATAACCCAGGGGATCCCGCTACCAATAGGTGACAGTGGTCGTCCCGCCGAGTTGTCGCCTAGTCGTACCCCGGAACCTCCGGTAACACCGACCCGAACTTCCTCGAGGAATGCACCTACCACTGCCAACCCTCAGAACCGACGGGTTACCTCCGAATCGCTTGCGCAAAACAACGCGGCGGGACAGGTTACAATATCTTCTATGGTATTCGTGGTCCAGGCATTGGAAACCATTGGCTCGTCAAAGGACTCTAGGAAGCGCAAGCAGCTGTCGGATGCTGTGCAGAAGGCTGTCGATGCCATCAGGGAGACTGCTCCAGAGCCTCCAACCGATCCCAATGTTGTTTTCGAGCCGCTGCGACTGGCCTGCAAAACTGGAAACTCCCAACTGGCCACCACCGCGTTGGATTGCATTGGGAAGCTCATCAGCTATTCCTACTTCTCGGTCATTCCGCTTCATCCGGAGGACACCAAGGAGCAAGAGCCACAGCCGTTGATTGAGAGAGCTATCGAAACTATCTGCGAATGCTTCCAGGGAGACAGTTGTCCGGATATGGTTCAGCTACAGATCGTCAAAGCACTTTTGGCGGCGGTGCTAAATGATAAGGTCGTGGTTCACGGTGCCGGACTGTTGAAGGCCATCCGACAGACATATAACATATTTCTACTTTCTCGGAACAGCGCCAATCAACAGACCGCGCAGGGGACGTTGACTCAGATGGTGCATACGGTCTTCGAGCGCGTCAAGACCCGGCTGGCAGCAAAGGAAGACTATCTCGGCAAAATGAAGAATGAGAGTACTTCAGCGTTGAGCGTTCATATACCTCCTACGGATAACAGCTCTCTCAGCTCTAAGGAGGAGCCTGCGGCTGCCCTGCCCATTCCGGACGTTGGACACGAGCGTATCACTCTACAGAGTTTCGAAAACCGCAAGAGTTTTGACGACGAAAGAATCACGGACGCGGCCCCCACTACCGTGAACCGTGCCCCTCGGAAATCGCATCCCCGGCCATCTTCAGACGGTGCATCAGAATCGGCAGAGAGCACTCAAGAAGATGAGGACGAGGTGTATATCAAGGACGCTTTCCTGGTATTCCGAGCTATGTGTAAACTTTCAATCAAGACCCTTCCGGCGGAGCAGATTGCGGATTTGAAGTCGCATGGCATGAGGAGTAAACTGTTGAGCTTGCACTTGATTCATGTGATTATGCTGAACCATATGGATGTTTTCGTATCCCCTCAATCCACGATCAAGAGTTCGAGCGGCGGTGAGCCAACGGGCTTTATACACGCCGTAAAGCAATATCTTTGCCTGGCTCTTAGCAGGAACGCAGCTAGTGCAGTGGGCCATGTTTTCGACGTCTGTTGTGAGATATTCTGGCTTATTCTGAGCAACATGCGAGTGATGCTGAAGGTTTGACCTCTCTTCTGTGGGCAGAGATATCGCGCGGTGGCTTATCTTATATCTGCACAACAGAAGGAGATCGAGGTCTTTTTGAAGGAGATCTACCTCACCATATTGGAGAACCGTCACTCGAGCGTACAGCAGAAGACATATCTCCTGAACGTGCTGGAGAGGCTTTGCTCGGACCCCAGAGCGTTGGTGGAAATTTACCTCAATTACGACTGCGATGGCTCTGCTCTGGATAATATGTTTCAAAGGTACGCCTTCCATTATGGAGAGAATTGTGTGCATGAATTGACGCTAGAGCAGGATCATCGAGCACCTTGCGAGAATTGCGACCAGCCACGTCCCAATCACAGACGTACAACTCAATCACTATGTCGAGCAGATGCAAAAGGCAAAAGCTACTACCCACCGAGGGCCATCGGGTCTGCCCCCATCGCTTTCCACGGCTTCCATTGGCGCTCCAGTCGTGCCAACCGAGCCCACATTCCCCCCCGAGTTCCCGCTCAAGAAGCAGTCCCTTGACTGTTTGGTCAATGTGCTACAATCGATGGTGGATTGGTCACAAAAGGCACTGGTAGACTCCCTGCAACACTCAGTAGATATGGAGGACGGCGGCCGGGAATCATTAGAAGCACACTCGACTCCACGGATGTCGGCGGTGGTGACACCTATCGCGACTACGCCCCACGCGGAGTTTTCTGGCGACCTCAATGGTTCTTTCGATGACCCCAACCAACTCGAGAAGGCAAAACAACGAAAGACCGCCTTGATGGAAGCCATTCGGTTGTTCAACTTCAAGCCGAAGCGTGGAATCAAAGCCTTTGTCGATAACGGTTTCATCAAAAGTTCTTCACCAGAAGACATTGCCGAGTTCCTCCTTCGAGGACCAGCCGGGCTCGATAAGGCAATGATTGGGGAGTATCTCGGCGAGGGCCAACCACACAACATCGCTGCGATGCATTCGTTCGTTGATCTTATGGATTTCACACGGATGCGATTTGTTGATGCTCTCCGACGCTTTCTACAGAGCTTCAGGCTGCCCGGAGAGGCCCAGAAGATTGATCGTTTTATGTTGAAGTTCGCAGAACGATACATCTCTGGAAACCCTAATGCCTACGCGAATGCTGATACAGCATACGTTTTAGCGTACTCCGTTATCATGCTTAATACCGATCAGCACAGCATCAAGCTGAAGGGTAAGGGGCGAATGACAAAGGAGGACTTCATCAAGAACAACCGCGGTATCAACGACAATGCCGACTTGCCGGACGAATATCTTGGGAGCATCTATGATGAAATCCGGACAAACGAGATCATTTTGGAGGGGGAGAGAGATGCCTCAAAGATAGACCTGACACAGCACCCGTCTGGGGGTATTGTGGAGGGAATCGGAAGGGTCATTTACAACGCCGGCCGAGACTTGGAGAGAGAAGCGTATGTGATCGCGAGTAATGAGATGGCCATCAAGACCGAGCAATTGTTCAAGAGTCTTCTTAAAGCTCAGCGGCGAGGAGCCTCCCAGCCAGCTCTGCCTAGGTACATCTCTGCCTCATCTTCCAGGCATGTTGGGCCTATGTTCGAAGTTACCTGGATGTCTTTCCTCTCCGCGCTCTCCGGCGCCGCTCAAGAGTCGAACGATGTCGCAACGATCCGGCAATGCATGGAAGGATTTAGGCTAGCTATCAGGATCGCATGTTTCTTTGAGCTGGAGACCTGTAGGATCGCCTTCGTTTCTGCATTGGCCAAGTTCACACATCTCAACAATCTCAGCGAAATGAAGGCCAAGAACGTAGAGGCACTCAAGGCCCTTCTCGATGTCGCACAGACGGAGGGGAACATGTTGAAGTCCTCTTGGCGAGACGTGTTGACCTGCATCAGCCAGCTTGAGAGGTTCCAGCTGATCAGTGGAGGTGTCGACGAGGGGGCATTGCCGGATGTGACACAGGGCCGGATCGTCTATTCCGATGATGCCAGCTCCAGGCCTCGACCGTCGATTTCCTCACAGCGACCGGCGTCCGTACGGTCTCGGGGTAGAGCACAGAGTCACTACACTGCTTATGCAGCGGAGGTCGCCGAAGAGTCACGATCCCAAGAGGTGGTCAATGCCGTTGACCGCATATTCTTCAATACGAGTAAACTCGATGGAACCGCTATAGTGAGCTTCGTGGAGGCCCTGAGCGAGGTTTCGTGGCAGGAGATCCAGAGTTCCGGACAGAGTGAGCATCCAAGAATGTTCAGTCTGCAGAAGCTTGTGGAGATCAGTTACCACAACATGGGCCGTATTAGAGTGGAATGGAGCAGCATTTGGGCTATTCTGGGCGAACATTTCAATCAGGTTCGTTCCTTCTTCTGGGCGGTTGCATGGTAGCACCGGATACTGACAAGATGAAGGTTGGATGTCATCCGAATACTCATATTGTGTTCTTTGCGTTGGATTCCCTGAGGCAACTTTCGATGCAGTTCCTGGAAAAGCCCGAATTACCGCACTTCAAGTTTCAAAAGGATTTCTTACGGCCATTCGAGCATGTCATGACTAATTCCACCGTTGTTCCCGTCAAAGACATGGTCCTGAGCTGCCTGCACCAGATGCTACAAGCAAGAGGAGACAATATTCGATCCGGCTGGGGGACAATGTTCGGCGTCTTCACCACTGCAGCCAAGGAAACCTACCGTAAGCGCACACCTCTCCTGTTCACGAGCTTTGGGGCTAATTAGAGTAGCTTCGATTGTGAACCAGGCCTTCGACAGCGTTAAGAAGATCTATCGTGACCGGTTCGGTGTGATTGTTCAGCAAGGGACATTCCCGGACATGATCATATGCTTGACGCAGTTCGCAAAGAATCAGCGGTTCCAAAAGATCTCGCTGCAAGCTATCGAGACACTGAAGGGGACGGTCCCTGTCATGTTGGCTTGTCCCGAGTGTCCGCTATCACAGGCAGAACCTGATTCGGCCCCGGCTCGGACAGTTAATGATGATCCCATGGTGAAGTTTTGGTTCCCGGTTCTGTTTGCATTCCATGATATTCTCATGACTGGGGAAGACCTGGAGGCTCGTACAAGGTACTATCAACATCCTATGATATTCGTGGTCTTGCTGACTTTGTAGGGCTCTGGGCTATCTCTTCGATACTTTAGTGCGACATGGGGGCGATTTCCCCTCGGATTTCTGGGACACCGTTTGCCACGAGCTCCTGTTTCCAATCTTCTTGGTCCTGAAGTCGCGATCAGAGATGGTGCAGTTCAATTCGCAGGAACAGGTCGGTCTGTGGTTATCGACCACGATGATTCAAGCTCTTCGGAACCTCATCGCTCTCCTCACGCATTTCTTTGAGCTGCTCGAACGTATGCTTGAGGATTTCCTGGAACTTCTTGTCACCTGCATCTGCCAAGAGAATGACACCATAGCCCGGATCGGTTCCTCCTGTCTGCAACAGTTGATCTTGCAGTGTGTACACAAGCTGAAGCCTGAACATTGGAGTAAGATTGTGACGGCATTCGTGCAGCTGTTTGAGACCACTACTGCCAACCAACTCTTTTCTGCTATACCTACGGGTAGCAGGTCGGCGAGCGGGGGCGCTGGTGTTTCGCCGTCGGGCGGCCCCGTAATCGGCAGTATCACCGAGACCATGGCTGACGAGGACGAGGAGGACAACTCCTTGGCAATTGGCGGACTTTCATCCGGGAATGCGGATGAAGAGGACGAGGGGCTCCACGAGGGTGAAGAAGCAATGCGAAGCCCCGTTACGGCCGAGCTAGAAGACTACAAGCCGCAACAACTACCGCAGCAGCCAGTCGTAACGGCGGCCAGGCGCCGTTTCTTCAACAAGATCATCACGAAATGTGTGTTGCAACTCCTCATGATCGAGACGGTGTCGGAGCTTTTCCAGAACGATCAGGTTTACAATGAGATTCCGTCTGCGGAGTTGTTGAGGCTCATGGCGCTGCTGAAGAAGAGTTTCTCTTTTGCAAGGAAGTTCAATAGTGATAAGGAGCTGAGGATGAAGCTGTGGAGAGAGGGCTTCATGAGGCAGCCACCCAATCTGCTCAAGCAAGAGAGTGGCAGTGCTTCCACGTACGTCAGCATCTTATTGCGTATGTACCACGATGAGAAACCGGAGCGGAGACAGAGCAAGGCTGCTATCGAAGATGCGTTGATTCCGTAAGTCTTCATCCACATCATTCCCAGTATAAAATATGCTGACTGACATCTCCAGGCTATGTGTCGACATCATCCGCGGCTTCGTAGTCCTCGACGAAGAGACACAGCAGCGCAACATCCTCGCCTGGCGTCCTGTGGTGGTTGATGTTCTGGACGGCTACATCAACTTCCCTGAAGCGGACTTCAGCCGGCACGTTGAGACCTTCTATCCCCTAGCCGTAGAACTTCTTTGTCGCGAGCTCGGCCCAGACACCCGGATCGCTCTACAGAACCTTCTCCGACGAATCGGTGAGGTCCGCGGGCTCGGTGTGATGGCGCGTGGGCGCGGCGCCAGACGTGGTAGTGAGCTTTCCATGCGTAATGGTGGTGCTAGGCTGAGCAGGCTTTCGCATGCTCAGGGTTAGACAGCTGGGGCTATGGATTGAGTGATACCTTTTCGTCATTTTCTAGAGAAAAGCGGTGGTTGTGATTTCTTTACGTGATTTCTTTGTTCTGGCGGATATGTTTTTCATTACTTACTGCCTTTTAAATGGTGAGATCGAGGGGAGATTTCGATTCTGGATTGGTTGGGCTTTTTTTTTCTTCTGTTCTGTTGTTCCGTCCGCTGAATTGCTTTCATATACTCGGTCCTCTGGCATTGAAATGTAGCACGATTTGATGTACTGTATTCACTTTTGTACGTAGGAATGATTACACATTTGTTATGATACCTATCTCTAGGTGATTTGGCCATGGATGTCCAGGCTCCGTCCGTCTCATGGTGGACGCACCGATGATATCTCATGATCATGAGGATACTCTATAGCTAAAATTTAGACGATCTATTCGAAGCACGTAGCCAAACTTTGACCACAGGCCACACTCTTCAGATACGCATAAATACCATCTACAGCTCCCTACCGCCTCAGTCCCTTCCCACCCTTCCCATCCCTCCCCCTCACTTCCGTCCGTCCGTATCCACAATGCCCGCTGCAACGATCCTCGACCTTCTCAACTGGCTCCCGTTTCTCTTCAGCGCGCTTTTGTGCACACTCCCATTTTGTATCCCGCAGCACCCCGAGTACGTCGAACCCGAGTACGTCGAGCCTCACGATGAAGGGCCCTGCTGTTGCCGTTGCCTGCTGGACGCCCGCAAGCTGCGGCGGGTGCTTGCCGTCTACAACATGCGCCCTGTCAGGCGCTCTGGCGGGCTCGAGCCCGAGGTCGCCCGGAAGATTGCGAGGATCATTTACACGCCGGGCTGCATGCTGATGCAGGAGGAGATGCTCGAGAGCTATATCGAGAGCTATATCGTCGAGCTGAGGAAGTATAAGTGCGTTCTGCAAACCATTGAGTGCCGCTGCGGGTGTGGCTGGGGAGAAGGGGCGGGTGCGGGTGCTAATTCGTGATCTGATAGGTTCATCCGTGTCATGCCTGAGGGAGACCACATCGTGGCACGATATACCAGGCATAAGCCGAAGCTGCCCAAGTAGCTCCGGGCGGAGGCGCTGGTGGTCAAGAAGGGATTGCGTGGGTGCGTGGCTGAAGTTGAAGTGACCTCGGACTCGGGTTTTGTGGTGCTTTGGGATTGCGAGAGTGGTAGTGTGTGGTCTGGGCTGTAATTATGGCGGCTGTTGGTAAAATTAGCAATAGATACAGTATGTAGTGTTTACTCGGCTCGGCTCGTAAGGTTTTCCATCAAAGTTCGAAATCTGTCCGTTTCCTATGGATCATAGTTGTTCGTTGTGGTGGTGAAGAGTTCGGTCTGTCTAAATAAGCGTACCTACGCTTATAGCTGTTCAAAGTTTAAATTGTGAAGTGAATATCTGCATTGTGTTTACAGCGAGGTAAAACATTAGCTATCACTCGTATTAAAGTACCAGGTCAAGTTATCGCCACTCGCCCCTACGAGACCACCACACCACATATGTAGACCCCTCGAACACCACAACCACACAATAGAAAGTAATACAAATTTGCGTACAGAATGATTAGATACATATCCGGCTTCGACAAAATTTCCAGCCAAAAGAAATCAATATTTTATGCGAAGTTATGCGGCAAATCCAAGTCCCATTGTCTCAAGGCTACCCATTTTCAACCACAGATTCTGTGTCCCAAACACGCTGTAAAAAATATTGGGCAATTGGAATTCCTTGTTAACTGCTTAGGTGATCGTATAAGAAACTGGCTTGCAAATATAAGCAGTTGTGGTTGAGCAATACGGCCCAGGAGAAAAATTTCTGGTTGACGCTGGTTGTCATGCAACTTTTTGTATGGGAGCCCCATACAAAATGCGAAATCGCCGTTCAAGTCATGTGCAAACTCCCATTGAAAGCCACCAATCTTGACTAAAAACAGTCGAATTTTTTATATATGAGAGGGCTTATGATTTTACGGCGTCTGTGAAAGACACAATATTTTTCGGTCAGACGAAGAATGGGTTTTGGTCGAGTGAAAATGGCCATTTTTGGTGTAAAACGGCCCCCTGGCGATAACTTTTGACCTAGTACTTTAAGTTCATACACGGATTAGTGTGGACGTGGTGCTCTACTCGCTATGCCGGCGTGTTTAACACAGCGGAGATTTTCATCAATAAGTAACGCCGCTCGCCGGGCAAGTACGCAGCTATTATCCTGGGTGGACACTTGGATGGATACTCTGCCTCGGGCCGCGGTCATTAGATGTCCGTTTACGCCTCCCAGAATGAATGCGAGCACACTCGCCGTACAGTCGTCCAATCCAATTATCTACATTCCAATTCTAAAACGAAGCAAAGCCTCAAACAACGCCACAAAACACAAGCTTTTTTTACCTTCTGGCCTTCTCCCTCTTGTACTCGTTCGCAGCCTGACCCTCCTCGCTCTGGATCATAGCCGTCAAGCGCGCCATCTTCGCATGGTACTCCTTGCTGGTCTTCTTGTCTTCTTGCAGCTTCGCTCTGGAGATGAAGCGGGCGTCCTTGCGGATCTCTCTCACGGCACCCTTCTTCTCCCGCTTGTGCTGCGCCTTCAGCTTGGACATCTCTCGGCGGTCGTCGTCGGGATCGTAGTGCTTGTCCATGCTGTAGTCTGACTCGAACTTGGGTATGTTGGATGCGATGGGTAGAGGCCGGTGGTGGTGGAGTTGTAATGGGCGGCGCGAAAGCTGCGCTTGGGAGAGTCTGGAGGTGAGGTCTTTGGAGGTGGCACGGAGCTTTTTCTGTGGACGGGTCAGCAGGGCTCGAAGGGTATTGACAAGATGACAAACCTTCAGTTCCGAGCTCAGATGACCGACACATGCCTTGCTCGACATGTGGGTTAGAACGTCGTTCACCGGCCCGAAGACATCGAAGAAGGCGGTTTTCTCAGCCCAGAGATCGGTCAACCGCTCCAACAGACCGAGCAGGGTGTAAAGAAGCGCTGAAGGCGTATCTTCCGAGGGTGCAAACATATCCGAGAAAGCGAGTTTCCGCGGCTTCCAATCATCCGATGCTTTCCTTATCCGGAAGTCATCCGACTCGTTGTAAGGGAATTGGCCTGGTACTTCGGCTTGTGCTACAGGAGCCAGAAGGGAAAGCGCTTTGAGAATAAATGTGATAGCTTCAGGGACGTATCGCTTCGAGAGTTGTTGATACTGCTAATGATCAGCACTACCATTCATGTGGTAGGAGAGGAACAACAAACCTGAGAGCACATAGTGACCAAATATGATCCTACCGCGAGAACACGCACGGAATCAAGTGCAACCTGGCCCAGCCACCTGCACATGACAAGCATCGAAGGAGTCACAACGGGGTGGAAGTGATCACTGGTCGGGAAGATGGTTGAAACTGCGGTAAACAGGATCAGATCGCCGGCGTGTAGATCCTCGTTCATACGTGTGTCGTTGATCTGCTTGAGCTGGTTTCGGAATGCCGTAGAGACAAACTCCGGATAGGTCTTCGTCATGGCGTGCAAGTGGCGGATACACAGTTCAATTGCAGCGAAGGGAATCCTGGGAGCTGTGAGGTTGGCAATATAGATGATGTGTTCCAAAAGCACACCAGAGAAGTTCTATGTCTATCAGACCAAGATACGGAAAGATGGCAGTTTATGGGACCTACCTGAAGTTTTGCCTTGTTTTCTGCCGCAAGTTTCGCGTGGTGCAGGACTCGGATGCGCTGAACGACAGTCGGTGTGTCTTCCACAGCAATGTCCTTGACAATCTCCAACATCTCCTTATGTGTTTGCGGACAGGGGAAAGTAAAGGCCAGCTTTTCGTCGCGCATTGTCTCCTCTGTAGAGGCGCCTACTTTCTTAATGGCTCCACTGGAAGACAAAACATCCGCAAGGAAGTCCTCCTCATCCGAATCCACCTCCGCGTCCGAGCCAGTAACACTGTCGTCCTCATCGTCCGAGAAATCAACGTCGCCATCAACCATGCCGTCCTCATCAACATCCACGTAGTCGTCTTCTGATACCGCATAGTCTCCATCGAGGTAGTCTTCGGGATTTCCATGAGGCACGTCCCGTGGAACTGCGCCTGGAATACCGTCACCCAATCCATACGCAGCCGCTTCGGTGATTCTCTCTTCCTCCTCCCAGCCGCGGTCTTCATCCATGGCATCAGCGCCATCAGCGCCATCCGCAGGTCCCTCATCCTCACTCTCCTCCCCTCTCATGCGCCGCTGCCGAGCGTCTTCAAGCTTCTTCAGCCTCTCGCTCTCCGCCGCAGCCTTCTCTTCTTCCGTCTTAGTCCTGTCCGCGGGCTGGGATCGTTTGTCGAACATCATTTCCCTGACGGCTTGGTCGTACTCCACCTCCTTCTTCCGTAGTTCCTTGTCTTCGTCCGACGGTTTCGAGGCAATTGGCCTGTCAAAGCTCGGCATTTCTCCACCACCCAGTGGTTCATTATTCGCGCCTGAACCAGCCCCGGTCCTTGAGGGTTGTCTCGTGCCCAGCAGCGCCCATAGTTCTCCCATCTCCGCATCTAGCTTCTCTCTTTCATCCTCATCGTCCTCCTTCAGCTTTTGACGCTCATACTTGTGAAGCTTCGACTTAGCCATGACCTCCTTCATGACCTCTGCCTTGCTCTTCTTCCGATCAGGACCCTTCTCCTCATCATCCGATCTTTCCGCGTCATCCTCCCCATCCAACGGACGTTTCCTGGACAACCTCGCAGCCTCCCCATCCTCGTTGTCTTCCTCGCCGTCGAAGTCGTCCTTGAGCAGGCCCTGGCCAATTTCGCGGAGACCACCAAGCGATTTGCCGAAGTGCGTGAGCTCGTCCTCATCCTCGAGGTTGAAGATCTCGCCGCCACGCACGCGCCGTTGCTTCTCACGGGTGAATCGCTCCAGCATCCGGTCCTCGGGGGCCATGGTAGGATCGTTTTCTCCGAACCGGCGATCGACGATTCCTCCGACCTTGTTGCGCTTCTGCATCTCGACCAGCAGCGTCCTCTTGCGCTGTATCCGCCAACACGATCAGCACCCAACCACTAACCGCACAGAGAGAGAGGACGCACATGTTCCTCGCCGATAGACTTGCTTAAACCCGGCCTTCCCTCCTTGCCCTTGACCCGTCCCTGTCCCGAGATCTCATGCTTCGTCTTTGTTTTCTTGACCTCGAACGGATTGAACTCCTCGCGGATACTCTGCAGCGCCTGGTCACGGCTCACTCTGGAGTCGTTCTTTGCGTCGGCGGCGGAGGCGTTGCGCTTTGTCTTCGCCTTCTTGGGCTTCTGCTGCCCGGTTACTCCGGCGGTTCGGAGCGAGGCTTTGAGCCGTTTCAGCTGGGATTGGACCATTTTTCGAGTGCGTGAAGGAGGTTGTGGAAGGTCGCTGTCGCCAAACAACGGTTGGTTCTTGGGCTTGGGCTTTGGCGGGAGAACTGAAATTTCTGGCGCTAACCTAATGAGATATGGGCAGGGCCCAGCAGAGCCGCATGTCACGTGCCGTCTGATGGAGCTGCGAACGGTGGTGAGCTAAAAGCGCGAGTGTCTCCATGGCAGACACGGTATTGGTGCTTGTGACCGAGGGATGTAACTGCATTGCCAGCTGTTACAACATAGAGCTCTGGTCGTCCGTTCACGATCACCATACAATCGCAAGTAACTGACTGCGCGCGCCAATGGCGGGGTACTTTCTATACAGATCCCTGACTATGACCGCGTCGAACATGACAGACGATGCCCAACACGACCCCCGAGCGGAACGGTGGCATAGCATTGCATAGACATATCACGACTATGACCCGAGCGGCCTTGTCTCTCTCCGTCCACTCCCAACACCCACCGCACCACCAACACTCCCACAACCCACCATGTCGTCCTTCACCCTGCCGTCGCCGCTTTCGTCCAATAAAATGACCTGGGTAGTCGCCGGTGTGCTCCCCCGTCGCCACTCCCGCCCGCCCGCCCGCCCCTCTAACAGCCCACACGGACAGGTCTCGGCACCCTCATAGCTGTGTACACGACGTACTGGCAACTCGACAACTTCAAGAAGCGCACCATCATCAAGCCTTCGGGCGCGCGAAGCGTGGGCGTCGAGCAGTCCACGGAAGATGGTAGAACACCCTTCATGTCTGTCATCTTCGAGCTAAGCTCATCAGCTATTCGTCTCTCGACACTTGCGGTCCTCGCCCGCGGCGTTAATCCTGAGCTTCGCACCGCGTACGTCAAACTTGCCCCCGTCGTTGCCAGCTAGGCAGGTAGCTAACACCCCGCCCGCCCGCCCGCCCACCGCCAGCGCCCTCAAGATCCTCTGCGAGCGCGCGCTCAAAGACGAAGCCTTCGCCGTAGTCCTCGAAAAAGTCGAAGCGGACGATCTCGCGCGCAACTTCGTCGGGCTGCGGGTGCTCGCGCTGCTCGTACAAAACGGTCCCCCCCTCCCCCCTCCCGCCCTCCCTCCTCCGGCACATACTAACTCCCCCTAGCGACCCCGCGCCATCTTGTGCGACCGCGGGTGTTCAAAGCGCTGCTCGACATCCTGCGACGGGCGTCTCAGCCCTGCGATCCGCCGCACGCATACGCGATGCGGTGCCAGCGGGAAGCGATCTCGCTTTTGAGCCGGCTCATCTCGCTCGGCGACATAGCGCACAAGTTCGCGATCGAGGCTGGGCTGCTCGACTGGATCAAGGAGTCGCGCGTCGCGGGCTACGATACACTGTTTGCCGCGGTGTTCGATATGAACAGGAATGAGCCGATCGATCAGAATTTGTATGAGCTCCTGAATGCATTGCGTGGACGGGGAAATCTGGGGAGGGATAGTCTCGTCGAGCTCGGGCTGCTGAGGAATGGCAGGGGAACTACACCGTCGACGGGCAGGCCGTATGAGCTTAGCGATGAGGATTGGGTCGAGGTTGCGGTGGGCGGCGAGGGTGCGGGGGGCGCGGGGGGCGCGGAGGAGCCAAGGGAGACGCCGGAAGCAGAGAATCAGGAGGTGCAGTCGCAGGAGGTCGTCGTGGTGGTCCCCGTTCCTGGCCCGACGATGGAGGAGGATCCCATCGATGTTTTGGTTGTCACCATGTGGGGTTAAGACAATGTTGGGAGTCATAATGGGAGGGTTGTAGCTGATTAACGAGCGGTATACATGGATCCTGAGAGATCTTGCTTTTATTACATATCAAAGGGGGCGGATGAGAGAGAACATCACTTTGTTGTCGCAATAAAGGGGACGGAAACGTTCGTTACAACAGGCCCAAGTGTAGTCGTGCGAGTGACACACTGTGCTTGGCTGTGAGTGTGTGATCTACATATCTGCGGACTTGCTGTAAAGCATACGACCACAAGAATTGAGCCTTCAACGAGAGTCCGGCGTAGAGTGCAAGCCATAAAAAGACTCCCGAATCAGCCGCATAGGGCATCACTCGGCCGGATCTCATCGCACCCCTGCATCTGCCCCTGTCACCCCAGGAAACATCCGCTTGGCCTTCGCCGGCTAGTACTAGCAATTACCCCTGCTTTCCGCGGGTCCGCCAGCCCAGCTCGCAGCTCACAGCTGCGTGCATACCTCACCTCCCTCACCCTCACCTCCCACCTCCCCCCCCCCAATCCGCGCGCAACCTCCACCACGATGAAATGGCCCACCCCCTCCTCCTTCACCTCCCCGTCACCTCCTCCTCCAGACGAACCAACGGGCTTCTTCTCGCGCCGCGTCCGCTTCTACCAGCACACGTACACGTTCCGCGAGCTGTCTCTGGCGTGCGGCGCGGCGGGCGTGCTGGTTCTCGCCGGCTCCCACGTGTTCAGAAACTACTTCCGCCGCGTACCCACCGCGAATCATATCGCACACCACTTTTTGAGGAAGCGCAGTCTTCTAGGAAGGGTCACGAGTGTGGGCGATGGAGATAATTTCAGGATTTATCGTAGGTCTACTCCATGGCGAGGGGGGGGGGGGGGGGGGGGGGGGGGGGGCTGATGGTGGGGAACAGATACGCCCGGCGGCTGGCTCCTCGGCTGGGACTGGCTGCGGCCGATCCCGTCAGTGCGGAAAGACCTGAAGGACCAGACGGTGCATGTGCGGCTTGCGGGGGTTGACGCGCCAGAGTGTGCGCACTTCGGGCACCCCTCGCAGCCGTACAGCAGCGAGGCGCTCGCATGGCTGAAGGAGTATGTGGGCGGGCGGCGGGTGCGCGCGTACATCCACAGCAAGGACCAGTACGAAAGGGTTGTTGCGACGGTGTATGTCTGGAGGGGATTGTGGAGGAGGGATGTAGGCCTCGAAATGCTGAAGGCCGGGATGGCGGTGGTTTATGAGGCGAAGGGAGGCGCGGAGTTTGGCGGCAGAAGGGTCCAGTATGATGCTGCTGAGGCTAGGGCGAAGCACGCGAAGCTGGGCCTCTGGAAACAGGCGAAGAAGAAGAGGGTCTCGCCCGGGATGTTTAAGAAGTCGATCAGGGAGGGGAATTCGTAGGCGGGCGTGGGCGTGGGCGTCGGCGTGGGCGTCGGCGTGGGCGTGGGTATTGTGGTGGGATCAGTGGATGGCTATGGCGTTTAGATTGGAAGCATAACGGGCGGTGTTTGGTTTGGCTTTGGCTTTAGCTTTACGGGGTTGATGATTATGATATGGTGTACAATAATCCGAGGGGAGGACGTTTGTACATATATACCGAGCAGTTGAGCGCCTATTGTGAGGCGGAAGGCAGAAGGCAGAAGGCAGAAAGTTGCCATAGCAGGGAACGCATGTACTCGTCTGCTTGGCCCGCATATGGGAGGATGGGTCATGCCTACTCTACTCTACTCGATGGGGACAGGTGGTTGTGGGTACCAACACCGAACTTCGCACCCCCGAGTAAGCTGGCTGACCGCCGACTTCCAGGATCAAAGAACAGGAGGATATACTCTTCATTCTCACTCATGAACAACAATCTAGGCAGGCAACTATTCACCGCCATGACTACCGAACCAGCTCGTGAAGCATTTTCCAACCATAAACGCCCTAACAAACCAACTGTCTTCCGACCATGCTCTCGAGCTCGAGCTCATCTGGCGGCGATACCTACGGTATGCATACTTTACATACTACCGAGATGACATGGCCATCGGACCATCTCAGATCAAGATACCTAGTTCTAGCGCTTGAGTTGTGTTGCGATGGGTGCGATGTTGAAGCATGGTGAACTGCAGTTACGGCGGAGTTGTCGAGCGGGGGGGATGGGGGATCGCGAGTGCATTCCCATGATGCAATACCTATCACGTCCATGTCCATGTCCATGTCCATGGGGACCGGAACGTCCGTCGTCCATCGTCCATCGTCCAGGTATCTATCGTCCATCCCAGTCCGCGCGTCGAAGGATCTACACAGTCTACACATCCTTCCATCCGCGGTCTCTGGCACCTGCAGCCTACCTACATGACTATGTCTGTATGTAGATATCTCGTGCTTGCCTGTTTGTTTGTAATGCGGAAGCGAAACATCCGCACTCCGCTTTCCGTATTATACCCGTACCCGTGCTCGCGCTCGTGCTCGAGTCATGTCATGTACTCCACAATACCTATGCGTTTGGTGAGATGATACCGGTGGCTTGTGCTCCGATTCGCGAGGGTGGTATCTACGGTGTGTGCTATGTACGATTTATATGGTGCTATGTACACCCGTATCCTCGGTTGGTTGGCACATGCAAATATATACGATGTGAACGGGATTGTGAACGGGATTGTGAACGGGGTTGTAAGGGGTCGGGTTGGGTCGGGTGGTGAAGCAAGTCGTAGGTGGTACAACAACTGTCGGTGTTTTTTGATGCAGAGGAGGTGCTGGTGACGTTCTTCTGGCCGGTTAATTGCGTGTAGTTGAAGAGGTGTGGTGGTGGTGGTGGTGATGATGATGCGTCCGCCTCTTCCCCAATAGAATGGAGGCATGTGGAGGACTAGTAGGCACTGCCGTAGTAGAGTTTGAGGCGCGTGCAAGTGGATTCGGTGGCGGACGGGCCACCCCTCCGACGACGACGCTGAAGACCGTTGACGAAGAATTCCGAAAGCGCTGCGGTGGTTGAAACAAGAATCCCTCCGCATATGATACATAAATGGATGCGAAGGGTCTGGTTGGTCTCCGGCTCAACAGAACATCCGTCCATCCAACTGCTCGGTACTCTAAATCCGATAACTAGACCGCACAGACCAAGCAAGCACCCCCACCAAAAAATAATCGGGCGATCTGGAACTTTGGGGGGAAGTAGCGCGCATTGGGTTGGAGTTTCCAGCCATGAGAGATCCCCCACCCACCCCCCCTTAAAGTACTACTACTACTACTACTACGGCTCGCCTCCCGTCTTCCTTCCAATTCTTGTCATCGTCCATCGTTCTCAAAGTCAACTCTTCACCCCCCATCCACGGGCTCGCTACTTCTTCGTCGACATCAGGTTTCGCGACTGAACGTCGGCGTTGCCACTCGCCCCCCACCCACGACACGCACCACGATCACCCCGCGAGTCAGTCAGTCACAGCCGACCACCGCACACAGCCTCGAAGCGAATAAGTGCAAAGGCGAAGAAATAAACCTTTTTTCCTGCTCGCAACTTAATCGTCGCCCCCGTCGAGTTGAAACAACAAACGAAACAAAATGTCCGCCTCGACCGCAAACCACGCCCGCAAACTCCGAAAGGCCGCGCGAGTGATCCTCGTTGGGCCTCCTGGCGCCGGAAAGGGAACCCAGAGTGGAAGGCTCCTCGAACACTTCCGGTTGTCTGCTATTTCGTCGGGCGATATCTTGCGCGAGAATGTGCGTCGCTGCTTCCCCCCCTCCCCCTCCCCCTCTTCCTCCGACTCCCCCCCACCTATGTTCTCCGGAAGTCTAATTTTTTATTTTTCGGTGTAGATTCGCAACCGGACTCCTCTCGGCATGCAAGCGGAGAGCGTGATGCGCGGCGGCGGGCTGATCAACGACGCGGTGATGGTCAAGCTGATCGTGGGCGAGCTGTCGAAGCGCGGCTGGGTCGAGTCGCGGCCAACCACCACCTCCGGCATCACCGTGACCGGCGCGCTCGAGATCATGGGACACACATCGGCGGCGAAGACGGCACGGTTGGCGGCTAGCAACTGTCCTAGCTCGAGCTTCCTCCTAGATGGGTTCCCGCGCACCGTTACCCAGGCTGAGAGTCTGGATAAGGAGGTCGATATGAACTTTGTATGTCTCCCGCTACCCCCGTAGAGTTTGGGGTGGATGGAGTGCTGACGCAAGACGCATAGGTCGTCAACCTGAATGTCCCCCGAGACGTCATCCTCGACCGTATCGCCAACAGAATGGTCCACGAGCCTTCCGGCCGTGTGTACAACAACACCTGGAACCCTCCACAGGTGCCGGGCTACGACGACGTGACTGGCGAGAAGCTCACGAAGCGGGCCGACGACTGCCCAGTACGTCCCCCCATCCTCTCCCCTCCCCCCCTCCTTATCCCTCCAGCTCACACTGACTCCCCGCACAGGAAACATTCGCGAAGCGCCTAAAGTCGTACGACAAGAGCACCGCGCCGCTGCTGGAGTACTACGACAAGACCGGCCTGCTGTGGACAGTCTCGGGCAAGTCTAGCGACGAGATCACGCCACAGCTCGACGCCGAGATCTTCCGACGTTTCGGATAGTAGCTTGAGCCTACTGTAGCTACTATAGACGCCGATGAATGTACAATGTTTCCGTAGTTCCCTTGTTAATGGTTTCTCTCCCGGACCGGATCGGACTTGGGTGGGCTGGGCTGGGCTGGGTTGGCTGGGCTGGGTTAAGCTGGGTTAAGCTGGGTGGGCTGGGTTGGGATGGGTTGGCATGAGATGAGATGAGATGAGATAAGCTGCGGGTGCGGGTGATGTGTACGGCGTTCCACTTTCTATCTTTTTTTTTTCTTATTTCTTTTCTTTCTTCTTTTTTTCTTTTTCTATCTTTGATTGATGTTCTCCACGGACAACTGGTATACCTGTCTGGCTGTAAATATCAAAATGGGCGATCTGATGCGGGTTACGGTTACGGTAAATGCGAATTGGGAATTGGGAATTGGGAGTTTCGAGATGGATTATGCGTGACGACGTCTATATACACATGCCGCTGCCATCTGGCAGTTGGAACTTGGGGTATGTAGGATGTGGGTAGGATGTAGGTAGGATGTAGGTACCAGGTACCTTGCAGTCTCAACGGCTTTCTGTCTGGACTCTGGCGGGCTGATGAACCCAGTATCTATGGACCAGTTCGGGATTTATGTAGTTAAGCGCTTCGCTCGTGATCTTCTGTGAAGATCTATGCACGATAATAACGACAAGTTACAAGAGACATTTTCCAGTCCGACAAAGAACCTGGAGTAGAAGAATTTAGCAGTGGTTGAACTGGGTGGGGGTGGGGGGGGGGCAAGCTGGTGAGTGGTGGCGGTGGCTGTGGCTGTGATGTGAGATCGGTAGAGGATATGTTGAAGTTTCTGGGGTCGCCACGGGGGAGACCCTATTGCCGCGAGAAGATGAAGATGAAGATGAAGCAACGACGAGTCCATGACCTGAGATCGAAACTGAAGTATTGACCGGGACGATTGGAGTCGTTGAAACCGTGGAGATGTCCCATTTTCCTACAAAGGAGCTGCTGCACGAGCTTGTGAGTCTCCCAGGCGAGACAGATCTCCACCCTATCTCCACCCTATCTCCGCTCATTTTCGGCTTGGTCCACGCTCTGTTCCCGAGGATGAACCCGCCGGAAGTCAGGACTGACTAACTGCCGACCACCGACCACTGGGCGTTGTCGTCGGTAGAATGCTGCGGAGAGTGAAATAGGTATCATGAACCGCCACTCAGCTCAGCTATCTCAGGTGGCGAAAACTAGTGGTCAAACAGCTAGAATCAGTGCTGCTACTATCATAGTACTGTCATAGTAGCGCTACATGTACAGGATGAAGATATCTTACAAATACGTACAAAAACCACGAGTGTCTTCAATCTTCGCTGATCAATCGGTGACTGACAAATTATCTCTTTTACGTATCCGGTCACGCGCAAACGTTTGCATTCCTTTAGTCGGCAATAGCTGGTAGCTGGTATGATCTAGGTACTTTAGCACGGAAGGATTCTCTGGCAACAGATTTCATGCCCTATGTAGACCAGAGCCTAACCTCAACCGTTGCATTTCGAACTGACACACTGTCATGATTCATCCCGGATCGATCTTCGAAGATCTGAGTCTTGACTCTTGAAAAACCCTATGCATGGGTGAGGAAGATCTTAGTAGATGAGCCGACGAGGATCATAATAGGTAGTATTTACCTGGGTGAGCATACTTCATTCTCCTCTTCATATCTGCCCCCGAGCGGCTTTCGTGGGGGATGTTTGAACCAGACTGATAGCGATGCGGTAGGCTGGAATCTGGATGGGCGGCTGTATTGGATGATTTTTTGAGTGTCATTCATTACCAGGTATCATTCCGAGTGAGATCTTGTGCAGTCAGTCAACTCGGCCGCGCTTCAAGCTGTTTGACTCTTGAGCTCCGAACGTACCCGTTGGCTGTCGTCTGGCTGTCGTCTGGCTGTCGTCTGGCTGAGTCCGTTTACCGGTCCGTCCACCAGATGCCGACATTCCACAACGACCATCTGACCTGTAGTAGAACCCCCTCGCAGCCCATCCGTTTACACATTCTTCACAGTTTCAGTTTCACATCACATCACATCACATCACATCACATCACATCACATCAACGATCCGCCAGGACCACAAGTAGATACGTAAAGTAAAGTCCACTTTTAGAACCCGTACGGTAGAAGGAAGAAAGTAAGTAAGGAAATGAAGAGGAAGAAGACCACAACGCAAGGAACCTAAAGCTACAAATGCACGGCAAAAAAAAGGACACCCTTGAACAAGACAAAACAAAACACCCAGCAAAGAAAAAGAAAAAGACAGTTTTGTTAAAGGAAATTTCAAATCAAACCCCCTCCCCCCTCCTCGTAAACATCGTTTCCCCAACCCCCAACAAGTTCACCCCCGAAAAGGCAAAAAATTAAACACCGGTCCGAAAGGCTGCAGACTCTCCCATTCCAATCTAATTTACAAATCCCTCTCCTTTCATCCATCCCGAGCGATGCGCTTAAGCCTTCTTCGAGGATCGTCGGGCAGCCTTGGGCTTCTCGGTCTCGCTCGAGGAACCCGTGGTGGTGGCGGTGGTTTCGGTCTTGGTTGCGGGAGCGACAGTGACCTTCTTGACGGTGGCGGGCTTGGAGACCGTGGTCAGGAGGCCGATGAGGATGGCCATGATGGTACCAATGACACCGAGGATGATGCCGGCGATGTCGGGGAAGGCCTTGATCGCTCCGACAGGGTCGATCTGGGCAGCGGCAATGAAGGGCTCGAGCTTAGCCTTGATGAACGCCAGCGGGTCCTCCTGGAAGCTGCCGATCTCCTTGGGGGGCTCGGGTGCCTTGGGGGCGGTGGCGGCCTCCTCCTCGATCTCGACGGCCTTCTTGATGTCGAAGGTCTCCTTCTGAAGCTTCTCGGCATCCTCGATCGAGTGGCCGATGTAGAGGTTGTCGAACAGAATGTCCTTGGTCATAGTCCACAGCTCGAATCCGACCGCACCAATGGGCTCGAAGTTGGCAGGCTCCTTGTCCTCGAAGTAGTTGGGATTAGGGATCTTGCGAGGCGACCAAGGTCCCTTGTAGGCGGGGTTCTCAATCATGGGAGCGATCCACTTGCCCTTGTAAGCAGGGTTGGCCTTCATGGGCTTCTCCCACTTGCCGCATCCACTGGCCTCTTCGCACTTGGGGTTGGTAACGGTGGGGGCGATCCAGTCACCATCCTCCTCGTCATCCCAGTCCTCAGGCTTCTTGGCATCGGGGTCGGGAATGAACTCGGGCTCATCCTCCAGCCAGTCCTCAGGCTGGGTGGCCTCCTCGTCAACAATCTCGTAAGGCGCATCCTCATCCCAGTCCTCCGGCTTCTTCGCCTCAGGGTCGACAATCTTGGGGGTGTCAACCCAGTCCTCGGGCTTCTTGTCCTCGGGATCCTCAATCTCGGTGGGAGGGTTCACCGCCGGGGTGAAGTCCTCGAGGAGGCTGCCACTCTTGACGCTCTTGCCGTCGATACGGACGTCGAAGGTCTGATCGGGGTTGACGATCAGGGTGTAGAGGGTGGACTGCTTGGTGATCTTGGCCATCGGGGGAGAGCTGAGATGCTTCTCCTCGTACTCGCCGGTCTTGGGGTTCTTGTGCTTGAAGATAAAGTGAACCTTGTTGGTAGCACCGCACTTGTCGGGTCCGAACATGATCACGTAGGGCGAGGCATTGGAGAACTCGTCGGCGTGAAGGTTGGCGTTCTCCTTGAGGAGTTTGAGGTAGGCACCACCGCACTCGAGACCATTCTGAAGCTTGACTTCGTACTGAACAACCAGGGTCTTGCCCGTGTTGTCGACCGGCTTGTCGAATTTGGCGGAGATGGCGTGGTGAGCGGCAACGTTCTTCACGACTAGATAGCAACAGCTCGTCAGTCTCCACCATTCCGAACACGTGTCAGCGCAAAGTCGGAAACATACCCAATCCCTTGTCTCCCTCGATGCCCTTAAGCTCAATAGGCTCCTCGACAGCCCACTGGCCGATGTAAGCCCACTCCTCCGCAGCATCTTTATCCTTCAGCTCCTTCTTGGCATGGCTGATCTTCCACCGGGAATCCCAATCGTCGGTAAACTGCTCGTAGAAGGATGCGGTGATAGCTAGCGGCTAGAGGTGGGGAAATGTCTCATTAGCAAGAGAACGCAGGAGTGGGCGCGCACGCGCACGGATTGGTGTTGTTCGGAGCAGGGGAAGCTTACAGAGAAGGTGGGCTTCTCAATGGCGATTGTCGACGTGCTGGTCACGGTTGATGTGGTTGTGGAGGAGGATCCAGCAGCGTCACCGAACACATCGTCAAGCTCATCGGCGACAGCAAAGTTGCCGAAGCCCATAAGGGCGACAGAGAACAGGCCAAAGGCCACATTCCGAGCGAAACGCATGTTGTGTGTGTTGGGGGAAGTGGGTAGAGCTTCAGGTGGATAACGAAGGTATCAAGCACGACAGTGTCGAGGTGGAAGCCGAGGGGGGCAATCGATGATGGGAGTAGGATGGGAGAGAGATCCGATTCCTTGAGTTTGTTTTCGTAGGGAGGAGGGGGGAGCGAGGGTGAAGTCGAGTTGTTGGAGTGAGAAGCAGAACTGAGAAGAAGTCTCAGAGATAGAGGGAGCTCGTGTTGGGTTTTGTAAGTGATGAGGACACTTTGGAGATTCAGCGCATCGGGTTTAGACAACTGCGTGACCCTGAAAGAGGCCACTTTACCACTTCCATCTGTACTACGCTACTTGCTACGCTAACTAAACTCGATCCGAAACAAGAAGGAAAGGCGGTTTATGCGCGACGAAAACCCTAACCCCGTCTTCACCGCCTGGCACGCGGAATCGTGGAAGGTTCTAGATGAAGGCATGACATTTTGGGTTTCTCTTGGATTATTCGACCCAGGCAGCTTTCAATTCTTCGTAGACGCCAAATTCGAGACCCGACCGTAACGGCGAGTGTGTTGGTGAGAACAAATTGTCGCGAAATGTGTTTGTTTCTCGAGTCTTGGGTGGCAGTATGAGTATCTCTGCGCGAAATTGAAGGGGCCGCGGCCGCAGTATCAACGACAGGGTCCACGTATACCAGATCTTTCACAGAACCACCCCACAAGCCGCTGCAGAAAAGTTTATCTAACGGCTCCACGTAGATTACCCAGTTGCTTTTGCAATTGTGTCTTTCCACCATCACCGAATCTTCCGTCGGCGCCGACCACCGGTTACTGCTGTGTAATACCCGGTTGGCTGCATACGGGATGTGTAGAATAGCCGCAAGAACCACCACCGATGGCTGCATGCTGCATGCTGCGGAAGTCTCCAGCTCTGCGTGCGCTACGACACCGGCGAGTCTCGAGCATTCTCGAGGATCACTGGTGAAAAGTGGCGAGCACGCGGAGAATTTGGCTCGATGTGATTGCCAAGGTGTAAAGTTTGCCAATCACAAGCTCCGGAAGTATGTACACTGCTCTCTGCACGATGCGGCCGTTAACAGAAATCATCTCCATCCAAGTGCCGCCGGTTACCATGAGCCCGAACGCCGTGTTCTGCTAGCTTGTTCGGGCAGACATGCACATACCATCTGATTGTACAGGCCGAGCATTCACTTCCGACATCTCAACATCATGCTGCGCAGGCTTCAGTCCCTGGGAAGCTAACACTGACTCAAAGTGAGATACGTGAGGTATATATAGCCTTTCAGCAGCTACTTTAGGTAGGATAACACTCGTACAACAAAACACCTTCTCCCTGGAAACAAAATCACGGAAGGACACCGCCCAAGAGCACTTGAACGAGGTCAAAAGACACTCATGTATCTTTCCGCCAATATCCACCAGAGTATCCAAAGGCTTTAGAGCCCTCTGCCATCCAGCCTTGGAGGTCAATACGGGATAAGTATCATCCCGAGGCTCCAGACGGAAGAATCTATACGGCGTGTAAAGCTAGGGCTCAGCCCATGCTTGAAAACGAGCGCTAAATCAAGTACCGATATCAGCCCTCTGGACTCTGGAGTCTGAAGTCTGGAGTCTGGGGTCTGGGGTCTGGGGTCTGAGGTCTGCGCTCCATCACAACCCTTGCTACATACCATGATTAGCCAAAATAACAAACTTCTATGAGTGAGGTGAGGTGAGGCGCACAGGATCCTATCCAAAAAATGTAAACATTTCGAGTAAAATGCAGAATGGCGGAGGTCCTAGAGGAACATACATACGCGGATGGGATTCTGAAATTTCTAGCGAGGATCACTCGTGGTCGGGTTCGGGATGAAGACGCCTTTGAAGCCGAGCTTTGCGGCTGCGGGTACTGTTCCCGTACGGCCGACCATGAGCAGCGGGGAACAGCTCGACGCCGCATAGGCGGGGAAGCCACTCACCTTGAGAAGTGGTATGTACCTAATGTATGTACCACTATGGTCGAGAAAAGCAACCACATATAGGTATGCATAGTACATACATTGTACAAAAAGCAATGAAGCCGAAGACTTTGTTTCCCTACTAGTAGCCCTCCATCACCAACCGCATAGTACCTATCGAGTAGGTACCTAGGCGGATATCTTTATGTTACATATTCCGCTCTTATGTGCCCTCTACATACTGCGCTTGGGAACGACCACAAGACCGCCGCCGCGTCTAGAAACCGCAATACTTCAGACGACAGTCCGCGGCTCCATGGCTCCGCAGGGTAGACAGGCAGGGTGGCTATCGGCACGACGAAATCGTTGACGAATCCGGTGATCGGCTACCTACCTAACCTAGGTATGTCACCGACTCTACTATGCAGTAGATATATACTCCGTCAACATATTGCAATCTGCATTTATCTGGTATGTACCTGCATATCCGGAGGATATGTAAGCTTGCGCGGTAAATGAAGAACCCAATCGTGCAGAAGGCTGAAGCAGCCGACGACGGCCGGACCGACCGCGTTTCCGAGGGGTTGGTCGTTTCCGGCTTATGTGTGTGGGTGGGTGGGTGTGGAAAGGCATTGATATGTGGCGCCAATTATTGATTTTGCGGTTGATCATAGAATCGCATACGATTTCTAGCATAACATCATAGATAGACGAGTCGGTGCGACTGCCAGACGAAATGGTTGTTGAAAGGGTTTGTTTGCTTGTCTCATCCTACGTAATCGTATTCAGTCTACTTATCTAGACTATGCGGAGTAATACATAGAAGTAGTTGCTGCAAGGAATTGTTGAGTTTGTCGAGTTTGTCGAGTGGTAATAAAACGAGTGCGATTTCGTGAATGACTCTCATTAAGGCTGCGTTGAGCCTTGGCCGACCTAGGTAATCGGCTTGAGGAACTTGGATATTCAAGCTTTATTAGCTGAGTATGTACCATCTATCTCTCAGGATAAGCCATGCGGATTATTCACTGATGGAGTAGATACGCCATTTGTTTTTGGCGAGAATTCTAAACATTCAGACGATTTTGTAGGGAGTGCGGACTATTCAACAGTATGGCCTAAGTTGAGTAGGCGTATGAATGTGAGATATAGAGGTGTAGATTTGAATGGTGGTAGCACGTGTGACAAATATTGCGAAAGACATTTATTGTGAAAGAGCCAGATCAGACAATTTGTTATGGTGTTTCCGTAGATTCCCCGCCATCCTTCGTAATATACCAGCATTGATCCTCCAAAGACAGTACAAAAAAAACTTTCATCATCATAATTCGTTAGAGAAGTAGCCCGATCCTTACCAGCTGTCATCAACCACAAACAGTGCGGCGGTCGTAGATAACTTCGAGGCCGAAGATTATCGAACACTGCGGTGGACCCACTTGCGGGCCCCTAATACTCTCGTCAACAATAATTTACTTGATCATACTTCATCAACAGGAAACTCACCAATACAAACTCCAATTATCGCCGCTCCTACAGCCCATCCAACTACCAGTAGACTGCCCATATCCCAGCCAGTTCCGACCGTCAGCACCGCGGATGACAGCAAAGCTATCCCACAAGGTCAATGCCGGGATTGTGTCGGTCTGTGGGTCGCTGCTGAAGACGTAGTACATCGGACTTCCGTGAGTGGGACGGAACCAACTACCACACACCGGCACATTAGTTCTCTCCTCCCCGCATACCCCTTCTCTCTTTCGCAGAAACACAGAAGACGAGTAAGTACATACAGAATATTTTCTGGCGCGGAAGCATCGTGGAGTTTTCCCCATCCCGCCTGCGAGGGATCGGTGCGGTTCCCGTACGGCTCAATGTACCCGCGGTAGTTGCGCCCGGGCGTAGCAAACCACCCGAGACGCCAATCGAGATAGCCCCAGGTATTGATAGGCGCTGGAGCGCGAGTGTCGGCACGCAGTCGGAAAGTGCGGTATCTCGGTCTGCCGGGGCCACACCGTCCTTCCTGGGCGAAGACGGTGGCGAAGAGCAGGAGGGAGAGGAGCGTGAAGAGGATAGACGGCTTCATTTGCGAGTTTCTTTGATGGCGAGAAAAAGAGTCTCTTTGAGAGTCGTGCCCGAGCCAGCAATTTATACACATATGGAGGTGGGGGCCGAATGCCCGCCCATTCGCCCACGCAGTGCACGCACGGCACAGGCCGGATGCGTCCTCGCTCCAGCTCGTATTCCCCACGCATGGTCCAATGGATCCATCGGCTCGATTGGCGAAACCGACATCGTGCCGTGCGCCACGAGCGTCATGCCTGCACATGGTTGTTATTTTTGTACATATCCCATTCGTATACAGACTTTCCTACAAGTTGCACAAGGGACCGGGAACGATGTGTCTCCAAATGGAAGTATCGCGGTGTTTACGTTGCACACGAGCCAGAGCTGGGAAATCTCGGTCGGTCCATCGGATCCAGCTCGTATTACCTGGAGAATTTGGCGGATGGAGTTTGACGCATGCGCGCAATAATTGTAGTGGTATCCTAATACTTAAGTAAGAATTACTTTAAGAAGTAATTTTATATTTTAGGTTTCACTTCGCTTGAGCCTCGGCGTTCGCCAATCAGCTTTCTGTATATAAATTTAGCGCAATTATTCAGTCATAGAGTAGTACTCGATTCTTGACTGGCGATTCATTCTGAGGTTGTTTGCTTGTGATGGAGGGAATTCGTCCTTTAGGGCTTGAGCAAAAAATATCAGACTTACCATTCATTCTGAGGTTGTTTGCTTGTGATGGAGAGAATTCGCCCTTTAGGGCTTGAGCAAAAAATATCAGACTTGCCAGTTACAAGGCTGAGATGCTTCACCAACCTCCAACCTCCATCCTCTCTTCCCGCTACAACCTCTCATCTCACAATTACTTCCTACCACACACACCCTACTTCCTTCATCCAACCAACCAACCACAACACCACAAATTTTCGACACCACGTTCGCAACCTCTCCACTCAAGATCAACTAACCTCACGAAAGTACCTTACCTTTCATTCACACTTCTCATCTCATCCAATCGCATCCTTAAACATGTCTCCGCAATACTCGAGCCTCTTCGGCAGCCTCAGCCCTGTGAGGATATCCGATGGATCTCTCATGGAGCAAGAACCCTGCTCCGAAGATGTCTAAATTAAGCAAGAACCCCGCTCCGACGATTTCGACATTAAGCAAGAGCATTGGGACGAAGAGGTCACCGTTATGCGAAGATATACCGGTAATTGAAATTGCTACGAAAAGTCAGAGCCCCGCGAAGAAGATTTCTATATTAAGCAAGAATCCGAATACGAAGAATTTGCTATGCATCAAGAGTCTCGAAGCGAATCAGTCGGTGTGAAGCAAGAGCATTGGGGCGAAGAGGCAGCCGCCATGCAACAACATACCGGAAATTGGAATGACTCCGTAAAGTCAGAGAATTGGGACGAAGAAGATGCTTACATCAAGCAAGAGATCTGGCACGAAGAAGATGCCTACATCAAGCAAGAGGATTATGACGAAGAGTTCGACATCAAGCAAGAGAGTTGGGACGAAGGTTTCTACATCAAGCAAGAACCCCACGGGGAAGATTTCGACATCAAGCAAGAGAATTGGGACGAAGATTTCGAAATTAAGCAAGAGGATTGGGACGAAGATATTGACATCAAGCAAGAACCCCGCGAAGAATATTCGAGTCCTGCTTTCCAACAGGAGTATGAAGAAGATGTTGAAACGGGAAGCGGTGGTCGTCAGAGGATGAGGCAGGATATCAAGCGGGAGTATCTCAAGAGGAAGATAGACGTTGAGCCGCAGAATTGGGATAGAATGGAAGCTGGAAGGGAGTCTTTCGACGGCTCACGACAGGTGGCATGAGCTCTGGCAACAAGAAGCCACGAATTAAGAAGGAAGATGTCGAGGTCGAGGAAGAAAAGCAGGTGGAGGAGAATGACCGCAAGACGGCCCCCAAAGTCACGTTGTCCGAGATTTTCCGGGCTGGTCAGATCAAGGTGGGCAATGTTTTCAGCCTTCGGAGGAAGTTCAAGAGATCTTGCAAAGGATATTGGGTTCGCAAGAATGCTGTGGTATGCACCTTCTTCGATCACGTAACTCTCCTAGGGAGGTCAGATTAATAATTGTGCACTAGATTACCCACACTGCCCCTTCTGGGAGTGCATTCGGTGTCCGCTACGCCCCAGGCACCGCGGAAATCCCCACCGACAAGCCGGATGACAAAACGGCCAAGAACATATCATCGCTCAACGAGCTGATGATTGTTCTTGGCCGGGAGCACGGAAGACCAGTGAAGAAACAGTTACAAGACAACGCGTGGAATCTTCTCTGGCTCTTTCGCTCCGGGGAGGAGGAGGATATCCAGTTGACTCTGCTCAAGCAGAAGTACCGCGAGGGGAAAATAGGCGAGGATGAGGCGTAGGGGGGATTTGAGGGGGATGTGAGGGGTGATTACATTTTTTGCATTTTTTAAAAGTTCAATGACATTTGTTTTACGTTTTATACTTTTGTTGTTTTTTTGGCCAGACTTGATTGTTTTTTGGCGAGACTTGGTTTTTTTCGGGGTATCATTTACCCCCAAGTTCCAGTTGCTCATGAATGTATCATGTAAATCAAGAGTGTTTGCGTGTTTACTAGCTACAAGAGCATTAGAGTGAATGAGAATTCCATGTAGAGTTGAAAGAGAGAGAGAGAGAGAGAGAGAGAGAGAGAGAGAGAGAGAGAGATCTTCGGTTTATTTCGCATGCAGCCTATCGGGACTATGGCGAATCATGTGGTTACGTTAATTAGCTAGCAATTCGTCTGAAGATTGTTGGATTATATTCTATGTCAAGTGCACTAAATAACAACAGGCGTTGTGGCCGAGTGGTTAAGGCGAGAGATTAGAAATCTCTTGGGTTCGCCCGCGCAGGTTCGAGTCCTGTCGACGTCGCTATGTTTTTGTTTTTTTTGGCGAGATGCTTTTGACTGCACAACTACCAGCAGGACTGTCGCTCGGCATTGACGTGTTCAGGGATGATGGTCATGTAGATAGCCTAAAAGTAGAGTGCCGGCGACGATCACACACTTTATTTTGACCCCGCCAAAAACTTTTCCAACCGCAACCCTTCATCTTCGCCATCTTTCTAGCTTTTAACCATGTGCGCCGACCACAATACCGAAGCCTTGATCTGCTCCGATGGTAAGCAGAATATCATCCTCGCTTCTCGATTAGCTACGTCTCGAACTGACTCATCAGTCCAGACCCAAATCACCCCGCTAACTTGGTACTTTCCTTCATCTCCCCAGCCAACAACATCCAAGCTTACAGCGCCGCAGATCTGCAGTCTCTGCCGCAACTTCTACACTCTTGGCTGGGTACCTTTCCTCATATCGCGCATCGTGCCCAACCCATCCTGATGGCCAGTCCCTAGGTCACTGGTACTGGCGGAGGCATATCTATTCGCGAGCGCACTCCCGACCATGACCACATCTTCCTCGCGCCGTCGGGTGTCCAAAAGGAGCGACTGCAGCCGGACAACATGTTCGTCATGGACTACCCCACGCAGACCTACCTTCGCAAGCCCGTGGATCTAAAGCCTTCCGCGTGCACCCCGTTGTTCATGGCGGCGTTCAGCAAGCGCGGCGCGGGAGCGTGCATCCACACCCACTCCCAGGCTGCGGTCCTGTGCACGCTGCTCACAAAAGGGAAGACCTGGTCAATCGCGAACATCGAGCAGATCAAGGCTATCCCCAGGCCGTCCACTGGGGGCTACATGGGGTTCTTTGATACTTTGACGATTCCTATCATCGAGAACACTGCGCAGTGAGTGCTATTGTCACGCTTCCTTTCTACAGTCTGCTGAGATCCCCGTAGTGAGGAGGATTTGAGGGAAAGCCTGGAGAAAGCCATCGAGGAGTACCCGGACACCTGCGCGGTGCTGGTGCGAAGGCACGGAGTGTAAGTCGCCATCTTTTTGGCAAGCGGGGGGACCCATCTAACAATGCAGCAGCTACGTCTGGGGCGATACGGTGTGGAAAGCGAAGACACAGGCTGAAAGCCTGGACTACCTTTTTGAGTTGGGCGTCAAGATGGTGCAGTTGGGGCTTGATCCAGCGGGAGCGATTGCTCCTGTAGAATAAACAGATACTGGGTGGATGGTGGTTCTAGCTTGTGGCAGCGTTGCTGGATGGTGCCGGACGGTACCTTTCTTCTCCGCGACCGTAATTCTTATTCTACCTGAAGTACCATGTATGATGGAGTTTGGGGGTTTTGTACGGTTACCATGCACATTAAAAAAGCTTTTGTCTTTCTTTGCATAATGGGGCTCTCCCGAGGCACCGAGCCCATTCCATGAGCCACATTCAGTAGAATCTCGAGTGATATTTCGTGGTCGCAACGTCACACAACTGTGTCACCTAGTCTATGCGAGCTCGACAAATTTGCATGGATCATGGTCGCGTCGCGTTTTCCCTTGAAACTCTACTTCCATTTTACGCCTCACCAACGCCCACCTTAAAAACTACCATGGACAGTGACGAAGACTTCGGCAGCGATATCGACGATTCCGAATTTATAGCCGCCGCCACACAAGCCGAACAAGAGTTCAGTTCCAATGCGAACCGCACCATAAGCAATGGGGGCGACCTCCTGCCACCCGATGACTTCATCGACGACGCCGATATCGAGATGAACGACTTCATGTCGTTCTCGCAAGCTCCCATACCTCCACGAGGAAACCTACGACAAACAACACTTTTCGGGGCCTCGGTGGTGGAGGCGAGTTCACCCCAGCAGCAGAAGCAGAAGCAGAAGCAGCAGCAGCAGCAGCAGCGACCGAGAGCGAATTGGCCACTGTCAAATCAGGAAGAAAAGCCCACACACCACAAGATCGACCGCGAAGCTGCAAAGACGTGGATCTACCCAATCAATGTTTCGTACCGCGACTACCAGTACAATATAGTGCGCCGTGCACTGCTATCAAATGTACTATGTGCTCTCCCCACAGGTGTGTACGGACGCGCGGTGCCTTCTCCGTTGAAGGCCTCCCACTGAATTATGTGCTGCGTAGGTCTGGGTAAGACATTCATCGCGGCCACGGTCATGCTCAATTGGTTCCGATGGGCCCCCGAAGGACAAATTGCCTTCCTGGCGCCCACCAAACCACTCGTTCACCAACAGATCGAGGCTTGCTTCACTATCGCCGGAATACCACGGAGTCAAACAGCAACGATGACGGGCGGTGTGCCGAAAGCGCTACGGCAAGAATACTGGGAGGAACGGAGGGTATTCTTTACGACACCACAGACGATGCAGAATGATATTAAGAACGGACTTTGCGATCCGAAAAGAATCATATGTCTGGTGGTTGACGAGGCTCATCGGACCACTGGTGCGTACGCGTACGGAGAAGTCGTGAAGCTCGTACGGAGGGAAAATACCAGCTTCCGTTTGCTTGCCCTTACAGCGACGCCTGGCTCCACCGTGGAGGCTGTCCAGGGTGTCATCGACGGTTTGGGTATATCCAGGGTAGAAATCCGGACCGATGAATCCCTCGATATCCGGCAGTATATCCAAAGGCGGAACCTTGAGGTTCAGACATTCTCCATGCCACCGGAAATGGTCGAGCTGAGGGACTTGTACTGCAAATGTTTGGAGCCGCAATTGAAAAAGCTGAACGCTGGTAAAGCATTTTATCAAACCAGAGCCGAAAACCTCACGCCCTTCGGTGTAATATCAGCGATGGGAGAATGGAGGAATTCTGCACAGGCTCGGAACATGAACAAGGGCTACTTCTTCGGTTTGATGAAGCTCTTCAAGAATCTGGCCAGTCTTGCGCATCCACTCGGTCTCTTGGAGACGCACGGCGTTCGCCTTTTCTACGACAAGCTGATCAATGCGCGGGAAGATGAGACCGACGAAGAAGTGACCAAGTCTGCTGTGAACTCGATCCGCAAGGAAAAACCCTTCACACAGGTTCTTGAGCGAGCAGCACAAATCGTAGCCGATCCCAACTTTTCCGGTCATCCAAAGGTCGACTTCATGGTCAATGCGATTCTGAAGCATTTCTCTGAAGCCGAAGATGAAGATACAAAAAGAGAGACCAGAATCATGGTGTTTACGAGTTTCAGAGATAGCGCAGAAGAGGTGACGCGAATGCTCCGGAGACACGAACCCTTAATCCGCCCGCATGTTTTTGTGGGGCAGGCCAATTCTGGGAAGAATTCGGCTGGTATGTCACAGAAACAACAGCTTGATGTATACTGTCTGGTCCTAAGACTGCCACTTTTGCTGACGACTGCTCCTAGATCATCTCCAAGTTCTCTGACGGAACATACAATACTCTAGTCTCGACTAGTATTGGAGAGGAAGGACTGGATATTGGAGAGGTTGACTTGATTGTGTGCTACGACACTTCAGCATCACCCATCCGACTTGTAAGCCCCATTTCTATGTTGACGATGGACATTGCTGATTACTCTTCCAGTTGCAACGTATGGGCCGAACAGGTCGTAAACGGGTAGGCTCCGTTCTGGTTCTTCTCAGTGAAGGACGCGAACACGACAAATACAAAAGAGCTCTGGACAACTACGCAGTGATGCAAAAGAAGATTGCGTCAGGAGCCGACTTTTCGTTCCCCCACGAGCTGTCTCCTCGCATCATCCCGAAAGATATCGACCCTCAACCAGACAAAAAACACATCGAAATACCAGTCGAAAACACGCAACCGGAACCAGACAAACGGAAACCCAGGACAAAAAAGAAGGCGCCAATCAAAAAGTTCTTCATGCCCGAAGGTGTCCAGACTGGCTTTACCAAAGCGTCGCGGATAGGAAAGGAGCATGTTCTGTCCACCGATTCGTCCGGTGGTGAATCGGAAAACGCAGCCCGGGCAAGCGGAGCTCCGGGTGGGACGAACGAAGAGCCATTAGCCCCTTTACTCGACGATTACGCTGCTCTACTCACAGAGGCAGAACAGCTGGAGCTGCACCGACACTATATCCAGGATTTCTCGGGTCAGGATACCGTGATCGTCGAGCACCCGCGTCTAGACAAATTCCCAGAAACACAGAGAAACCTGGGGCCGATAAAACATGTGCCCCATAGTGTGGTCACAAAACGCTTTGTTAATATGATTGGTTGCATGCGAGCAATCGACGACGCCAGACTGGAGCGTTTCCAGAGTACCCTCGACCGGGATCTCCTCAAGAGCCCCAAGAAAACGTTGGCGTTCAAGCCCGTAAGACCAGCGGCAAAACCCCCGGCAAAACCCCTACTGGCCCAACGAAAACTACCTGTTAAGTTGAAGGAGAAGAGGGGGGCACGGAATGACACTGACGATGGCGACGACGATGATGTGGAAATTATATCACCACCACCACCGCCACCAAAAGCTCGCACACGAGGCAAGCTGGTGAAGCTGGCAGCTCCTCCCCTCGTATCGAGTGGCGACGACGAGGACGTTGTCGTGACGTCGAAACGGAAACGGCAGAAGGTTTCCACTGCCGGCTCGGACTCGGACTCGAGTCTTCCCGACGCTGCAGACTTGCTGAATAGTTTTCGGTGGGCTGGGAGCGGACAGAAGACGATGTAGCTTGGAGAGCGGAGAGCGTGGGGCGGGCAGATCCAGGTGTCCGTTTGGCTAGAGATGTAATCTTGTCTATCATACAACGAGGTGTTTGGCGTGGTTCATTCTCTTATAAGTTTTGGCAGGAATGGGCTTCCTTTGCTTTGCTCCTCTGGGGTTAATGTATAAGTATAATAGCAAAAAATGGGGTGCGATTGCTACCAGCGGAGAACGTATATCAGTGTGAATACCGGGTTAACATGGTAATTCGGCAGAGAATAAGTAGGCCTACTGGAGCAAACGTCTACGACATCGGGTTAACCGTTAACACGAGCTTTTGGTGTATACCTATTGGATTACTCTGGCAGCAGTCGGATGCTGCGTTTTGTTACAGAACCTACACACTTGAATGAGACTATATAAGCACATAATTACTTAGACTATGCTATTATACACAACATCTCGAATGATGTTATCGTGGTCAGTGTGAAGCAGACGGATATCGAGAGAGTGTGCGTGTGTATGCAGGTTATCCGATGACTTCACGTTGGTCGTTATGTGCTTTTCAGTGCATATCCGGACATGAATCGGAGAGCCAGAGATGCCGCCCTAAAATCTGGAGAGAACTTCCTTCCCTTCACGATCTGTACACTGCCCGAATCCAGCTTCCATCCGACATTTCAATTCTGCAGGCGTTCCGGACCATACGGGCACGACAGAACTCATTGTTTAGGCGAGCAGCGGGCATTGTAATATATGTACTACTTATAGTAATAGTTAGTCCGTTGCTCTCAATAGAATACCTACCATTGTGGGGTTGGGTCGTCTCAGCTCGCAGCGCAATCTGTAGTTATTACATACCGGTACATATACTCTGCATAGTGTAGCGCCAACCAAAGAACCGCCCTGTGCAGATCAACCACATGGAACTCCCCAAAAGCGCACGATTACATAACCTCCTCACCGTCGATTATGTAACTCTATGTATGCACTCTGGCGACGTCAACACTAACTAACGACGAACTCTAGGTCGTCCGCCTGCCTGCCTGCGCTGCCGACGTTCTAAAGCCGAAGAACGACCTCCCCACAACCCATACGAACCACGCGCAGATCCCCCGGACTCGGGCTGAAGCACAAACAGGGTTGATGATTCGCTGTAACGCGGCGCCTGTGATTCCTGTTCCCCCATCCCCTCCCATCCTTCAATCACCAGCGCCGCCAACACAGCATCGGTTGTTGTCCCGTGAGACGGTGCTTGCTTGAATTGACGACAGCGATAACTACCTCGCACACTACACTACACACGCTCGAAACCGGCTCTCCTAGATACATCCAAGATGCGCCACGACCCCCGCATCCGCCAAACATCGACCATTTCTCGACCTCGCTTGAGTCCGCCGTCGAAAATGCGCGCACCGGCTGCTCACCTTCACAAGTCATACCTCGAGCCTTGTTTTCTCCTCCCTGATAGATTGCTGTACCAACCTGCGTTCCGCAAGCAAAAACCACCATCACCACCACCACCACCATCACCACCGCCACCGCGCGCCGCAGCGCAGCGAGTTTTCCATTCGCATTCTACGACTATGACGACTACGACAGCGACTCCGATGAGCGTGCGTCGCGCGGGTTCCTAGCATGGGGGACCGACGAGCTTGACCGCCTGCTGGCTGGGAGCGGGAGTCAATCGCCGACGACGAGGAACGAGAGGATGTTCTACGGCGCTGTGAACGATGCGTCCGGTCCTAGCGGCCTGCTGAGGAAGAGCACGCACCCCGGCGGTGTGGGCCCGGACCCGACGGTGATTCCTGGGACCAACATGTTTGGGTTTCTTTCCTCGTTTGGGTTCCGCGGCAAGGGAATGCGGTATAAGCCGTCGGCGGCGAATCTGCAGGAGCATCCGCAGCGCAGCACGGCGGATATGACCTATACGCGCGGCCATGGGAGACAGAGGAGTGGGACGGAGTCGAGTTTGGCGAGTCAGGGCGATAGTTTGAGGAGTCGCATGGATCTGTGGCCGAGTGAGGATGAGGACGATGCCGTCGTTATCGGCGATGATGCGTTTCCGAGGAGTAGCGATGGGGAGAGTACGCATGCTATGGGATTGGGCATTGGCACCGACGACGATGACGGTGTGAGGTATGAAGATCTACTGATAGATGACGGGGATGCACGGCGGCGGATGTGGAGACACGCGAAACGACTCACCATGCAACGGGGGCTGAGTTCAGATAGCATGGTACGTTCACCGTCTTCCCATCCTCCAATATATCTTCCAACAACTAACCATCCACAGGAAGAAAGCAAAGCCAGAAGCACCTATAACCAAGGCTCCAGCAGTGCGCCACCCACAATACTAGCCACCAGTCCTCCCGGCAGCATCAGATCCTATGAAGCCATGAGCATCCAACAGCGATCGTTATCGCCACTGAGTGCGGGGGCACTGCGAAAAGAAATGGATAACGAGACGCCCAGGGCGCACCTGCAGATGAGGCAGGTATCAGCACCTTCACCCATCCATACCCCGTCGTCACCACGACCTCCATCGGAATGTGCCAGTGATTCCACGCCGAGGGCTTCTGCGTCGGGGATCTTGATGGTTCCGCCGTCGCCGTCATTTTCACAAGCGGATCCTGATGACGAATAGGATATGGCAAGTGTTGAGTAAAGTTTTCTTTTCTTTTTGTTTTCTTTCGGGAATTTGTGGCGTAACGCATCGTTGTTGTGTGTTGTTCGGGGTGGAGAGTTGGATGGGGGATTTGCTTTGCTTTGCTTTCGTGGTATTGATATAAAAGTGGGTTTACCAGATCAGGTAATGGGTGGGCAGGGACGGAGTGTAAATTGGGTTATTGGGAGGGTATCCGGTCACAAATGCGATGGTCCTCTCACTTATGTGCGAATTTGAAGTGATCGGTAATGCGATGAGTGATAGATGCTGAATTCTCAACCAGAACCCTAGTTCCCGTCTTGGATGCAGCTGCTCTATTCGCGCTCGGTTCATGGTTAAGACGGCTCGTCCTCGGCGTGGGTAGATCCACCCAACATAAAGAGAACCTTCTACGTGAACAACTTTGACATCAAAGAAGTAGAGTGATTGTGCGACGATTCGCACTAACCACCTAACTAATTCTGGTGGGGCACAACCAAATGTCGAACCAGGATCTGTGATCGCATGTATCTAGGTGACACGTGACACGTGACGGACGCGTCGCCAAGAACGACTTAGAGCCTTGGCTTTTGTGCCTTCACGTTGTCCTGGAAAGCGCCTGTCAAAACAAAAAGCAGCAATCCACAACGTCCACGCCCTCCATGGCCTCAGCAGACACCACCACGCACATGTCGACCAACTCACT